AAAAAAAAAAAAAAAAAAAAAAAAAAAAAAAAAAAAAAAAAAAAAAAAAAAAAAAAACTAGCTGCCTAGCTGATATTCTTGTTAATTTCGTTATTATATTTAGTAAAAAATACAAAAAAAAAATTGTTAAAGAAGCATTAAATTTCTAAGAAAAGCATGATGAATTATATCGGGTACTAATGTCTCCTGAGTTCAAAAGTTAAAATTTTTAATCACTAGTAAATTTGAAAGTTAAAAGAAAATTTTTCATTTTAGTAGGAAATTATTGTAGAATAAAAATTTAGATGACGGTAAATAATGAAAATTCGACAGCAAGTTAATTGAATGAGTTCGCGATGTAAATAACTTCAACCAAGCTTGTTAAAATTTCCCTGAGCGAAAATTTCTCTGTTAAAATACATCTTTGATAAAAAAAAAAAAAAAAAAAAAAGTTAATGAAAGAAAATGACGGCAAACATGTAATTGTTAAGTACGATTTCTTATAGCAAAAAAAATAAGAATAATAATAATAGAAAACACGTATCAGAGAAATTTTCTTTACGATTAATGTGCATATGTTGACATTGCTATCATTACAACCTCATACACGAAGTCAGAACCATCGTTGTGTCCATCGTTTGTTACGTGCGCAACTTATAAATCGTAATTTTTGTAGAATTTGTGAAGTTTGGAATGTGTTCGACGTCCATTTCTAAATGTACATGCTTGACCCTATAAACCAACATTCAAGTTTTCTTTTTATCCTGATAAGTACTCTTTCAACAGCTGCTCTCTTAATAAAAAAATGGTATAGTTTGCTTTTAAACGACATTGTAAGAATATAAATGATAGCATGCCCATTGATAAAGTTTTTATAGATTGCTGGAAAAATTTGAGAATGAATTTTTTAAATAAAAGAATATTTATTAATTTGATAGATTTAGATATACCACAGATACTATAAGCAGTAAAAATGTACACATGCGCGATCTTGCGTTACTACATCAACAAAATAAAATAAAATAAAAAAATCATTGGGTGAAGATTACACAAAGGAAATGTAAAATTTCGAGTACATGTTTAGAATTCAGATTAATTGTTCATTATAACTAGGAAGTGAAGAAAGGCAACAGACAAATAGTATTAACAAAGACGGGTGAAACATAATATTTAGAATTATCATCAAAGGAAGAACATGTTAATCGAAATTGTTACACTCCTTCAGACGCATAACAACGTGTAGTAAATAAGTATAAAGTACGTATTTTCTTTAAATAAAGTAAAAGGTGAATACGAGACATTTAAACTACTACACAGACAAAACCAGCAAGTGTAAAAAATTTCATACGTTTTTTTTATGAAAATGACAATTGACTAGTTACAAAATAGAAAATCATTCAGAACTTGTAATCACATTAAAAAATGTAGTCGTAATTTTCTATAATGTTTTTTCAAAAAAATATGTATAAAATATATACGTAAAAATAACCACAAACAAAAATTTAAAAAAAATTTTGATCAAAAACAAATTTTACAATCACCATTCTTATCGGCAATTACTGTCTAAACAACCCATGACATACTTTAAAGTGCTTACATACAACTAAAACAGAGTGAAAAATTGCAGCTTGTACAACTACTATGGATATAAATTTTCTGTATGACTGGGATCGTACTACGACTGAAGGATTTTCATTGCTGCTAGTACTGTCAATTTGTGGGTACTTACAGCCTTCCCCGGAATCTAGGCGGCTCTGAAGTTCTTTAACTTGTATTTCCTTGCGCTTCATTTCGTGAGACATTGAATCCAAACGTTGCCGGAAATCTCGTAGCTCCCTTTAATATATAAAAAAAAAAAAAACAATTAATGTTTACCTACATGTTACTACGATTAACAATTTTATGATGATATCAATCATACTTTTGCGCTGCTATGAGATCTGAACGCGTTTTGGTCAATTCTTCAGATATGGCTTGTTTAGCTTGAATTTCACTTTGCAGCGAACTTTGCAAATTAAGCAGTTCCATTTTTTCAAGCTTTTGCGAGCGTCGATTTCTCCAGTTTTTATCGCTTATGGTTGAGCCACCTCCAACACCGCCAGCACCTCCCGAATGTTTCAAGAATTCCAGCTCCTCTGTCATTTTTGTCGCCAGAGCCTAAAAAGCACGCAAAAATAGAAGAATCCGAGAAAATTTTGTTTTTTCTGTAACACCGTTTTTGCTACCACATTACCTGCAAGTATCCTCGAGCATCTTTTTCATCGGAGACCCATTGGATGATTTCCGTGATCTGCGCCTCCCACTGAGCGATCGCTTCTTTTTTGTTCCTCAGCTCTTCATACTCGTCCTCAAGCTGGCGCCTCTCGCCTTGTATACGATTAACGCTGTCCGTGACCGAACCAAGCTCCAACATTAACTTCTTGTTTTCCTCGACCAACATCATTTTTTCTCGCTCGTACCTACGACTCAATTCGCTAATAGTTTCTTCGTTGTCGGTGATATTTTCCAGCCTCGCATTATCCAGCTTTTCTTTAGTTATCAGTACATCTCGTTCTAGCAATTCTCGTCTCGTTTCTGCTTCGTGAAGCTGTTCTTGCAGGCTGCGTACTTCTATGTTAAACCTATGTCGGATAAAGGAAAAAAAAGAAAGAAAAAAACATGTCAAGTAAATGACGGCTACGGCATGTGAGAAGATTAATATATTATATGTAGAGGAAAAAATGTTGATGTATTACCTGCTCTGCTGTTGGCTGAGATTCTCATTGTATTGGACTTCGAGTTTTTCCACTTCAGCCTTTAGCCGGTTTATTTCCTGGGTTGCAAGGGCGTGGTTAGCACTGGCATCGTTGCCTATGGAGCGCTGTCTTATTTTTTCCGCCTCCTCTTGCATTTGTTTGCAGTACTCCTCGCTACGCTCTCGTAACTTGCGTTCTTTGCTTGTTTCCGCCATGGCTTCTTCGACTCTGCCTTCGAGTTCTCTGCGCAGCTTTTCGGCCTTGCGAATATCGTGTCGCAAACTGTCGACCTTTTGCATTGCTACCTCTAACTCCTCCTCCTTGTCGCGCACTTGCCGCGTTAGTTTTTGCTTTTGCTGACGAAGCTCCGACAATTTGTCTGTCACCTCTGTGTACTCTTCCATGGCTAATTTCCTCTGACTTAGCGCGTCTTTGAGCTCTTTCTCCTGAAGCTTCAATCTCTCAAAGGCATCCAGTTTATCTTTAAGAGCTTCATCTTTTTCAATACGCAAAGTACGCACCAATTTTTCAAGCTCGCGTATTTTTGTCATATCACCACCTTCTATCGCACGTAGTTCTCGAGGTACTTCTAAATTTTTTAACTGAGATTCGAGTTCTAAGGAAAAAAAAAAATTAATAGAAAAAGAAATAGACTACTAGTCACATTTAATTTAAAACCATTGGTTAAAAGCAAAAAGTGACTTCATACCGCAATTTCGTTTCGTCAGTGTATTGATTTCGTCTTGAAGCTTCCTAGTGGCATTGTTGGAATCGGGCGATACAGTAGGTGACGCACGACTGATGTTGGCTTGATTTTTCAATTCGGAAACCATTTGCGCCAACTGAGCATTTTCCTCTTCGAGCATCTTCAAATTTTTGTCTTTTTGTGTATAACTCGGCAAAGTACTTAGATCCGATATGCAACTAAAATTTAATTGATAAAAATGTAAGTTTGATCGCTTAAAACGTTAGTGTAACATGATACAAACCTTCCTTGAGTAAAGCTAAATCCAACAAATGGTAGGTGTAAAGCGGAAAAGGCAGAATTGGCAGCGGGCGGTACTGCGTCGGAACTGCGAACATCGTTATCGTCAACGTCGAAATTCGAGGTGTCCGTGGGTGAAGATACTTCGGGAATATAAGGTGCGGTACTATCCCTTACGGTGTCCCAGTTGGCTCCTTCAAACCAAGGATGTTTCTAAACAAAGATACATGAACAATTAAATCGAATGTTAAGCGAATTTAACTATAATAAAGAATTAAAATAGTGAAGCTTACTTTGAAATCTTCAATTCCGTTTTGTCCTAATCTAAATTCAGAACTGCAGATCAGTTTTCGCATCAGATCTTTAGCCTCTTCGGAAACGTCGTATATATCATCCGTTGGAAAGTCAAAGCAATTCTAAAAGTTGTACAAACATCAATAATAATTTGAAGAGTCAAAAATAACAATCTGATTTTGCAATGTAACATTACTAATGGTAACCTTACCTTATGATTCATAATTTTGCCATATGTTTCGACTAGAGATTCAGCATAAAACGGAGTTTCACCATAAAGCATTTCATACATACAAACTCCTAAAGACCACCAATCACACTCAGGACCGTACCTTCCTTGACCATCCTCCATTGCCTTGAGAAAAAAAAAAGTATATCAATTCACAAGTAAATAATTGGATCAATTTTAAATGATTTTGAAAGTTTCTCTAAAACTTACTCTAAGAATTTCTGGAGATATGTAGTCCGGAGTACCAACAGCCACATTACTTTGCACTGTTCCGTCTTCGAATAAACGAAGGCAAGATCCAAAATCAGCTAAGCGTATATGTCCATTGGCGTCCAACAAAACGTTATCGGGCTTAATGTCCCTGTGCACATACCGCAAATCGTGTATGGAGCCAATGGCGAGCACCATCTCAGCTATGTAAAAACGAGCCATATCTTCGGGAAGCCTGTCTTCGAACTTGCTGAGCAAAGTTAACAAGTCACCACCGCAGTAGTAATCCATAACCAGGTACTGTTGTTACAAAGCCATACAGAATGAAATGTAAATAATGGCGTTACTGTATTGGTATACCGTTGGAATGAGTAAATCAAATAAAACACAACTAACCAAATTATTGTCATCCTGAAAGGCATAATGAAGATTCGTTATCCATCTTCTGTCACCGTAAACTAAAACATCGCGCTCTTCTCTGAAACAAGCCGTCTCGGCGCGCTTCAGCATCTCCCACTTGTTTAAAATCTTCATCGCAAAGACTTTGTCGGAGCCGCGCATTCTCACAACGCACACTTCGCCGAAGGCACCTCTCCCAATGACCTTGACAATTTCAAAGTCCTCGCGAGATAACTGCAGATTCTTTATACACGTGGCCACGGGCTTCACTGTAACCAATCGATCAAAGAAAAACAAAGCATGAATCCAAAGTATCTTGGGGCGTGGTTGTAAAAAGCAATTTTAGCTGTCAAGAAATATTACCAAATTCAATGAAATCAGAAACGGTTTTTTCCCGCCTCAATGAGGAATTGCAGCACTCGTCGTACAAAACTAACAAAATGTCGATGAGCGTCTCGATAGAGAAACTGTGACCCATTCTTCCGCCCTGCACTGGACCACCGGCGAACAAAGCTTCCAACTGGCGCAGCCGTCCAGCTACCCCTGAAACGTCAACGATACATGTATATTTTTTGAAACGATTGATACTTGCTTGGTGTCAAGTAAACGAGGAGCGTAAAAAAAGTGACGATTACCATTATTAACTAGTCCTTTGGGCATGATGTCGGGCGGCGGATGCCTGTAATGCTGTAGCGAGTCTGCCATAATGTTGTCTTGGCTGTTGTTGGTTGTTTTTTCAACAGATTCGTTCGTTGAGATTTCCATCGTTTCCCGATGTAAGTGACGTTTCTTTATCAGACCACCGATTCATCACTATAGTCCGCACCAACCTATAACACATTGACACAGGAAATTGAATGTTTTTTTTTTTTCTTTTTCTTTTTTATCTATACGTATCGCTGCGATAATCATTAGTCTTGAATGTAAAACCTGCTATTCGATATAAATATCATTAGCGCAGGAATTTCTTCTGTTTCTTAAAATAAAGTTTTTGTTTTTTCTTGTTTCCCAAGTATAATTAGAATTATTTCTGACGAAAACACGAGAGGGATGAGTCAGCTCGGGAATATTTTGTTTGAATATTTTCAAAGTTTCAAACAATATCGACGATTTAACGCCCAACACAAATTGATGATCCTCGATATTTTATTTTTCCGTCAACCCATGCATGCGCAGGTCGTGTAATTATACCATTATTATGTAGTAAACAAACAAATTCAACTATGAACACGTCAGTGCAGTGATGACATATAACCAATTAAAATACACTAGCGGTATTGAATTAAAAAAAAAAAAAAAAAAAAAGACTACTCAACGTATACTTGACAACTGAAACGCAGTACATCAAGAAAAACGTGCACACACCATTACCGTGTAAGTTAGTGATATATTTTTCTTCGTTTTTTAATCAAGAGCCCCACTAGCGCGATATAAAGATAATACCTATGTAGCTACCCTCTCTCTCTCTCTCTCTATCCCCGACTCCAAGAACAGACTTATATAAATAAATGCGGCCCGAAGAGTCTTGGTGGAGAAGTAGGTATTATAGCCAAGGCCAAAGCCAAACTCTTCAAAATCTTGTTGGCATGGTCGACCCGTAAGTAGGAGTGCACTGATAACATAATAATATAATACACATACGCGTAACTTTGTACTTTATTGTTTTTGGAGGAAAAAAAAAACACCCAATTTCCGAATGTCAACTAGTAGGTAATGTAAAGATTTTGAGGAAAAAAAAAAAAAAAAACCAAAATCAGTGCTACACGGAGCAGTACAGTAAGGACTTGCTACTTCGAGTAACAGATCGGTCGATCATCGCGGATGAACGAGAAGAGATAAATATAGCGTATATTCGATGATACGAACGTGGAGAAAAGAGAGAGAGAGAGAAAAAAATTGAGCGGAATGCAAATGAAGGTTTTCCTTTCGAGCTTGGAAAAAAAAAAAAAAAAAAAAAAAAAAAAAAAAAAAANAAAAAAAAAAAATAGAAAAAGGAGGCAATGGCACACGCGTAGAGTTCTCGGAGGTCCAGGAGTCTTGCGAGAGTACAAGATAGACAGATTGGAGGACAGAGATATAGGTATAAGGAGGAGGACCGAGGAGGAGAGAAAGAAAGAGAGACGCCGACGCCGACGACGGTGAAGACAAAAATAGAGTACCCGTTCGAGAGCATATATATATATATATATAAGCATAAGCTCTCGACTCCTGCTGCTGCTGCCGCCTCGGTGGGTTCTCCTCCCTCTGCCTCCACCACCTCCTCCTACTTCTCAACACACCGCTGCCTTTCATGCGCTTATACTCATTCTTTTCTCTCTTTCGTACAATGTATATGCTACCGCGTGCGCGGATACTCATTATATCTCTAATAAATTTATACATACGTATAATTTCCCCCCCCCCCTCCCCCCATAAGTATATTGCACAGACTCGCGATTTCACGTACTGCATAAATCACGATGGACCAGATGAGGGTGTACGTTGTACATGTACAGGATAAAGAAATCGGTCGAGAGGAAAACCTTCTCACAGGGGTATAGCTTTAAAACAGAATACGAAAAATTCTCACGGGAAAAGAAGAAAAATAATCATACTCTGTTGATGCATGAACAAATTTTACATGCCAGCCAGCCAATATTTAAATTCGGTATACCGATGTGGAATGCATATAAGTATTTATGTACCTATATAACACACATAATACGAGAGAAAAGCCGCAGCGTGAGGAGCAACTGTGCCAAGACATATAGAGCTCATTACTTGTTATACTATATACACTTGCAACATTTTGGAGGGCGACGAGAGCGTGCAGCCTATAAGTATATTTATTGCACGCTAGCTCCGGGATGTCATAGGGCTGCTGGCGGTGTACTAATGTTGCATGATGAACCGACGATTAAAATTAGCTCGTTGTAGTCCAAAGGAGCTACGAGTGATAAAATGACAACGCGGAGTGTAAAGAGATGAGCGGTTGATCGAACAACAAAAAAAACAAAAAAAAAAAAAAAAGGAAGGACGGCAAAACATCTCTCTATGTTTAACTCTTTGGGAGTCTATGAGCGCACGATGCAGGGCTGACGTTCAGTGCTGTTCCGCGCCAGGAACGCCAAAAGGTCCGACGGGGAAAAAAGCACGACCAGCGAGACAGTCGAGAGAAAGAGCAGAGGTGCAGTTTACGTAATGCAAATTCGCGACAAGGGGGCAAAAGGCTCCTCTGTGCACTTATTTACGTTTATATACAAGTAGCGCGCATCTCTGGGTTTGCCGGACGAGCTTCGTGCGAAAAGTTTAATACACGCCTGATTGTACGCGTCGCTTCTTTGGTACGCGTAATTACAGCTCTCTCGGGTCGGAAGTTGTATTTTTTGGCTGCTTGGATTGGAAAATGATCGCGTACACAGGGGGGAAAGCCGGAAAATAAATGTAAAAAACTAACGAAACTGGATTGTAAGTTGAGGTGTAAGAAAAACGATCGAGAGACGCAGATATGTGTACGACTACCATATATACATGGATCACGTAGCATTAGCATGCATCTACTTTTTTATAGTTGGGCACATACGTTTGTATTTAGATGTATGTATAAGTAGGTACCTATACATCAGCGTGTACAGCGTAGCGCATGCATGCATTCCACGAGTTTACGATCTGCTGCACGTTCGCTCGATTTTCTGTGTCCCCCATTTACTTCCACACACGCTTCCTCCAGCAGCCTTCCTGCCCACCCGCACTCCCTCGAGCGCGTACCACTTGCTGGCTGGACGGCCGTCTTTGTCCAGCCAGGCAATTTTAGGTTCACAACTGACACACCAACGGTATATTTTGTACAGGTATACCGATAACCAGAGTTGAATTGAGAAAAGAAAACAAAAAATAAAAAACAATACTTTTTACTATGTAAATGCGACTATGGTGCACGCACAACAAAACCAAATCAAGTCAAACCAATATGTAGGTACAGTGTCCAAATAATACATGGGTGTATCAACTATGGGCACTTGGGCACACATATATTTATATACACACACCAACACCCACACCATACGAACAAACAACATGCTACAGCTAGACTGCTAAGTATCTGCTATTATTGTTACATGGCCACATACAAATATTGTACACATTGAGAAATCGTATCTATGACGAACCTTCGATTTTTTGCACAGACGACGATGACGACGACGGTGATGATGATGAAGGAAAAGACAATAAGGTCTCTTTGTAGGTATTGGGTCGTGGGTTAACGGCTTGTACTTTTTCGTATCTCTTGATTTTCTGGTAAGTATCTGCTGGTCCTGTTTAATCATTGAGTTTGGAAAAACCGGAGCAGGCTCGTTGCTTTTGAATACGTCGAGGAAGAAAGCGCCTTGGCAAGTTAATGACAGCATCGCTGCAAACTGCAGCAGCAACTATTTCCACGATCCGGACGGCACAACGTTGCTGCTGCTCCTCCTGCCCCGGGTGCCGTTGACGATGCATGTTTCTCCAACTAGTCCATATAAGCACTCCGAGAAGTAGCTTTACATCAAAACTTTTACTCCCTCGGTACACACACTGCAACGATTTGGGTTTAGATGTCTCTCGACTCTCGGGATCTGCAGCTGCTGCTTTCTCGTTGCGTCTCGTCTGTTAGATATAGGTACAACACGACGTACTTGCCATCCCGTAATCCCCCACGTCGTTCTCGTGAGTCACGCTCCTCCGCGGTGGACCTCGCGAGGGGTCTCGTTGCTGCTGATTTCCCAGTCCATGACTACTGTGTATACATGTATATGCAGGGTATCACGGCTTGCGCCACCCGCCGTTCCTTCGACGTCGTCGTCGTCTTGTCGCCGCCACGACCGCTGCTGTGTTCACACTCACGCTCTCTCCCTTGCACAGCTCCACGACGACCCACGACTCCACCTCTCCACTCCTCCACACGGACACTGCTACATTGTCTATTGTATGTGCTCGAGTATGCGCTTTTGCGTTTTCCTCTTTCTCTTACACACCGTTCCTAGGTCCTACTACCTAGGTCCTGGAATGGACCTCTTCCTCTAGTCCTGGGTCTCTTTGTACATCGACGCACGTTACATCCTGGTTCATAGGACTGTAACTGCAACACTATAGTACTTATTGCTAGCTAGCATCTTGGCGGAAGGAAGTAACAATACTAGAAAAGAGAGGATCCGATCTTTATTTTTCTTCTCTTTACACGTTCATAGTTTGTACACCTTTGTTTTAAGTATATACCTACGATATGATAACTTTTTCAAGTATCCCGTCCTTTGTGTGTGCTCTTAACTATTTTCAGCACCTAATACAAAACACTTGAAGAAGTATATTGCATATTATAGTATACACTGTTGCACGTACTACTTATACCATATACACTTTAGTAAACACTTTCGCCATACTCACATTACTTACTTTTTGTCATCCAATACTTACATGTATTTTTGTATTAAATTATAAGAAATATGCTCTTTGAACAAATTTCAGACAAACATGCTCTAAACACTTCACAATCGACTAACAGTACTATACTGGCAGCAAGTAAACTGCACGTTAGTAACATTATCGGTTGTCGATACGTGCAACGAACGCGCGAATTTTTGAATCGAAACGAAAGAAGTAGGTGACGATTCACGGATTTTACGATTATCACGAACTGCCAATGAAGATATTAGACAGTGCATCAAGTTCGATAAACGTAAAAATAAGTAGGATAGATTACAAAAAATTGCGTTGCTACAGTATGTACCTGTACATGCAGTCTGATCGTCTGATTCACACCTTTGGTCAATTTTAAACGGTATATTCACAATATATTTAGTTAATCATCGCAGCACTGGATCCGGACACTGAGAGATTTGAGTGCCGTGGCCTACACATATAAATTAAAGTTTAAATTTTGAAGTACGACGCCAATTGAATACACTACTTAGTAGTCGGTTTTGAGAGATTTGAAACTGGATTTGAAACTAAGTATTTAACGCTCATCGTAATCGTGTGCTTACAAGGTATACAAATATTGTTAATTACGTACGTGACGGAAGGATTGTGTACAACAATTATACAATTGCAGCTCAATTATTATATGTTAGGTACATAATATATATGGTTACATCATCGAAAATCATGATCAACAGAAGTGCGTCGAAAAAAAAAAAAAAAAAAAAAAAAAAAAACACAACAAAAGATTAAATATTGTGACTTAAGTACGATCATACCTATAAATACTTATATGAGCATTTACTTATGGACAAAAAAAAATAAAAAGTACGCGAGAGGTGTATACGATCCGCAGGTGTCAGCTGCTTCTTCGGCGCAATCTCTCTCTCGCTCCTTTCTACAGAGTAGGTATATATATATATATATATATATATACACGTATGTATACGTGCAATAGGTATGTATATACACACGAGAGTGACGACTCCGTTTCGAGGGCGGTGGAGAGACGTGTATATTTTATAACGTACGTGTGTATCCTAGTGCTCGCGAACGCGGACGCGGACTCGCGACGACCGCCTACACCTAATATGTATGTGCGCGATTAACACGTGTAGATGTCCGTGTCCATCGAGAGCAGCTGCAGTGATTGTTGTTGTTGTTGTTGTTGTTGTTGTTGTTGTCGTGTTAGCCAAGTGTATATATAGCAGCGGTACCAGGATCAAAAGCTGCAGCAGCAAGAGTGTAAGCAAACATCAAGAGATCAACGACAGGCTGCAGCTGCAGCTGGCCACAGTTGCAGGACCCAAGGTATAACGTAACTGCTATTAATAAATGATACTTATAGCCTATAATATATGCTGATTAATACACGAAGACAAAATACATATATGTATGGACTAAAGCTACATATTAGATATTACTTATATGAGGCGCCACAGCGTCAGACTCCAAAAAAGAAAAATGTATACAGCTACGTTGCATATGTATATATCGTACAAAATGGTCGACGCTCCTCGAAGCAACTCCACATATAATACTTATAGCAACAGCAGCTTGAACGTACTTGTTATTATTATTATGATTATCTCTTCATTTAATTTCTTTCTTTTTTCCTTGCACTCTATACCAACACCTGTTGTAATATATGCACAAAGTAAATGTACCCTGTACTGTGTATTGATGTATTATGTTTTGTGTATAAACAGTTATCGCGTACACATTACACAGAAGTCGTCAAAGCACAGCTTTGATTCGATTATTCATTAATACCTACCTATAGAGATGATGGTATCGGATCGATAGCTATAGATTAACTTGAGAAAGAAAAAGCACGGACAGCTGCTTCGAGCTTTAATATGTGTTGCCACTGATGCTATTGTTTCTGAGTTCCCCCACCTGCTTCAATGTAGTTTTGGGAATATACCCATCGTATAAGTACCTGTCGAATCCGTTGTTTTTATAACGTTACTTACACCGGGGCAACTAAGTTTTTTTACTATGCTACGCCCCGGCAGTGATTATCATTTATGTATTATACGTGTAGGTGTTTTAATACGTTATATTATATACTTGATCCTGCAATAATTTATGAAATATACTTACCTCGAAGATAGTATGCGCAGTCACACGTCCAAAGTCCTTCATGTTATTACATGGATTTGAGTATATTGTCGATACAGTGCACTTCTCTTCTCGGTGCAGTTTATTTCAAGATTTTTCACTCCATTCTCTGTGAGTTAGCGGTTTTTATAACAACGATTAAAGGAAAAAAAAAAAAAAATAGTGCGAAAACCTACGTATAGGAACCTAAAAGAAAAAGTTTTTTTTTTTTTTTGTGAAATTTCAATGATTTTTGTTAAAAGTTTATTTAAACAATTAGCATTTACGTGCATTTGTTTGTGTGAAAACATTTTTTTGACGCGTTTTCCATATATCTCCACGTTTACTTTGATTTTGATGTATTTTTAGGCGTTGCTAAATTCAAATTAAATGAAAATAAAAAAAAAAAAACACCAAGATAAATGGTTGAGTTTTTTTTTTATAATTGACGAAAAAAAATTGTCTCTGTTATATGTGTCTTTATCTCGGGATCTGCAGCTGCTGCTTTCTCGTTGCGTCTCGTCTGTTAGATATAGGTACAACACGACGTACTTGCCATCCCGTAATCCCCCACGTCGTTCTCGTGAGTCACGCTCCTCCGCGGTGGACCTCGCGAGGGGTCTCGTTGCTGCTGATTTCCCAGTCCATGACTACTGTGTATACATGTATATGCAGGGTATCACGGCTTGCGCCACCCGCCGTTCCTTCGACGTCGTCGTCGTCTTGTCGCCGCCACGACCGCTGCTGTGTTCACACTCACGCTCTCTCCCTTGCACAGCTCCACGACGACCCACGACTCCACCTCTCCACTCCTCCACACGGACACTGCTACATTGTCTATTGTATGTGCTCGAGTATGCGCTTTTGCGTTTTCCTCTTTCTCTTACACACCGTTCCTAGGTCCTACTACCTAGGTCCTGGAATGGACCTCTTCCTCTAGTCCTGGGTCTCTTTGTACATCGACGCACGTTACATCCTGGTTCATAGGACTGTAACTGCAACACTATAGTACTTATTGCTAGCTAGCATCTTGGCGGAAGGAAGTAACAATACTAGAAAAGAGAGGATCCGATCTTTATTTTTCTTCTCTTTACACGTTCATAGTTTGTACACCTTTGTTTTAAGTATATACCTACGATATGATAACTTTTTCAAGTATCCCGTCCTTTGTGTGTGCTCTTAACTATTTTCAGCACCTAATACAAAACACTTGAAGAAGTATATTGCATATTATAGTATACACTGTTGCACGTACNAAAAAAGTAAAAAAAAAAAAAAAAAAAAAAAAAAAAACAATAACAACAATTCACGTAAGCATCTGAAAAACAGTAAATTACATAGCCGATTTTATAATGTTTTTTTCCAACTAGCCATCGGATTATCGGAGAAATAGACACAATTGATCAGTGTTTCATCATCGGTCCGAAGTAATGACTATAATGTCCCCGAAATGTCACTGTTCCAGGTGTACTGTCCGTAAGCCGGCGATACGTCGAACCCATGAAGCCAGAGCGATTTGTTTGAAAGACGAGACGGGCTGAGGGAGGAAAAAAAGGGTGGAAACGAACCAAAACGCATCATTGAACATTAATCTTAAAGAAGAAAGCATGGAGAGACGCAAAGACGCACTCGCTCCTTTTACCTCTGGTAAGTCGATTTTTGTCCTTCATCATTATCGCCATCATCATCCATCAAAATTAATCATTATTGGAAACGCGTATAGAAATCGAATGAAAAAAAAAAAAAACCAACCGAGCGACCCTCGATGACGAATATAATGGCTCCCATGCATCCCGAAACATATCCATGCATAACATGAGATGTAACCACACAACAGATTATATGCATCAGCAATAACAGCCTCCCTCTGTATGTACCTATCATTGCACGCACGCGTGCCATAATGTATATCGGTCAGCATCGCGATCTATTGTCATGAAGACACACGCGCTACACTGATATTATGTGTGTACGCTATGCAAGTCGGGCAAAAGGGACGTGCATAACGATAATGATTGAAATGCATCGCCGAAAGCTTCGGGGAGTATATACAACGAGAGAAGACAACAGCTTGCGGGGGAGAGATGATGATCAACGCGCGCGCGCGCGCGCGAGCTCTCCACATCCGTATATACATATATAATGGATCAGTTGAGCTCTTTTTCGCTGATGAGATTTTTGTGGGCCACGTAGGTACAATACAATATACAAACACACTTGTAACTCCAGTACGGCCCGAGGGAGCGTATGGCGCCAGGGTCATGACAAACGCGTCCCTATACTTATTTTCACACGATACGCATCACATCGCGTTTATAATCTCACGCCACCCGTTGAAAGTTTAATTAAATAACCAGCCTTTTTTTTCTCTTTTCCTTCTTCCTCGCCCTTCTCGTCACTCCATCAGAACCAACTGTACCCACTTACGACAAACGAAGAAAAAAAAGTAAGCACTTGCGTGTTAATGTAAATACCTACACATCATCCCTCAAAATATAGTATATATATATATAAGCCCGTCATCCTTAACGACTCGTGCCGTGCGAGAGACACTATAGGTACTCTTGACGGTTGCGCACGTATAATTAAAGCGTTATAGTAGTTATAACCATATATTATAGGTATACTAACGAGACAATTTATAAAAGCCATTTGTATAGGGATAAAGTTACCCTAATGGTTAAAGCTATATAGGTATAGGTATAAGTGTATGATAAAGAACATCGCGATACGTGGTGGTGGACGTGTGAATTGTATATACGTACGCACATCATGAACGTGTTTTCGTAATTTGATACAGATTGGTAGGCAAGTACTATAAGTAGGTACCTAACTTGATTTTGTTGTCGCTGTGCAGGGCTTACTTATACTTGTTATTATGAGTGCGCGCAGGATTATGCGGGGCTTTTCGTTTGACCAAACTCGCGCGCATCTATTATTATTATTATTATTATATCGTAGGTATATATGCGTGTGTGTCGTATACCACCAGATAAACAACCGAGTAATCGATAAATGAGGAAAAACAACACAGTTATACAATCTATATCCTTATGTGTAGTGTAGAAAGGGACTATACTCTATTTTGTCTTGTGGCTTACTATTTATTTATTTACCTATACTTTTTCCCAAAATACCTACTTTATCTCCTCTGAATATATTAATTATACATATACACTGATAGCGCAAACGAGAAATAAATGCGAAGAAAGTACGTTTGTTAACAAATTTAAATGGACGCACTGTGGCAGCAATAAATTAATATGTATGTTTTATCATCGCTACAGATAGTGGTCGTGCACAAATATATATATATATACATACACACATAGAGAGTATAAATTATGTACATTGGCATTGGTCGACAACAAAATAAACGTGCCCTTCACGCGCCAGCCCTCTATATATATATATATCCGATAAGCTGCTTGCGATACAGGTGCCATGATATAATATAAATGGGAGGAGGGTGAAGCGAAATACGTATACACGTTGTATGTAATAAGTAGGGCGCCAAGGGGAGCCAGGACATTTTTAGGAAAATTGATTTTTTTTCTGCGGCTTCGCATCGAAGCGACGAGGGGGGGAGGGGATGTGCTCCCACTTTGCTCCTCATTCTTTTCATCACCCCCTTTGACTCTCTCTCTCTCTGTTGTTGTTGGTGGTCTCCCTAGAAGAGCGCACGTCACCCCTCGTAGGCTCAAACTTCAATGGCTATCGGTATAGCTAGAAGACGCCTCCATTTTTTACGGGATTACTCGCGTTCAAAACTATCAAGCATCAATGCCTTGATTACTTGTTCTCACTTTTTTCGCTAACTGAGTATCGTCCGTTAGCCCGAGCGCCTACCCGTCGAGTTGTGCCCCCCTTGCAGCAAATTCCAAAGCAGCGCACTCAGGCACTTGAGGATTCATTTCATGTTCGGGCATCTTACCTACTGCTGAATTCGCTAGCCCCCTTTTCTTTTGATTTGTCGCTTGCCGGCTTCAGGACCCTGCTCTTTAATAAATTGATATGGAGCTTGATAAAAATGACTGGGAGTCCAGAGTCGTGGAGGAGGGCCTCCCTACTGATCAATAGTCATCCTGTTTTTCCCTCCCCCTCTCCCGGGTCGAACTTGAAATGTACATGATATTATTTATATTGTTCCATTTCCTCCCTCTCCTGCTTTTCCCTAGTCTTCCCTCGGCGGTTCCGGGTTGGTACCTGTGAGCTGCTTTAGTGAAATCGATTGAAATCTAGTGAATTCTTACAGTTTGGCCTATTATATCTTCTTTTTCTTTCTTTGATTTTTTTATTTCACCCTTGTTTCATTTGCCTAACTTGTACTGATCTTGATTCATTTCAAATATGGTGACTGTATTGCATGGCGAGAGAGCCATTTTGTATTTCAACAAGCTCGTTGTAAAAATTGTATATTATCCTTGATAGACCACCTAAGGTCTTAAATAAAAAAAACCTTCAAACCTTCTTTCTCATAAGTATAGTTCTGGCTTATCATCCCCCCTGTATTGTATGTGTGTGTACATAGCTATCGAGTGTATAAAACTTTTCTCTCTATTTTTTTGTTGGCGAAACGACAGCACGACGACACACTATGTGGGTCAAGCTCAAGTGCAGTAAAAGTGAGCGCACGCAATCAATCCTTATTTTTCGGATGCCCGTTTACCTGCTCCATATACATGTAGTACTGCACGCGTATTCTTTTTTTTTTTTTTTTTTCCTTACTTTTAAATAATACGTATACATATATTATATCCGTGTGTATAACGGCTTTTTACGTGACATATTTATATTTTTTTTCGTTATCAACAACAAAGTGGGACGTATTTTTCATCGCCCCTGAAATTACTTACGCTGCAATACCTTATACATATCGGAGCACGATTTTTACAGTCGAGCTTTTCGCTCCTCCTCGGACGCGTGTAATCCACCGTATGTCAATTGGGTAATAGATGACGTTCATATTGGAAACTACTCGCCTCTCTCTCTCTCTCTTGGTAGCATCTATTTTTCGCTTCGAATACGTGTATGACGTTCGTTTGACGTAAGACAACAAAAAAAAAAAAAAAAACCATTTTGTTAACCATCATCATCATCATCATCATCTTCGTGTTATTAATGCTCAGTGTGATATCACGAAGATAACAGTTGAACGCTAAAAGTAAAAAATAAAAAAATCCGTCGCGCGACGTTTCAGATGCGGACGAAGGCCCGAATAGCGGAGAGGACAGCGACGAGGACGTAGTCACGGACTACCTCGGTTCCGCGCAGTCGGAATGCTCGCGCGGCTCGATCGTCAACGGGGACATCGGCCTCCTCGAGTACGCCAAAGACGCGCCGGCCACCGGCCATCAACAACAGCAGCAACCAGTTACGGTTGTAACAGCCAGCATGTCCGAAGAGCCCTACGAGCGAGCACAGCCACACCACCAGCCGGGCAATCCCCTGGTGCCGATCATCAGCGTCACCCCGCACTCGCCGGGCCTCGCCAAGAACTATCCGGTCTTGGGTGAGTCGATAACATACGGCAACGCCATTCAACTGCATGCTATATGTATATATATTTTCATTGCTCGAGTATAAATTAATGTCCGTTGTGTTTTTTCAGAGGGGCCGCTGTGCCACCTCCACGAGATCCAGGATAAGATATACCAGTTTCGCTACCAGACGTTGGCCCAAGACGTTGGTGGGGGCCGCTCGACGATGATGCACCAGCAACATCATCAGGCCGACCACCACCTGTCGAGGTTCAGTACCTCCTGTCCGTCGCTCTGCCCGGCGATCTCGATAGACGGGGTGCCGATCGGCCGGCCCCAGAGCCAACACCAGCAGTCCCGCGAGCAAGACGGTTCGGATCCGGATTTTCTCGCCAACTGCTCGAGCAACAGCTCGCCCACGCACTTTCCCGGGCTGCCGATCGGCAACGGACAGACCGACTGCTGCGGACAGGCCATCGATCGGCGCCGCAGCTGGACGGATCTCGAGGACTCGAGGCAGCGTCTGGGTACCGACCAGAACCACCTCCAGGCCGAGAACATTGTGAGACCCTTTTTTTTTTTTTTTCGTGGTCTGATCCTTTCTCCTTCCATTACGCTAATTGAACCTTTGTACGACAGCGACAGCGCAGTATTAGCTTGAGTAGCCTCGACAGCGACTTGGATCTGGAGCTTGACAGCAAAACCCGAGCCAGGGATTCGAGTAACAAGTCTCGCACGTCAGTCTCGCAATCGAGCACCCATTCTCTCAACGAGGCTGATTTTGTTCAGGTATACCATCGCTGTGGGATTTATGCGCTGAAAATATTTAATTATCCTGTTCCTTTGCGCCGGCGAATGTTTGAAAACAGGGCGAGTTTAAGAAAATGCAGGCAAAGAGGGCCGGCCAGAGGCTGGGAGAAAACGTGAGCCTGATGCCGGGAGTGAGCGGTTCGCGGTTGCCGCTACAAAAGTCTATTTCCACGCCATCCATTGTCATACCTCCTGGTCAGGCTCATCTCTTGGATGCCAATGGTCGCGGTGCTCCCTCTCTTTCAGCGTAAGTTTTTCAGTCGTATTGCTTGAATTTGTTTTTAGTCACGGTTTGTCTAACGGTACATCACACGGACACCAATGCAATTTTTCATGGACCAATTCTCGGATCGATATGTTTGCATTTTTTTTTTAGTTATTAATGCTTAATTGTGTCCGTGTGGTTCTAGAAAAACCGTTAGACGAAAGATCAAGTATTAATTCAACACTAGTCACAAAAAGTATTTATGTATGCGTGTTAATTTTTTTAAGGTCAATAATTGATGTGTATTCAAAGGCTATGCTATTTTTTAATCAACACAAATTGAGCCTCATTGTAGTTATTTTATGCGCACAATTAACGAAAGTCAATTATGTTTGTCTAAAACAATTGCATGGCTATGGAACAAATATTTTATTCAGCACACGACTTTAACACATATCAATATATGCAGCACCTGGGTTGTACTTAATGAACGTATGCAATCTTAGCATGCCGCTTAATTTTTTGCTACATACTAGTTATATTTTTATCACAAATTAGACAAAAAATTTTTAGATTATTGTATTTTTAAGGAAAGATAGAAATAAGTAAAACACGAAGAAACTTTCACCTGGCCGATTGCACTCGAGTTTGAATATGTGTTTTCATTATTTTATTTGTTTTATTACTTTGTACTTTGGCACGACAGTGATCGGCATGAAAGGCACGAAAAAGGTAGTGGAAGCGAGACAGAAACGGACGATCTTCACATCCCTCTTGGTCATGATTTTCACGAGGATTTGATGAGGGAGGGCACGCCAAATACCCAGGTCTCTCTAGATGAACTTTTAACCGAGTGAGTACTCGAAGCGTACCCATACCCAGACAAATGAACCACTATCGATGAGTTAATACGATATCTGTGCATTAAAAATGATTCGTTTACTAATCAGAACTAACATTTTCCAACTTGAGTAAAATTTTTCATCAACACTTTTTGACTACTTAAAGTGGGTGTCAAGGTCGTTAGGTTTTTAAAAATATATCGAAGGCTTCGCTTTCTCTAATATTGCAGTCATCCAATTTGCTAATCTTATTACTTTTCATATGCGTTCGCATTGATTGCATGTGCAATAATTTTGATTTTTATGCTTTTTTTTCACTCACCAAAAACTATTTTTATGTTTTTTCATAACAAAGACCATTTCGTGAAAGCCGAAAAAGTCTTTTAACAAAAAAAAAAAAAAAAAAAAAACTTTTTCGAAGAGATACTTCGTCACTCGTTCCTATATATATCACATGTAAGTGCTCTTAAAAATTAAAAATAAGTCATAAATAATAACACTGTAGTGTAGAGTTGTTTCAACGGCACGCAGTAGGTGTGAATTTTTCTAATGCATCTATGATGTTCTTCTTATATAAATGTTGTGATTCAAATACAAAAAATGTATGCAGCTTTAAAACTAAACAAAATATTTCTATTGAATGTATGTATATTTTTTTTTTCTTCATCCAATTACAGCACACCATATGACGACCGGCATTCCGAAAAAACCAAAAGAAAACGAGGTTCATTATTTTCACGGAGAAAGAAGGTAAGAGATTTTTTCGTACTCATACATTGATCGAAAAACTTGAACTGACAAATACGTAATGACATTTTTATTAGGATAAAAGTGCCAAAAAACCGGTTCAGCAACATCAATGGACAGCAAGTAATGTTCAATTTCAAGGAAATAGCAACAATACTTGTGATTTTTGTATGAAATCATTCGCCAACAAATCTATTGTACATTGTGAAAGTAAGTATTTTGTTTTGCTTAGTTATTTTTTTTTTTAGAGTTCAAAACAGTGATGATATTTTTTTTTTTTTTTTTTTTTTTTTCCGAAGATTGCGGAGCAGTTGTTCATCAGTCATGTAGGGAACACTACCAAGCCGAGTGTAGCGCCAAATCAAAACAATCTTCGAACAAATCTTCATTCAAGTCGTTGTCAAGTGTTTCCATATCGTCAAGCAGCAATATTACTAAACGCGGTTCCACCTCATCCCTACCCTCACAGGCTTCGACCGGTACTGGGAGGTAAGTGTCGAAATAATTTTCAACTATTATTTATCACTTTTAAAATGTAATGCGATTGCTGCTTCGGGTCTTTGTTTTCATTTGATTAAGGATATCTTAGCACGCTGCAGTAAGCATGGGCTGATAGAAGCTCTAAGTTGCAGAAATTATTTTTTATCATTGTTATATTTCTTCCCCATCACAGTTGCGAATAATTTTTCTTAGGCAATAGTGTGCGCACGATCATTAACAATAAGTAAATTGTCGCACAAATATTAAAATTCGGCGATCATTAGTGTTGCATAAAATTCGATAGTAGCATTACACAACAAATTACCACAAAGTGCACGTTACTTATTTTTTAAATATTGTAACAAATCTATATCCATTGAGCAACTAACAGAGATTTTTTGCGTTTGAAGACATTGTAAAGAAAAAAAGTTATCGAAAACAAAAGTAAAATAAAAAACTATCAAATAACATGTAAAAATATTAGAAAAAATATAGATTCAATATACATGAGTTATACTAATATTTTGTTCTAGTGCTTAGATACATATATACATTGGTTTGGAAGCTCATTCATGTCACATATTATTTTGTCTATATTTTTCCATTACGTTAGCAATTGGCTTTTATTGGTGCAAACGTTGCATTTCTTTTGTTATAATGTTGCCCTTTGATTTTGCCATTTTTTCTCTGACACAATTATTTTGGCCAAATGATTGTGAATATGTATACAATCAATATATGGGGAGTCAAGAGCTTGAGATGCTTGTTAAAAATTGGAAAAAAATATGCAAGGGATTGAGAGTTGAAAAATAAGGTTGTTGTTATTATTGTTATGTAATGTGGTGGATGTGGTTATTGAGCGCTAAACGGGGCATAAGTATTTAAGAAATAGACGGGTGGGCTAATGCAATGTGCTTTTTTCCTTTTAACCCTCACATTGTGCATTCCCACGTTGTTGCGTGTCACTGTAACTCTCGACAACTGCACGAACGACGACTAACCCTCACGACTAACAATCTTCGGTAATAAAAGGGATAATAGCAACAAGAAAGCGGTGACAGGCTACAGCCCTTGGCGGCGAGTTGCTACCAAACTCGGAGTCAAGTAAGTCCCTCTCAGAAACCAATCTGATCAGCAATGATCGGCCAAAATCTGCATACTCACTCCTGTATTCTCTTATTTCTAAGTATCTTTTTCTATTTCTCTTATACTCTCTCTTTCTCATGCAGAAGAACCAAACATTTGCGTCAATACAAAAATGGTGTACTTCTACTTAGTATCTCTCATTTCACTCTTGAGTTTTTCTCCTCGACTATAGACACCCCTAAATAATTCACCTTTTTTTTTTGTCTCATTTGTTTTTTCTGTGTATAATCTCCACCTGTTGCCACTACTTATAGTTATTTTTACCCTACATAATATGTACACGTTACACTAGATTTCCTGCCTATATACTTACACACATTCATCCACACGTTTGTAATATTGTAATGAATATGAGTAATGAGTAATGACCAATGAGACATTTCTCTCTCTACAATATATGTAATATTTATTTACTTATCCATACGTGTGTACTGCTTATTATGCAGGGCATAAATGTGCATCCTAATTTCGTATTGTGCTCTGAAAACTACAATTGTATATATATATAATATATATATACTCAATTAATTCATACAAGGTCTTTTGCTCGTAAAGACTCTAAAAATTGTTTAGAATTTGTACAATACAATTACGTGTAGTATATAAATAGTTATTGTAACCTCGAGCCAAAGACCTGTTTTTTTAAACTTTTATTCTACATCACACCTACGCCCATCGCATATAAACCCTCTCTGTACATCACTCTTCGATGTTACTTTCCAGCATTTTGGAGTTGGATCACAAGTTTTTGTTGTTATTTTAGTCGTTGTTGTTGCTGTTGCAGTTTCATGCCTTTTTGTATTTCAAACGACGCCAACGAAACTTCCTTCCATTCATTCTATTTCATCGCTGTAAGCTGGCGAATATTTATTAAAGTTTTGCCTTTCCTTTATTGCCGTTTGGAATTATTTGTCGATTTACTGCGAGTACGAGAAGAAAATTAAAGTTTAATGAATTGTCGCCGTACAACACGTGCCTTTCAACTCTTTGCTATATGTACTTCAATTCGTTGCTTCTCTCTGACTTCATTGCATCACTCGAGTGCTATGGTAGATTGTTATGGAGATGTGAATAATATATGTGGTCAAACATACCGAAAACGAAATTATACGACAAATTCACGTTCCCATAAAAAAAAAAAAAAACCTCACCGATGTCGTTCTTCTCTCCTCATTAAATCTCTTCTGTAATACGTAGGTGACACCAGATGTATGTACATATATTTTCTGTAATGTTTAATAATGCTATATACCTTTTATTAGATTTGTTCTTAAACCATTGCTATGACCATTTCGTTAAGTATTATTGGAGCATAAAAAGTAGAAACGATGTTTTGTTTACTTTTTCTTTTTTTTTACAGTTCATACCACGACTAATGTTCTCCCAACTGACATGTATACTTACTTATCTTTTACAACGTATTTATAAGTTCTAGATTTACGTCATCCATACCGTGATTTCACGCTCGTTTTTTAAACACGTATGCATATATATAATTGTAATTATCACTTTGTCTCAATTTTGATAGCATCAGGAAATCATCCTTGCATTTGTTTCAATTCACTGGAATGTTGCTTACAACTTTTATTTTGTGTATGTTTTTTTTTTTTCGATAAAAACATGTGTATTATATGTATGGGCCCTTATACTGTATAACGCGTACGCATACAACACTCACGGAATCGGCTTATCAGTCTCTTTTCGTTAAGTATTCGTACTTTTACGGAAAGTAATTTGGGAATGTAATAATACCTCCAAAGTTTTTGTTTCGTTTGCCGGTAATTGCTTGCCGAAGATAAAACGCATTGTTGATTACAAGACTGCTTTGGGTCTCGCTTTCCAAAATATTAAGTATACGTACATTCATAGTGCAGGAGAGAGTTGAGACGTCGCCGAGTTGTAAAAGTTAGACCCGATCGTTAAATGGCCATTTGGGAGGATTTACAATAACGAATGCGCAAGAAGTAAGTAAGTATATCGGGCACGGTAAATTTTTGAGGTTTCTTCCTAATGGCCATTTAATGATCGAGTGAATCGAGTCACATGCCCATTTATTTGTGGTCGAGTCATCGCGTTGTACATATTGTAAGTAGTGCCATCGTGTTGTGGCCAAAAGAGACGTCGAAATTTATCAAACCCACAGGTGTGACCCCCACGTAAAGCCTTGTATTCATATATTCTACGAGTTTGTATTTTATCGGACAACTTTTAAGTATGATTACATTGCAGTCTTGTAAGCAGTACGTATCGGTTATACTCGAACTTTTACACAATCGAATCGGTGCCATGAACTTTCGTCATTCGTACCGCGAGATGTCGATGATACAAATTCCTACGTCGCAAGAAAATACGAGGTCGTAATGTGTTCCCAAATTTTTTTCTACGTTCAGTTGAACGTTGTTTTTTTTTTTTTTTTTTTTTCTTTTCTATTTACAACGTGGTTCACATGCACCCATTGCAGATACTTGCCTCCTGCAGTTGTTTCGTTCGCGCACATAGTTCCGTTGAAAGTGTATTTGTATTAAAATACTTTGTTTTTCCTTTCCTTCCAGTCAAACGATCAACGAAGAACGAGATGGGGACGGAGGCTCGCATCGTGACGTTTCCAGGTAACAACAATCACGAATATCTAATGTGCCCAAGAGGAAAAAAAAAAGCAACAAAAAATGCTAAATGAAAATAAAATAACGCAGTGGGCTGGAGGAGCTGGACTTTGAGGAGGCACTGCAGCAGTTCAGTCTCGAGGAGTTCGACGCCCAGCACGCAGAGTTGGGCCTGGGCCGGGACGAGCCGGACTCGTGGAGCGCCTCGGTCGGTCGCAAGGCTCAAGCGCTCCGGCTGGTGGACAACAACGAGCGCGAGGTCAAGCGCCAGGAGCACATCTACGAGTTCGTCGTCACGGAAAAACACCACTGTCTAGTGCTGCTCGCGATGCAGCGCATCTTCGCCGACAACCTGCAGCGGCTTTTCCATCTAGGCGTCGCCGTCATCGATCGGATGTTCCCCCGGCTCCAGAGCCTCATGGACATTCACTTTGAGTTCCTCTCGAAGCTGCGCCGCCGGCAGGCCGAGGGTCCCGTCGTCCCGAGCATCGCCGACATCCTTATCGAGCAGTTCTCCGGGGAGAACTCGCACGCGATGAAACGGGCCTACGGTGACTTTTGTAGCCAGCACCGGGACGCTGTCGACGTCTACAAGCACCAGCAGCTCGATCCGCGCTTCGCCAGATTCGTCCAGCGCTGCCAGGTAGGTGGCTCATCCAGTGTTTAATGCACATAGCGTATACGTTATGCATCATGTGCGTGGCAAATTCTCGTAGACCAATCCCTTGCTGAAGAAGAAGGGCATCCCCGAGTGCATACTCTTCGTCACGCAGAGGCTGACCAAGTATCCACTCTTGATAGAGCCGCTTATAAAATCTGGCGTCACAACCGAAGAAACGGACAAGCTGCGCAAGGCTCTGAGCCTCGTCAAGGAGATACTAGCCGAGGTGGACGCGTGTGTCGCTAAAAAAGAGCGAACTGATCGCAAACTCGATATTTATCACAAGTAAGTGATGTGCTCCTCGCTGGTGCTCCTACGTGTAATTATTGCGTTCTTGTAATTTTTTGTTCTTCGTTTCAGGATCGATCCCAAATCGTACGCGACTTACCGCGGCAAAAAGTTCAAAAAATCGGACATACTGGCGTCCAATCGCAACCTCAAGTTTGACGGGACGGCTTGTCTGATGCAAGGCCGGGGCAAGATGATGCAGGTCGTCGTGGTCGTTCTCACGGATGTACTTTTCTTCCTGGTTGGTGAGCAAAAGCACGCCTTCTTCGTGCCTGAGCACAAAGCTGGCGTCGTCTCGCTGCAGAAACTCCTGGTTCGCGAGAAAGCTGGGCAGGAGTCGCGCGGCATCTACCTCATTAGCAGCAATCCTAACGAGCCCGAGATGTTTGAGCTCAAGGTCGTTTATTATTCCTCTTTTTCTCTTTCCCCTTCCATTGTTGTCTCGTGCAAAGATTAATGATTTATCTTGTTGATGTGTTTCATTACAGGTGAAAGATCCTCGCGACAAGCACGTGTGGATCAAAGCTATCAGGGAGGCTGTTGAGACGTGTCCTCAAGAAGAACCCGACATTGAAAGTCCCTGTTTCATCGAGAACAACATGTTCAACGAAATGAGGGATACGCGGTCCCTGTCCTTGACGAAACTCTCTTCCGAGGACAAGCTCAGAATAGCCAAGGAAGCACGGGTGCAGAGTATACTTGGTAATTTATGTTACCTTCAAATGCAGAATGTAGTTACTTCACATACATTTATGCGTAATCTCATGTATTTGCTCTGTCAACAGATGAATTGCGGAAAAAAGACGAAGAGCAAGCGGCGCTGTTTGAGCAGAAAATGGAATTACACATGAAACTGTACCAGACCATTAATTTACCAACTAGTGCCGAGAACAACGGAGATAAAGTAGACAAAGATACTCAAAACATTCCTGAATATTTGAGGCTCATCCGAGCTGAAGGAATCAATTCAACGCAGATGTGGCAAGAGGTGATTGACATTTTACGTTTGTACAATAATCATGACTGGTGCCGAACGCATGAATAATCTGGCTTGATTTTTTATAGGCTATGAAAGCTGTTCACGAAGCCATCAGGCTTGCAAGTTCGTTGTCATGTAGTGCTGGTGGTGGAACTCTGTCTAGGAGTCTGAGCTCAGCTGGCGAGCGGCACAGTGAAGCTTACGTACCTCCATCGCTCGCTGTTCCACGAAGAGCTGAAACTTTTGCTGGTTTTGACCACAACAAGGTTTGTTCTCACTTAAAGTTCAACGGAAATTTGTTGCCATGTGTTTAGATACAGTGCTCAAATTAATTATTGTGCTTTGATGTCTTGCAGGAACGTTACCCGTGGCGTGACTCGGTCGCATTGAGCAGCAATGCCGAATCGAGCTCATCAAAAAGCAGTGAGCCCGGCTCGGAGCAACCCGAGATCAAGGAGGAGGATGAACTCGACGCATACAGAGACCAGCGCGAAGTCGCTGTCAGGCTGTCGCATTATGTGCACTCTTTGCTTTACATCATCAACCATCAAATGACGAACATCGAGAGCCTACAAGCTCAGCAGGGTAAGTGTGTTGGCTCTATTTAATCGTATCATCATTTCGCAAGGTCTCGTTGAAAAATTGTTTGATTTATTTCTAGCTGGTATAAGGGATAGCGTTGGCTCTGCTGTAAAGCCGAACAACCGACCGAATCCGAATCGTCAACTGGAAGAGTTGCGCAACCTGCAGGACCAACTGAGCCGCGAGCGCGCCGAGTTTCGTGCGGCTTCTGAGCAGAAGCAAGCTCAGCTGGAAGAAGAGCGTGCTGAGCTAAAAAAACTCCGTGAACAGCTGACGGCTGAGCAACACGACGTCAAAGAGCAGCGCGAACAGCTGTTCCGGAAACTCGAGGCTCTGACGCGCCAGGGTGTTACCCTGACAACGACTACGGCGTCGGTGCCGGTGGTTGTGCCCCACTCCTCTTCCATTTCCGATGCTGGTCAGTCATCCTCCTCCTCGGCTGGACCCTCGACTTCCTCGGTATCGCGTAAAAAGTCACAGCCCGATGAGAAGGGCATTATACCGCAGAATTTGTTGAGCGCCACCAATCAGCGCAAAGTCCTCAAGGATCTGCCAGTCAAGCAGCAGCTTCCGCTCAAACTAGCCAGTAGCAGTAACAACAGCAACTCGAGGTATTGTTTCCTAATTATAGTCTGGCTGCGTAAATTATTTTGTACATTATCAAAATAATCGTGATTATTGTTTACAGAAGCGGCAGCTTGACGAGCAACAACAGTCCAGATCGTCACTCACGCACTGGTAGCAGTCCAGCAATCGTAACCAGTTCATCGACCTTGTCATCGCCTGAGCTCGGTGTAAGCGCCAGCAATCATTACAACAACGGATCCAGTGTTCTTAGCCACTTTTCTATGTCGAATCGCTCGCTTCGCTACACTCGTATACCAGAGCCTTATCCTCGCAAACATCACGCTCTGCAACAACAACAGCAGCAGCAGCAACAACAGTCTCAAGAGCAACAACAAACAACTGCAAAGGTTCAACAACAACAGCAGCAGCAGCAGCAGCAGCAGCAGCAGAAACCTGGTGAAGAGCAAGTACTATTTTTGTGACGTATTTTTCGCTTCGGTCGCAAGCACTTGAACAGATCAACGCGCGTCTCGACGGGCGGAGCCTCAACGCCTACCGCGACATCAACTCCGACGAGAGTTGTTTCGAGGGGGCAACTTGAGGAGACGCAGCAGACGCCGAGAAGTAGAGTAAAGTCATTTTGATTATTGACTTTTGGGATGCAGCGCGATAAAAGGTAAATCTCATCTCTGCATTGGGATTCTCAATGAGTTCCTGGATCATAATTTTTGTTGACGTTATAGCTTCTATTTATGAATTGAATCAGCATTTAAGTTTTAATTTGGATTGCTTGAACTGCAATCCGGTCATGAAAATCGGAAGTATGTATGGGTGATTATACTTTTTTCAAAGTGGCATTTACTAAAGACTGCGAAATTTTTATTCAAGTACATTGATTTTTTGAAAACTCCTGGAAAAATTGAGTTGGCATCGACGACTTAATTTTCCGTTTAATAAAATTAAGGCTGAGTTTTCAAAGAAAATAACGCGAGTATTGATGCACACGCGTTACAAACTTTATGTGCAAATCAGCATTCCCTGCTATATTTAATCAATTTAAACATTTTTTTTTTTTCATTCGAGAGAATTTAAATAATAATAGCTCTACTTTAGAATGATATAACTGTGCATGAATTACTCTAATTGATTTAAAGGACAAACATATTTTTTCTATTCAATTTTTGATACTATGAAAGATCAGAGATTTATTAATTATCATACTAATGATGAAACTAGTATCAAGCTATCGAAATTTTTACGATACATGCAGTAAGAATAGCAGAGTTTAGCAGGTTAATTTACGGGAGTTTTACTTCAAATCATATACGTGAGCATTTGTAAATAATAATAAAGAAAAGTATATCCAATGTTGAGATTTTTTTTATAGAATGAATTTTATATAAAATTTATCAAACATGGAAAATCTTTGATCATCAAAGAGATGAATTTCAAATGGAGAAAAAAAAAAAACGAATCTTAAGGCAATAACTAACTACTACTTTGTAAACATCTGATAGACTTGTACAGGATTTATATTGAATCGTCATATATATAAATATACATATATAAACGTTTCTAGAAAAAATGACATTTCCNACCTTACAATCCTAAAAATTTCAAAAGTACACATACGAATTACGTACTATAAGAATAGTGATCATATATGCATCCTTGACAACCTCTTTTATTAATATAAACATGAGACATTTTAATGCCATTTCATCTTAAATATTTTATAAAAAGTGGCATTGTTAATTATAAAATTAACAACATTAAGGTACAATAAGAATATTATTTCAGTTTTATTAAAATAAAACTTTGAATACATATCAAGTCATCTGCTGAATTCAAATATTTTAAGCGTAAACTGATGTAGTTTTAACACCATCACGTTTAATATTTCTTCTACATATATATTTAATGGAAATACATAAGTTTATGATATTAAGCGTGACTTTGTTATGGGAATAATATCTGCTCGAAATAACGGGTGAATCTGATTTTTATATTTGAAGCAATATTTAAAAACTTAATTACATCTACAAAAGCAAAGCATAATTTCATGTTATGAAGCATATATATATATATACATGTGTATACATATAAACAATTTATGATGAAGTTTAATCGGTATTTGATGAAGAAAGCTGAAGAGATGTAAAAAGACAATAATTTTAGTAAGCTTTAGACTATTATACGATGAAAATCGGAAAATATTAAATTTATATCTTACTCTCGAGTTTGACCTCACACACTTGTCATTTTTTTCCTCCCACTCGATAATTTTCCATTAATACGTCAAGTTCATTCTCTTTAATTATCGAAAACTAGCGTGTGTGAAGTTTTTCATACGAATCTAGACGCTTAAAAATCTATTTTAAGAAAGTCGGTTTTAGGTCGACCGAGTTGTCACGAGCCCTAGGTCTTTTGTCCTTGTTATTTCATTTTATGATCCGACTTCTTCAGGTCTGGCTAATGGAGCTTTCGACTTTTCGGTAGTAACAGTTGTAGTCGTCACTTCCAAATTAGCTAAATCTGCGGCACTAATCTGTAATAAAATAAAATACATGACATTAATTTTGACCTTTTGTTTCGCTCAAGCACATTTAAATACAAGCATATGATCTCTAGTTGGAAACCAACTAGAAAGAGATATTAGAAAAATGAAAATTCAGGCAGATGTTGCACGTTCACGTATAAGCAACAGATAATAACACAGATTATACACATATTTTAATATGATTTGTGTAATGTAATGTTATTTTCACAGATGCCCACATCAAGTATTTTTTTTAACCAAACCAAAAGCCAAGAGCATTAGTAGCGAAAGAAGTAATAGTATTGAGACGAATAAAGGTGCGATCGTCAGTTGATAATTTGCTATGGGTTACATTTTATCACATTATAAAATGTTATTCAATTTATGACAAAACTGAAACTCTTTATGTATAGGTGATTTTGTATAGAACTGACGTTCGCAAAGTTAACATGTTAGAAGTAAATCAAGTCATGAAGGAAGCAGACATTTTCCGGTTATACTCTTGAAAGATAATTTTCAACGATTTTCGATTATATTTTTCCTATAGTCTGACCTCAACGTTTGGGGGTAACGTGATGGTGGCATGTGTAGTTGTTGTTTCTGTACCGCTGCGAATTTCTCTCTCTACTGTGGTGCCTATAAAAATATTGGTGAACGAAAAATAAAACAAATAATTTATAAAAATAATAGAATAGTGGAGATAAAAAAAAAATTTGAAAGAAAATTTGGATCTACAATAAAATGTGAATTCATAAAGAATACAATAACAAAGAACTTACTGTTCAATTGTTCGGAGGCGTTGTGCTGCGTCGTTTGCGTTTCAACATCGCCATTGGTTGTGATTCCATTGGTCGAAGCTTGCTGCGATATCACTGTTGTCGTTTTCACTACGACTGATTGATTTTGCGTCGAGCTTTCCATTGTGCGAGAAGTCACTTCCATTTTTAAGCCAGCGAGCCTACTATTGAGATCCTCTGCTGACGAATTGACATTTCTAAATAGCGAACTGTTACTGTTGGTTCATTGGCAAGATCAACAGCAACGAAAAATAGTGAAAATCAAGAAAACAATAATAATAAGCTAACTATTTTCTATCAACAATTGCGCGGTAGCAGACTCTGAAGACTTACAGAAGATGATCCTTGACGCTGTCAATGGTGATGTCTCCGATTGAGCTGAGATCCTGACGATCGTCATCACTAATTGGCCCCCCGGCGCTCCCACCATTTACATCCGCTGTACTCGAAGCTGGCCTTAGCGATCCTGTTACTGCAGCTTCCCGCAGCGATTCTTCAGCGTTTGCTAAAAGATGGGGGATGAGCCAAGCGCAAAGAGCACAGCGTATTCAACGTTTACGTCACACGTTTTTCAAAAATTATTTTACACTTAACACTGACGTGTGACGTTGAAAAAAGAGATGATAAAATTTTAGATTAATTCGAGTTTAGAATTATTAATATTACAAATTATAAGACTGCACTTTGATGCCATGAAAAATTTTTTTTCTCCTAATTTCAAATTTATTCTCTTTTATCGCTACCAAATGTAAGGTTTTTTATTTTTTTAATTATTGAATAATTGTATTATATGAATACAATTAAACTCTTATAAAAATTATATGCAGCATTTGTGGAAAAAGAAAGAATTCGTACGACAAATCTATTTTAAAACTTTATAACACTGCGATAGCCTTCGTTATTGTAATTTATTGAATCAGTAGCGAAAGTTCGGTGCTGTGAATTTACATTTATTTGTATCTATTACAGTACAAGATACGGCTGCGAGTTGTAACCTATGACATGACTTTCATGATTTGTAATGTATATTTGCCGAAATTTTTACATCATGAGTCAAAGTTAGGCAAAAAAGTACTTTACACGTGTATCTTTAATACATCATGTTAGCCATACACATGGGTAATACAATGAAGCAAAACGCTGATTTTGCTTATTTAAAAAAGATACAGTAAAAATTAGTCAATGATAAGTATTTGCATTATGATAATACGAGGTATAAAAAATTTATGAATCCACAGTGTACCTGGGAAATATAAATGTGTGTCTGCGGAAATCGCCGATTTCTTTGCCTACAGTCGGTGTTTTGTTTTTCTTAAAAAAGTGTAAGTACGTCGCGGGATACGGTAGAATAAAAGAAATTTATCTTTTCTAAACAAAAAAAAAAAGAGTTTACCTTACAATCCTAAAAATTTCAAAAGTACACATACGAATTACGTACTATAAGAATAGTGATCAAATAGCGTTGTTATATCTTAAAATAAGGCGAAAAATGAATCCTGTTCGATCTTAGACTCTTAAGGATAAAAAGAAATCACCTTACAAATCGTCACAATCATTATATTTAAATAAGGATTTCAAATTATATTCATCGATCACCTATTAAAAAATCACTATTTAATAAGAGAGAGAGAGAGAGAGAGAGAGAGAGAGAAAAGAGAATGGGCATTCGCGCGCAACAGTGTAGCCTCTCCGATGGCACCTCTAAGTCTGTAATCAAAGAGAAATAAAAAATATTATTTTAAAGTCAACTGTATAAAATGTTCTTGTTTTTATCGTGAATGCTTGAATGACTTCTTTATACTGATCTGCACTAGAGTATAATATTTTTACTGACAAAGTACGCTTCAAGATATTTTAACTGCTCATCTGATTTGTTGCTCGGTAAACATATCAGCTAATTCAAATTTAGATTGAAGATACAGCTATTTCGGCTTAAAGTGAATATTAGGAAAAAAAACAAGTGATGTTACAGTTATTCATTTATTTAAGTTTCATTTTTAAGGCAGTGTCATATATAAATTCGTAAAAATAACACTTTGATGTTTATAATCTCTTAAATTTTTTCAGCAAAATAAATACGAAGAAATTCATGATTCTTAAAAGTACAGGAAGAAATAATTAGGGAACCTTATTGCCATCATTATTTTTAATAATTGAATTTGTCATTTACAAGTTACAATTATTGATGGTAAGTAATAATATAATGGCAATCATATTTATTTCGTAAGAATGACAAAAATACAAAGTCGAATGTCATAGACGTGTACAAAAGTATGTTCCGTTATGCTAAATGTTTAACATTTATAAAAATCGAGTACAAACTATCTAAAAGGCCCCATGTTTGTCAATTTAATTATTTATCAAACATTATACATACTTATAACATAGCATTTTTATTTTAGACCTTCCTTTATTCGTTGGCGCGTCACAAAATTTCGTGTTGGAAAAAGCAATTCATTTTAAGCATAAACGAGAATGTATAGTAATTTTAGTGAAAATTAACGTAAAATTTATATTTAACTTTAAAAAAATTTACATCTATCTTAACATGTGAAATATATGTATATATATAAGTGTGTTCATTGCTTTCTTTTTCTAAATATTATTTATATTTATAATATAATGTTATGGATAAAAATATTTTGAATATTTAAACTTAAAACACAGTTTGCAGCCATAAAATCTGGAAGTATTAATCGATGTGTACAGCTCATTTATTATTACCAAATCTTTTTCGAGAAATGTAAAAGCTGATGACGTTTTTTAATTCTTTAAGCATTTTTCCTGGACGTATTAATACGAAGCAGTCGTTACTTTATTACGCCCAAGTAACATCAGGCACTGAAATATAGTAATAAAGTATTTGAGAATAAATAATCACAAACATTATTTATAATAATACTGCACGTAGTTAATTATTAATAAATATACATATATGTGAAAAATTTATTAATTTAAAATAATTACTATAAATTAGTTTTCAAACTACTTTGAAATCAAATTCATCGAAATCATCAGCTTTTACAAGTTTTCGAAGCAATTTGATGCACAAAAATACATTTATACATATATTTATACACTTAACAAACATCGATTCTCGTTCTGGAGTATTGCATCCTCTTTAAAAAATGCAGTCAACTTATTAAACCACCCAATGCGATACCATCACTTTTTTGATATCTATATAAGAGCGAGAATCAATATGCGTCAAGTGTATGTGTAATACACAAACTAGTGCACCCATAACTCAAAAGCTCCATATTCTGTGGATAAAGGTTACACATCATTGGATTCTTCACCAAGAGATTTGCAACAAATAAAAAGTAATCTATCAATGTTATTAATGATGATAGTAATAATGATGATAATNTCTCCGGCACCCGAGAGATCTGCGAGAATAATAATAGGCAGTGAGAAATAATAAAAGAAAAAAAAAAAAAAAAAAAAGGGTTATCGAGTCGATACCGACCATTTGGGTTGAGGGTGCACTTGACGCTCACAGATTTCTTTCTAACGTAGTCAAAAAGAGCGAGGCCGTGAGCCGTGCCAGCCGCAAGCAAGCCCCACTCGCTGTGGAGTGCCAAGGCAGTTACCGCCGCTGGTGGATACAGCTGCAAAAGGGTCTCGGGTTGAAAGCCAGCCGCAAAGGATATGCTAGCTGTGCGCGCCGGTAAGTGCTCGTGTCCCTTCCACGCGAAGCCGTCCCGATCGTTGACTACGTTCATGGTAACGCTTTTGATCTCCTTGTTCGTCGCCTCGCTCGAAATTTTGGCCGTGATAACGTGGCCCGACGTGCCCGCGACCACGATAGTCGCCGACAGAGGACAGAGCAGCACCTTTTTCACGGCGAGACGCGGATCGTCCGAGTACGGATCGAAACTACCGACCTAAAAATCAGGAATAACACATTTATTCGAGGAATCGATAAAGAGGAGGACGAAAGGGATTAGAAAGAACACACAAACCTTGCGGAACGGCGGCCACTCGTCGTCATCGTCCTCGGGTGGTTGCTCCAGCACGTCGAGGTGTTCACCCGTAAACAGCACCGACGAGTTGAACTTGTAGACGGGAGTCAGAGCAATATCCGAGGCGTTCCAGAATCGCACGGTTCCGTCCTCGTGACCCGTGAGCAGCAGTTCGCGCGCCTTTGACGGCTGACCGGGTTTTTGGCAGAGTAGTAAACCACCGTCGATCGGCCAAGATTTTTCCGAGTAGAGGTGCTCCGTTTGGGCCTTGCCAGCCGTCTCGATGGCCTCCCACAGTTCGTCCGGCACGTTGGGCACGTGTTGCGAGCACGTCACCTGAAAATTCATCGATACGTCAAGCGTTGTCTCGTGAGCAACATTTAAGCTCGTTGGCGCGTAGCTTACGGCACTGGCGTGGAGCGAGACGAGATACGGCAGAGACATCATTTTCCAGTCGGGATCGGTAAGGTCGATAGCCACAAGCTCTTCCTCGGCGAGAACGATCAGAGCTTCCGGAGCCTGGGCCCCGGACTTGGCGTTACTGGCAGCAGTCCCCTTACCGATGCTCTCTTCGTCGTTCTCTTTTTCTTTCTCCTTCTCGTAGTTCTCTTTTTTCTCTTCTCCCTCTTGTTTGCCTTCCTCAGCATCGGTGGAGTCCTTTTGAGGGTTCGGTTTGCCGGGTAGTATGGTGAAGAAATCGATGAGCTTGGAGGTAAAGTCAAAGACGACGTGCTTCTTGTTCTCGCCCTCGCGCTTGACGGTGATGGTGTGCCGGTCGCTGTGCACCGATCGCTGCATACCACCCGAGAAGAGGACGAGCTCGTCATCTTGGCTGCGAAACAAGAATAGCGCATGCTCGTGATTTATCGGTATGATATATATATATTTATAAACGTGACATTTAAAACTAAAGAATAACTCACTCGTCGAGCGGATGGACGATGATCTTGGTGATGGCCTTGCAGGGGAAGGGTCCGTAGGGCGTGATCGGGGCGGGCTGGTCCTCGCTGCCGGGGCTAGCAAAGGCGTAGGAGCCGTCGTTGTGTGAGAAGACGAAGCGCGACTCGGAGACCCAGTGCAGCGACTCCAACTGCTGCGTGGAGACGAAGGTCTGCGCACGCGAAAACAAACCCATCAACTGGTGGGGGAGGGGGCCCGCATCGGAGAGAGCGCCCCGGGCAGAGCGCAAGGAAGCAGCAACGGCGGCACAGACATATAGAGCGCATCGCCCGCAGCACCACCGTACCACAATCAGATGGATGGATGACGACGATGACGACGACGACAGGTGAGACAGACGAGGATCGGTCGGAGTCGGCGTGCGTGCGTGTGCGCGCGAATTTTTTTTTTTTTTTTTTGTATGTGTGTGTAGGTGGCGAGTGGCGAGTGACGATCGGCCAGCGACGAACCCATGTACATGGGGACGAACACACGATGACACGAGCAAGCACCGCATCAAGGAGAGACACACACAGACACACGTTCGCCAAAACCACCAAAAAGAGAGACACCAACCAACGAACAAACAAACAAACAAACAATAGGTCAGAAAATAAACAGCCTGGCCGTATCGAGGCTTTTTTATTGCATGGCGTGTTACTATGATGGCACAATATACATATTACGTAAGCTCATTTTACAACAACAACAATTTTGCATTGAACAGACATGGAATTTCAATAATGTACCAGTTAAAATTATTATGTGTAATTTTTACTGCTGTTTGTTGTTTGTCATAGAATGGTAAATGTGTGTGGTACGTGTTGTGAGTGTGTATCATACTTTGTGAATGTCAGTTGTAGGAGATGGGTACATTTATTGTACATTAATAGCAATCAACCCTATGCGGTCATAAAGAAATAGATGATAGGTGACGGTGATGCCGCGGGCTACGAGGCTCCGATAAAAACACAGTAACACAGAGAAGCCAGACAATAACAATTGAGCTCAAACTTATCAGTATACCTATAATGATGGCTACATAATTAAAAAATCATTGAGCCGAGCACTCGCATCAATGTTGATGTAACGTTCATTCATCGAACTATTTATTGCGAGACACATTTATGACAGACCGAAGTAATTTAAATTAAGTATTTAAGTAGCTACGTGATTATCAGCACCACCACCATCACCTTGCATTTAAATTAAAAAAAAAAAAAAAAAAAAAAAGCAATAAATAAAGTAAATGCTACGTGTATGAAAAAGAAAACTGTTGACAAGCCCATTAGTGTTTCTTGCTTTATTTTTATATGTATGGTGTGATGTTAATAAAAAACGGTATGTTACATAATAATTATATCTAGGGCGGTAAAGTAAAAAACAGCCCAGATCGCATGTATGTGTATTATCATCCTAACGAAAAAAAATAGCGACAGACACGCGTAACCTGAGCATTTTTTACTCCCACCTGCAGTTTGTACTCTATTTTACACCATCTCCTGTCAAGGAAGTGGAACATTTTTTTAAACCACTTTTAAACTTTGGGATATTTGAACGATCGTATAATATGTACACAAGTCGCAGGAAATATGAGTAAGCGAAGAAAAGAGAAAAGTAATATGTACATGTATAATAACTGTGAAGCACAAAAGGTTTACCTGTTGAGCGCCGGGAGTAGCTTTGTTCCAAAGAACCATGAGGCCGCGGTTGTATCCGATCAGAATATTATCGGGATGTCCAGGCTGTTCGGCTATCGCCTCAACGGGTCCTGGATTGACTTTAAAGTCCTTAGGAACGCTAAATTTAAAAAAAAATAATAATCATAATAATAATAATTTTCATCACGCGCCAATGAATCGTATAGAATACACGTGTAGTAAATTGCGGAAAATTGGGTTTACTTTTGCATGACGACATCCTGATAAATAATGGTATCGGACATGGTGAAGGTTTTATGGTTGAGAAGATAAATGTTGCCGCCCTCGGTGCCGAGCAGGAGGTGATCGCCGTTCGACTCGAGGCACATGGCCGAAATTTTCTTCAGCTTGCCTTCCAACGAGAGCGATTTCGTCTCGATGACCGAGTTCTCGTTGATTTCCCACAAATGCAGGGAGTTGTCGTCGCACAGAGACACCACTCGGCCCTAAAGTAATACATTTTTTTTAAAAAACATCGTTCACTGCATTCCAGACATGCAGTTTGCAACATCACGTGTCCGAGTATAAAAAAAGGTAAAGTAAGAAGCATCGACGCATGGAAATGAAGTTACGCGATTAGCGCGATCCAATTTCCCGTGGGAGGAACTGCGGAGAGGAAAAAACGAAGCAAAAGGGGGGAAACAAGAGAAGCTGTTCAAAAGACGGGGACGGATCGAAGCGCCGGCCGTCACACGCGCGATAAGGTAATAAATTTACTTAGCCGCGAAGTGTGTCGTTGTTGTTTTAGTCCATCCACACATTTTGATTATTTTCAATTACATGCATATATTATACATAGGTATGAAAAAAAAAAATAGAAGAAAAACTCACCTCGTTGGGCAAAGCGATGATTTTGGTAACGGCAATTTCGCCGCTCTCGCTGGCATGTTGGCCGTAAAACTCGACGCCTGGTCTTCCAAAACTGCCCGGTCGAGCATTTATCAACGAGTTAAAGAAAATGGTATTTTGTTAACAATCGGTACGTACAGCCAACGATTTCACACAATGTTCCTACTTTTGTACACTTCATAAAATCCATGTGAGGTAAATATAAGTATATTCTACAGGAGCCAACGAAAGCAGCCAAGGGTGAACGCAGTTATACCTGCATTATTTTATTATGTTTTAGGCCCAATACAACCTCGTACAGACGCATGTATACCGATATAACGAGTATAGGGGGTACCGGTAAAATGAGCGAGCGAGCGAGCGCGGGCGAAGAGATAACGAAATAGATCGGAATCGAAAGAGCATAGAGAACAAATAATATATATATAATATGAAAACGTACAAGTGTATAGGTACTAAGTTAGTATTGTAGGCCCAACGAGGAAGGATATACATATACAATAGTATAGGTGTATGGGTATAGTGGAGAGAGTGAAAGGATGTAACGTAGCGCGCGCGGGAGCGTAGGTGCTGGAAAGCAGGAGGGGGGCAGCGGGTAGTCGAGACTGGAAATAAAAAAAAAAGAAGCAAAAGAGGATAGGCCAGCTATGGCTAAGCGCCGCCTTTTTTGCTCACTGCATGCAGCCTCGTCGAGTCGAGAATATTATAAGTATATAATATTGTATACCTTTGTATTTAGTACAACATAATGTATATATGTATTAATATATTGTACACATCAGAGAGAGAGAGAGAGAGAGAGAGAGAGAGAGAAAAAGGATACACTTTGATGGCTCCGGATGCAGTGCCGATGATCATCAAGCGTAGACTCGGGTCCCAGGCAATGGCCGTCGGTTTGTTCGGGAAGCCATGCTGAACCGTCTGGAAGAAAATGCATATGCGTATACTTACAGCGGATCAACAAACAAAACAACTTATGAATTTGATAAATCTTAAAAAGTATACAAGTCCTACTGTAATATTTACTTTGTCAATTCATATCGTTTACCCCCCCCCCCCTTTTACCCGCTCATCTTTCATTATATACACACCCGCAACTGTTTATAGACGCACACCCACAAAAAAAAAAACAGAGCACAATCAATCCGCGCCTATTTATCCTCCTCCTAATACAAAATATAGGTATACACATGGGCTCTTTCTTTTATCTCGGGGAATTATCAGTCGCTCTCTCTCTCTCAAACTGAGCAAATATCCATTCTACGGCAAGTGATTTTTCTACTTCCACGCCTTTTGTGGGGTTTTTTTTCTTTAATGACCCATTTTGTTATTATTAATAATATATAACTATTAACTACACACGTACAAATACGATGTGTGTACACGCCGTGCCTCACTCGCGATGTATATGCACACAGTTTGTAACGGTATTAAATGGAATTATTATACATGTACGTATATATGTAGTTAATATGTTTAATCTTCGTGTATAAAATGAAGGGGAAAAAAAAAGGCGGGGAGCACACGACTTGCGCAACTTTGTCGCACTGCTCGGGCTAAATAAAGCACAAACCGCAAAGTCAGGAGCTGCGGTAAACAAAATTTGTGATGAATATATATATATATATAAATATATACACGAGTAAGTATACAAACACAAGACATAAATAAATAAATTAATCGTATACATTACAGCCGGTGGGTGCACGAGGGAGCAACCAACTACATATTATAAACTGATTAAATTGGAGGTATAGGCGAAATCGGTAAACTCGACGAAGGTCAAAAAACTTACGGGTTTATTCAGCAGCCATCATCGTATAGTCGCGCGTGGGCGCGAGATCTAAGTACCTTATATACATCACACCTATAGCTATCTGACGATGAGTCACCACATGCCGCGTGTAATGTACGATTCAAGTTAGACGTAGGTACCTACCTCTGATTGCACCTTTCTATGATATATATAGATACGCGCTACCGAGCAGTTAAGGTGTAGGTAATAATGATATAATATACATGATGTACTTTACCCGATGATGCTCATTTAGCGTCATCGCCTGGAAGCGCGTCCCGTTATCTTTGAATTTATTCCGGTCACGTGTGTATATGTTGAATAATATTGAAGATTCAAGTCTAAAAAATTTTTACCCACTCTCGCGCTCTATTTTTGTTTTTATTACTTCAAGAGCACAGCCAATGCGTAACAAATAAGTACACGTGTACCCAATCACCATTGATCATCTAATCACTATCATTGGGGATTTCCATTGGGAAAATCCAAATTAATGTCAATTGTGATGTGTATACGTACAATATGTATACCATACGGCAGCGTCACTATAAATGTTACAAACACATTTTTTCAAGATTAAATCCGTTCTTTTACAACCGATACGTATACATATACATGTTACCTGTGATTAAACGCGTTGGCCGCTTTTTGTAATAAAATGTACATACATACGTACGTGTTCTCTCGTTTATTTTACCTATATACATGTATGCACACATACCTACTACTGTTGCAATGTGTGTGTGTGTGTGCGTGTGCGCTCACGACGAGCAAAAGAAGCTTTTGTGTTCAGAGTGGAAAAAAAAAGGAAATTATATCTAAATTCCCTGGCAGGACTGACCAAACAGGAAAGAGAGAGAGAGAGAGAGAGCTTGCACGTTGGCATATTAAAACAACACGGCTTCATGTGGTAAGTAGGTACAACCTACGTATATGAACATTAGCAGCGCCAGGATACGGCTGTTGGGCCTTCGTGCCCGGCAAGTTTAGTTGCGGGTATGATATACATATATACTTACCTACGGACTGCAGCGTTGCTTTACAGTCTCAGTCGCGCGAAACAACCGTTACACCCCGTTCCTGCCCTGCCTCGCATGCACGATCATACATAAGTCTTGTACACTATACAGCACTTGTATGTATTTTTTACAACATGCACGTGCACACGTACGAACAATTATACAATTATGCTATCCGCACATAATGTGACGATGTCCACGTTACGATATGATTCCTCTTCTCTTTTTTTTTTTTTTTTTTTTTTTTTTTTTTTTTTTNGGATGCAGATATTGTCCAGGACCGAATTCATGTGCCTGACATCGGTCAAGCCGACTAGTTTCTTTACTTGATCTCTGGTCAAGGTGCTTGCGCTGTGGAGTTGCTGGAAACATATTTAATTTCTTCAGGATAAATTCAATACCACTTCACACCCAACCGATCTCTTTTTTTTTTTTTTTTTTTTTTTTTTTTTTTTTTTTTTTTTATACCTTCATTGTTGCTTTCGAGCTAGTAAAACATTACGAGTAACCAGTCAAGTGTACAATTATTCTCACGGAATATTAGAATTACGGCACAGGGATCTCGTATCGGACGCGCGTGATGTTGCCAATCCGAGGCATGAGTCACTTATTACCAAGCTCTAAATACCTGTATGTACGTGCGTCAACTTAATTTTTTTCGATCACTCACAATTCCGTAAGTACTCATAACTCAAACGTGCTCCAAATACTCCTTCTGAAATTGTACCCATAAGTGTCGAAGGCACGAAATATCGTATAGAGCTTGCAAGCTCGAGCGTGCGCGCAAATTGTAATAATATTCCGTCTTTCGTCTACATCTGTGGCTGCAACAGCTTCTATTTAAATTAATTGATGATGTGAACGATGAACCTTAAAAAGTCCGGTTGTTAGCCGCATAACGAGCAGGTACACAAAGGTAATTGCGGATGAAACTGAACCGGTATATAGCACATGGCGAAGTGAAAGTAATTTTATACAATATAAAAGGTATGGAATGAACGCGATTCTTGCCTATTCAATTTTTACCCTACATTGAATTCATAGTTGCGACGCTGTTCGCCGTGGTGTTTTTTCCGGCTTTTTCTTTCCCTTGCCATTAGATAATGAGCAAGTGTGGCTACATGAATTGTACCGTGTGTATATATAATATATGTACACGCGCTGGGCGCGGACACTGCGGAAAAAGTAAAAAAAAAAAAACAAAACAGAGTATGTGGGGTAAGATCGATGAGTATAAGTGAACGAAGGGGTGAAATGAGAAATATAGAGGAGAGACCCCCGCTCGCGAGAGTTATAAGGGTAAACGAGGGCGAGGAGGAAGTCAAGCTGTATAAGTATATACATTGCGCGCACACACACGGTGGCGTCGACTCACCTTACGAAAGGCAAACAGGTCTTTTTGCAACTTTTGACGCTCAGCCGTAGGCTGCTGACCCTTGCCTCTTATAAACTTCAGCATCTCCGAATGATTTTTTGTTCTCCACTGTGCTGGGCAATTTTTTTTTTTTTTTTTTTTTTTTTTTTTTTTTTTTTTTTTTTTTTTTTTTTTTTTTTTCCCCCCTGTGTATAGTTTGAAGCCGGGCGAGATCTTGGTGCCTCGCGCCGCAGTCGCCTGTTGAATCTGCAAAAAAAAAAAAAAAAAAAAAAAAAGAGGAACGACGTTTATTATTTAAACCATCGTCCAAATTACATACAAATCTTATCAATTAATTTCATTCCCTTCGATTTTTCTTTATTCCCTACAAAGAGACATTCTCGACTTCGAGCAAATACGCTATACACACACGTGTATATAATTACCGCGGTACATGCGATCCGTTTTTTCCCTCCCAAAACCAAATAAAAGCCAAAGAGATATGTATATATTATATGTTGACATGTGACGCGCACTTTTATTAATACGGTCTGATAGCACTTTAACGAAGGCGTGATAATAAAAACGAGTCGAGTTCTATCGTTGAAGCACTCGATCAAGGAAAACGTCATCGGCATTGAGCCGACGATCGTTTCGTTGAGATAAATTGCGAGGTATACAAGTAATGTTGAAAGAATCCCGAAGAAGAGAAAAAAAAGAGATAGGAAAGGCTATATATACGTGCGGCCGGCTGTTGAACGGAAGTTTTTTTTTTTTTTTTAAAGAGCGTCAATTTGGGAGATGAAAGAAAAAAATTGATCTGCAATTCAGGTACTGTTTCATTTAAATTTTATTATCCATACCATGAGAACAAGAAACACGAAAAAACACTGCGTGCACTTGTATTATTTAACATGTTGAGTAAGTAGGTACACAAGCAGACAATGCAATCAACGAGCGGCACCACCCGATCCCCGACAGTTGTGTGTATATATATATATGTATACACAAACATATAATATGATGAGAATCCTCGAGGCGAGGCGGCTAGCGAGGCATAAAATTGCGATTCGTAAATTTAGTTTGCAAGGATGAGAGCACTTGGTTATCAAGTACTCTTACAACCTACTTACATCCCATTGGATGTATGGTGCGGCGACTCTCGGGTTAAAATATATATATATTATTCGCAGGTACTTGTAACAAAACACACCGTGTAGGTAAGTATACATTTATAAGCAACGAGTAGGGACCAAAAGGAGCATAGGAGCCAGCTGCTGGAGTTTCAGCGGTATACAGCTGCAGGTTTGCAAAAGAGATTGTACCGGATAGGTAAGTATATATTTGCAGGTATTAAAATTTTTACAGCACAAGTAAGTGAGATCTCACCTCGAAGGAGCGGGGCTTTAACTGGCGATGATGTTATATTTGTTCCTCGGCACCGCAGCTCTCTGGTGCAGCGAGAGAGTAGCTGTTACCTACTGCTATCTCGGTGGCTGAGTCTTTCTCTCTCGCGCGCGCCTACGCACACCACCTTTCGCTTTTCGCTCCTCTGGCTCGTCTCTATCTCGTTTCTTCGCTAAGAGAAAAAAATCATACGGACAAAGTGGAGCTGCACGGGCAACGCTTCGCCACCGCCGTCGTCGTCGTCGTCGGCACAACGAGGAGATGTTGTATACAATCGCACACACAGGGCATCAACATACATCCACACGCGCGCGTCGCGGCGCAACAACCCGTCGCGCGTCCTCGCCTCACTGCCTTCTCGTCCTTTAACTGAAGCAGTCCCTCGGGTCCTGACTCCTGATGCATGGAGCTACCACTGGAGTACTAGCCGACACTCTCTCAAGAACACGGCACTACGACGACGCAACTGCCGCGCAAACACTGCACCGCCACTCTCTACTCTAGGTCTAGGTATTTCACTCTATACTATACTATACAGTACACACCACTGCATGCCTGATGCAGCCAAATCGGAGCACTGGAGCACACACAGCAAACCAAACCAAACCACTATACTCTCTACAGTGTATACATATATGTATAGGTATCAGAGTATGGGAAGTACACTACCACCGCAGGGGGGAGAGAATAGCGACAGACCGACAGCCATCAGACAGGCAAGACAGAGAGAGCAAGCGCGCGAGAAGGCAAGGCAAACCAATACAATACTGTACTGTACACATCACGACATCACTCGCGGCGGCGGCGACGACGCGGTCGGAACAGAGTCTCTTTCTCTTTTCTTTCTTCCATGCGCATTCACACTTCTATACTCTCTTCTCCTTTACCTTAGTTTCACAGTATTTTACTATAACTATATATTATGGTGTACGTAGCGTGGAAAGAGCCGAAGCGGGGAAGAAAAGAGGCGGAGAGGGTCAGCCACCGCGGGGGCACTGTACTTAACCTTATAGGTGACGGTACGGTAATTGTATATGGTACCGACGTTAGTTTTGTTCTTTTCCCATGTAAGTACTAGACATATCAAACATCACGTGGATACATGGTGAACATTTGTATGCAGTAGTGGTGTACGGATATTGGTTACTTATTTATTATACCCAGGTGCGTAGTAATGTTATACAGCAGGATCTATAAACTTTATTGTCCCAAGGGAGCGGTTCCGAGGTGGCGAAATTGTTTTGTTGTCTACATCGAGATCACATAAATTACCCACACCACAATAATTGTGCCGGTAGGTTATGGACATGCCGTAGGTACACACATTATCGATGCAAATATTTGGATAGGCGGTACTTATGACAGGTCAGATCACTGAGATCACCACATCAAATATTGGATTGGACATATACTTCATAATAGCTAAAAATGTGTGTATATCTAATTGTGTGGGCGTGCACGCCGGCGCCAAGAGCTGGACCCCGGTTACCCGTTCTTTCTATAGACTATGTATGTATGGGCTACAGTGATAGTACTTGTATGCAAGGAAAAAGAATCAGCAGGTGAAAATAAGGCATCCCTCCTGCTAGCATCGGGAATCATGTATACCTGGTGATCTACAGAGTCGACCTGCCCATCTAGCCTCCTGCAGATGCAAACAGCTGTCGTACTCCGGGATTCAGGCTGAGTTCAAATGTTTCGCAGACATGATCGCTTGCATGTACCTACGTGTTTCTTCGCTGACTCTGTCAGGTAGTAGAGAGGCCTGCCCTGCCAGCAGTACATAAGACAAGCAAAGGAGTAGGCGAGTCAATTCACTTCATTTTGGAGCCAGCTTGACCAACTCATGGTTTTCAATTCAAAAAGTGTCAGTGAGTTATTATAAAATACTCATTTTGTCATACATTTATTATTCTACATATACGAACACTTATTCGTTAGGATTACTACACAATATTTTTAATTATTTTTTAAGTAGATATGAATGATTATCTATTTGGTTGAATGAAAATCCTTGAAAAGCTTTTAATATTAACATTTACATATTTATTCAATGAACATTGAGTTATTGAGATTACATAGGAAAAATTGTATATACATAGATAGTAAGAGTAAAGTGAAAGAATGAAGAAATTTTCTCTAGTAGCCACAAACACCCATTTTAATGATTGTATACATGCATAGATAGTCTTCTATCGATACTCAAAATAATTAACAGGTAAAAATAGGACCCAAATTTTAAAAAGTAAGGTCTCGTGTGATACAATCAAAAAGTATGTTTAAAAAATTAATAGATTCCTTATTGAAATCGTTGACTTGCAAACTTTTGGAGTATCAATAGAAAGTTATAAGTACACTCGCCGTGGCTTGATTCGTGAACCGCGAAAATCATATACTTCATCAGATGGGTTGTATAAATTATTGAAAATTAAGTTTGAAAAAAACTAAAACCCTGATTTAAACAGACCGTATTGCACTCTGCGATTCCTGGTGTAGCTGTTGTTTTAACGTTAGTTTGTACATAGTTACAGTTACTTTTTTTGTCATTGTATTATAAATAGCTAAATTCAAAGTTTGCTGTTGGTGAATGAAGCTATGGTAAGTGTACATCCCGAAATATATTCAGCATCGAGAATGTAAAGAAATTTCCGAAGAAGTGGAGTCCAATTTCGAGTTGTTCATACATTCAGTGATTTCTTCATGGCTTACAAAATGCTATCTAATAGTTAACAAAAGGAATCGAGGGTCCAACATACAAGCGTTGTACGCATTTGCACTCATTCATTCAGATGCTTGGTAAAAGTATGAAATAATAAAAAGTAAATAAAAAAAATGTTTTCCAACAGTAGTTTAAAATTTTACTTGCATTCATTCAAACATGGAGACCGTGCACGTGTTACAGCTCCAACCGTTCCGCTGATTGTGGTTTTTCTTCTCTATGCACATATTGGATAAACACGATATTTTTTTTTAATATTAATACAAAAAATGTTTACTTTATTGCACATTGATTTTTATTCAACCCATTCGCGCCCTTGATTTCACAAACGAAAAAGTTATTAATATTGCTTGTACGAATCGCTGTGTAAACCTTATTGCGTTGAAAACTGTTTTTGTTGTCATTTTATTCTCAAATATTAAAAAAAAAATTTTGAAAAAAAGTGCAAAAAGCACTAGTCGTCATCAAACTTATTACTTGAAAATGGGCGTGAATGGGTTGAAAAGTGTTCACTTACTGTCCAGGATTACCCAAGTATTTAGCAACAAATACTCTTAAAATTTTATTCAAATTTTCTACGGTAGACAGGCTTATTGCATTCCTGTTATCACCAGATTTGTGCCAAAAGCGCGGAAATGGCGTTGGTATCAAGTGCAAAATCGGAACATCTGAAAACACAATGTGAATGAATTTTTATTTATTTTTCGTCATTCCGTCCCAAGTTGTTAATCAAGTAATAAATAATTACTTACCTCTTATCAAAAACGGAAGATGATCGTCTTGTATTTCAGCTTGAAATGCAAACTCATCGAAATACTGCGTGGTGTGTTTTTCAAGTAGATGCATCCTACCTAAATCTTTCTCTATCTTGGCCAGTAGCTTGTACCATTTGGAAGTTGTGGTGAAATAGTTGTAAAATTTTGGATTCGGCGCGCCAATGAGATCCAAAAGGACGAACAAATCCTGAAAGCAACCGATATCGTCAAAAATGTGGACGTTCCATATAAATTGGATTCATGTAAGAACGACGTTCATCGCGCCACTAACGATTTTATCCAGTTCCGTCAGATTGTCCTCGTTTTTGTGGAAGAAAGGCCTATTGTGCCACTTGGATGCCAAGTGTCGAGCTCCGTAAATAGAGTCGGTATCATTCCACGTGACAAACGCCTCCTCGCCGTCGAGGAACAACAGCATCAGACTCAATTTTCTCTGTGGAACAAGCACACACAAAAATACGTAAATTCTCACAATGAAACCTTTGGGTTGAACGAAGATCGCATTGGGAACCCACATTGTTTTTCATCGACTGCAAGTACCCGTCCATGACCTTGGCCAAGTTGATGAGTTGCATGCAAGGTACGGCGCTGTCAGTCGCGCCAACAAATTCAAAATTCATGATTTTGGAGTCGTGGTGACACGCCAGGGTCAAATATCTTTCGGCTTTGGGATTCAGCGTGGCGATGATGTTTTCGAACTCGTGCACCCCGACCGGCGTTTTGTCTTTGAATCTGTCGGATTCGACGGTCCAGCCAAGTTGGGTCAGGCTATTTTTTATATACTGAAATACACACGGATGCATACCATTACATTGGAACTATGAATGTCATTATGTGCCTTTTTCGTGGCATAAAATGCGTCTGACCTTCTTGACGTTTTCGTGGTTCTTACTTCCCACGGTTCTGGGGATGCAGATATTGTCCAGGACCGAATTCATGTGCCTGACATCGGTCAAGCCGACTAGTTTCTTTACTTGATCTCTGGTCAAGGTGCTTGCGCTGTGGAGTTGCTGGAAACATATTTAATTTCTTCAGGATAAATTCAATACCACTTCACACCCAACCGAGCGTAAGTAGTATACAAATAAAATAATAAAATTTTTATTCGACTTCAATGATATTGTTTTCCGCTAATACGCCAATCATGAGCGTGTAGTTTTGCATCCAACCGGAAGAAACAATAAAATACAAACAGATGCTCGTGCGAGACAAAAGTAAGGAAAATTTTTTGACCGAGAATAAGGAAAACTTTGATCGATCTTGTATGATGTGAGGACGAGGAAGCAAAAATTCCTGTAATGTAATGTGACGAACGCTAACATATACACGAAAAAAAAACAACTAAAAGTTACTTTCTTTCATGGAACATCGGTATACATATATAGGTGCAAATAAACAGAAGAATTCATGAACTTTCGAAAGTTTTATCGGACTTATTGTCCGACAAAGTGTGTGCATTAAGCAGCATTGGACGATGACTCATGAGACGTTTGGAAAATTTCAAATTCCGAAACAGCTGCCAGCAGTGAGTTGATAAGCAACAGGTGTCCATACTCCATAATCACCAGTAAGTTACACGAATGTGTAAAAAAAAAACAGCATGTATAATTTTTTGACGCTGGCGTAACCTTAAAACTAACGTATACAATTAAAAACACTAGTTGGAAGCAGTTGTGTCCAAAGGAAGAAACATGACTATATATTATACTGTAAGGAGCGGTGTAAAGCAACGAACCTTGGCTTTCCTGAAAGGCACCACAGTAGCGCACTGGAGCCTCTGGAACCCAATGCCCGCGAGCAGGAAGACCTGGAATATCCACAGCATCGTCGTCGACTTGTTCCCCTCACCAGCTACTTATCAGTAACAACTTTCATGCGCTGTCGGTTAATCGAGAGCCGACCCGCTCACCTACACGCCGAACTTTGCCGCTCGAGTTGGAGGTGCTCCCATCCTGCCGACGATAAAATATAAGTACACTCTTTCTGGCACAGCTGCCGACTCGGTTGGCTGACTTGGCCACAGCTGGCTTTCGGATCAAAGTGTTATTTCACTGGATAGGTAGTACTTAAGACCGCTGACGATGCGTGGGAGGTGACACGCGTTTCAACTCACACAGCCAACGTCAACCTCGGGACTCCTTTTACTTATCCGAGTCGCGCAATGATCCGTCGATGTAGTCGGTATCGATGATGATTCCATTGTCGCGATACGCTAATGCAACGCGCATATACTCGGCTACTTTTTGGAGGATGCAGCTAAGTACTCGGTATAGGTAGCCCTTCGAGCACTGATTTGGTCCGCGCACTGATGGCCCCACATGTATTATATGTTTGCACCGTCGGATGTGTTTACTTTTATAGTATAATGGAAGAGCGTGTGTGGGCAGATACGTGTGCCAAAATCAGCTGTTCCGTCAACGCCTACGCAGTATATAACACATCCACATCGATACTTCGGGGATACTTGATAATTATAATCTCGGTTTTGAAGTTTACCTTAAAAAAAAAAAAGGGCTACTACAAGGCAAACAAAAAGTAAATTTTTGTAAAACGCATTTTGGGCTTTTGCAAATTAATTTCTGATGTCGTCACAGAAGCGTTAGAATAATATTGTATCTGTATGGTATAAGAAAATATGCGTATCCACACAGAGATCAAAATTTGGTAGTGATATGAGAACTCCAACTGTATTGTGAAACAACAATAATTCACAGAATGAGCATATCTAATAATCTTAACTCGATAGGTATTTCCATTCAATTATTCAAGAAACCACTGGAATGTTTTGATCACAATTTTTATACATAAGTATCGCGCTACCCAGTGAAGAACGCCCGTTCATTAATAATAATTATACATGGGTGTAAAGCTCGAAATTTTAGTTAGGAGTCAGAGAGCACCAATTTTGAATAGCTCCAGATTTCAATTATCTTGAGACTAACGCGATTTCTCTTTTTCTTTCTGTTCCACTTGTCAGTACTGTACAGCTCTATACGTTTGAGCCTCCAGACTTTCAAGAAAATTAAACTCCGACGAGGTGTTGAAAGTCGGATGTTTTTGATTTCCAACTTTCGAATGGAGCGCTTTGAATTTGACGATTCATCATGTACGCATTTTTGTCACTTTGCAGCGCCATACTTCTAAATTGCATCGTGGTCACTGGAAATGTATAAACAATTTATTTATCGACTTTAAATAACTCCAAAATTCAGAATTTTAGTAGTAGATTTAGTTTTTACCCCGTTAACAATAGAGGCATTGAACGTTTTCGCTTAGCAGGTCGGTCAAATACAAAGCTGTAAAATTTAATACTGTCAATCGTAGATTTATGTACTAGTACGGAAAAATATTTTTATTTATTTTTTTTTTCATTTAACATAATGTAAAACTACAGTATAAAAAAACACTGTTTTCAATACTTTAAGTTTTTTTTTTGGGGGGAGGGGTACGAGCTAAAAATAAAAAAATAAATTACTTTCCATTAGAAAGTAGTATCTTTTTTTAAACTTAAAATACGATTTTACAACCCTCTTCGAGTGGGAAAAAATCAGCATCTAGAGAGGACGAAAAAATGTCTTGGATCGTATAATGTTTATTGGCAGCAAACGTGAGGTCTGAAAGATACTTTATGTCCTTCCGTGATACATATACGATCTTTTATTGTACCTTGTTCAGGAAGTCCAATTTTTTTTTCCCTCCCGTGAAATAAGTAGAAAGTGACATTTTTGGCTGAGTTACGATGGAAAACGAGAAATAAGATAGATACAGCAATACAATAATTAAACTTTTATTAAATTTTTTCCGTTCAAATACATACAAAAAATTCAATTATATATATATATATTTTTTTTGTCTAATAATATACGTAAAAACGCACTTCCAAAGTATTATGGCAGTGTATATAATGATGCAGTTTAAAATCGTGTTTTACAGAGTGAAAACTTGATTATACTTATTTGTTAGAACAAAACATACTCTTTTTTTTTTATTGCACTAAAAAAATAATAAACCGTAATGAACCTACCAGTGTTATTTCATAACATCCAAATGTTCGTTCAAAATAATTTCTAAGGAAATTTAAAATTTCATCGAGTCCTCCTTCCCCGCCAACTTATCGCTACCTTACGCACTAGTGCACATTATTTGTAAACCTTTACAAAAATATAAGTAGTTGTAAATGAGTCGAGAGACTATACTCTCTTTTTTTCAAGACGCACTCGAATCAACGTGACTGACAGCATATACCTAGACGTACACAATATTCAGCGAAACGACGAGATACACGCGTGTATTTTTCGTGGACAACGTATCAATTACACTGCGTCAACTAAATAATGCACCAAACAGATAATAATTAAGCATAACGTATTACAATGTGATATACAATACATAAAATTACGTTACGTTACACGATAGTATGTACCTAACACACACGCGCGCGCGTGTATACATATATTATATATATAATATTAAGTCGAGTATGCGCTAAGGTTTTGTTATTCATAATTATTGTCTATGGAGTCTACGAGTGTAATGCTGAGTAGTAAAAAATATTGAAATCAATAGCGATCGAAATAACAAGAACATCAACAAGTTGGGCGACTCTGAATGACGGGGCGAAAAATATATAGAAATATCGCGCGTGCCAAATTGATTGTTATACTTTGCGCGCAGCGTATACGTATGTTATAATTGAGAAAAAACCGATACGCAAAAGTACCGCGTCTTCATGTAATGTATATGTAAGTAATTTATTGTCGGAAAGGAATAAAATTAATGTTCGAGTCGAAAGAGGCGACACTGTCGTTAGCAACGATTCACTCTTGTTGATAACGTTGTCGAACGCAAGAGGCTTGACGCTCCTGTGCGGATGATGATGATCAAGCGCAGCTCCCCGGGGCTTGTCAGTAGTTGTAGGTCGCGTAGCTTTGGGATCCGTGGTAATAGGGCCCAGGGTAGGCTGCCGGGGCCGGATAGCCCGCGTACGCGTACTGCTGTTTCTGCGGATAGACTGTGGACAGAAATTTCAGTTAAAGCTCCACATGTACGTATCGGTATATACATGTTTGAAAGATGATCTCCGTGAGTCACGCGATCGTGATAAAATCGGTTGGCATATACACAGAGTATAGGTTGGTATAGAAAGCGCGATCGAATACAAAGTCGTCTCATAAAAAAAAAAAAGGTAAGCTTGTAATATAGGCACAAGTACCTGGCATAAGGTACTGCATGTTCATGGCCTCCTCGCGCATTCTCTCGCCCCTCAGGCATATCGCCGAGGCGATGAAGAGTATGGCGCTCACGAGGGACCAGCCGACGCCGACCCAGGCAACCATGTACGACCAGTCGTACGAGATCACCGAGTTGTCCTTCAGCACCTATAATGTTGGGTCATATTTTACCCCATGCAGGGATGGTATCATGCAAGCAGTCGATAAAATTGTCATTGTACGACTCACGTTGCTCCACTGCTGGTAGTACTCTTCGCCGACGATTTTCTCCTTCTCGTAGTACTCGACCCCGTGCCACACGCCCATCGCCCCGGCGCTCAGCAAACCTGCAAGTGGAAAAAAGAAAGAAGAGTAAAGGACGTATTCTCGTGAAATTAACAAGAGTCGTTGCGTCTATACTGAGTAAAAAGAATAATGTACTCACAGGCAAGGAGCATGAAAATGGCCGTGGCGGTGATGTTGCCGTACGACCTCTTCCAGCAGCCGATAAAGCCGGTCCAGAGGGACACGAATATCGAGGCAAAGGCGCAAATGAACAGTATGAGTACCCCTCGTCCCAAATCTGAAAAATGGCAGAGTTACTTCGTTTGGACCCAGCAAGAGGCTAGACGTGCAAAGTCAGTGGGTGTGCCGTGATTTAGGACTGGATTTTGTCCCGACGTATGACGGATCATCGATTAATTTTCGTAAACATGTGGTTGTCGACTTACTCAGCCGAGTGGTCGCGTCCTCGGTGAACGCCTTCATCTGGTCGTCGTCGTCACTCGAGAGGAAGTAGTTGATGTTGTGGCAGTGCGTCTCGACCATGCTCAAGTACGTTTGCACTGAAACAAACAAATCAATTAAAATCCACACGCGTTACCCACCCTGTACTTGTGTATGGGCACAGTGCCATGCAACGTAGTGGTGATTAATTAACGTTTTCCAATCGTCCCCCCGCGGCAAAGCATGAATTTCACGATCGAAATGGAAAATGTGCGAGCTCCATGAGTTATTGTCATCGCAGGTAACTGTACGCTCGTTTTCACGGTAACGCGTGTCCATCCCAGGGACACGAGAACCTCGGCTCATTCATCATCAAGTATCCGAAAAGGAAACGACGTGGGCTCCAAGACTCTTTACGTGCACGCCCAGCCCAGCCCAGTTCCACTCATACATTGTATATACATCCATCACAATATAGGCAGCTATGGGCACACAAATAATGATTACGTTGCGACTCGCGGCTTCGTAAGCGCGTCTAGCTACAACGCGACGGCGCTGTCGAGCGAATTAAAAAAAGGAAAAAAAAAACTCGCTGCTGCGTATACGTATAGGGCGAGTATATGTATACAATGGTATCATCGGTTCTGCGGAAAATTGGTAGCCAGCCAGACACGCTATATAGCCATGACAGGTGTATTTTACACATATACGTGTAGATAGAGGTTCTGCGAATACAGTTAGAAGACCGCGCGAGTCAACGATCTTTTCCTGGCTAACTTTTTCTCACTCTCCCTCCTTCCGTCGTGTTTTCTCCGACACGGAATAATAAAAGTATACCCATCCTATTCCTACACTACACCTACCTATACGTGTGCATTGGTTTTTTTTTTTTTTTTTTTTTTTATTTCATGCAAACTAAAACAGTTATGCGCGCTGGTACAATCATCCATAAACTATACGTATATACCGATCACGTATACGTACCGAACAAAAAAAAATCGCAACAATCGCGATTGTAAACATATACAAATATTATGGGATGGATTGAGCAAGGAAGCTGACGCGCGCGAAAACGCACGTGGGAGACCCGATTAAGTGTTCCCGCAAAACACCAGCGGATGATGATTTCAATGATCCCGTCTGGCAGCATATAGAGTGGCGTCGCATCCGCTGTGAATCGACAATGGCGCGATGCATCTATACTATACTTACGTGGATATAAGAGCGACTAAAATACAAAGAGAGAAGAGCTTGCGATGATCGATCGACGGAAAAAGACACAGTCGATACGGTACGTGTATTATATAGGAGCGTGCGATTTACCGTTTTGTCCAGATGCATGTGCGCGGGGTAATACGTATACCTACAAGTACCACCTCGCTCGCGGTAGCGGAAAACGCACGTCACGTACGAGTACATTGTATATAGAGTATATATATATGTATATGCGTATAAACTTAACGATGGCCTCGGCAACTCGGGGCCTTATCGGTTTTGGCATTCCGCTACGTTGCTTCCGGCATGAGGCGGAGGACACCGACGCAACCCAACTGTACGTATAGCGACACAAGTGTAACTTCCGTTGCTTTAATTACAAATTCGTCGTTTTTGGCACAACAATACCGCCCTTCGATCTTTAGCACATATTTATACGTTTAGGTGCATGATAATGTATGTATATCTCGTTTACGCGCGATCAAGTTCAGTATATGCATACATGTGTATGACAATCGAGCGAGGGCGTCCGGATTCCAAGCTGGCGCATTGGAAATCGCTGCGCGTTCCGTTACCAGTGCTCTTTTCTCGCCGGGTGAACAAAAAAATGGGTCGCGTTTTCTCAAAATACAAACGCTCGACTCAAAACTCATTTACGCGTTTTCTCGTTCCAGCCGAGTGTGTTATTATACATACGCGCGAAATTCGGCGTATTTCAAAAAAAAAGAACCCCCGCTTTCTCCTAATGAGGCTTGAGGGTACGTACGGATATCTAATAAATAATGGTCGAACAAATAGTCGCAGTGCGTTGATTGCTTTCGTTATACAGAAAAAAAAAAAAAAAAAAAAAAAAAAAAAAAAAAAAAAGAGTATGGTCTTACCTGTGGGCGGCCGATCCTTGGGATAGCATATCCTGAACAGTCCCTGCGTCCTCGTGTAGTAGTAGTACTTCTTGTTTATCTGATCGACTATGTGAGTCTGTTCGGGGTGTTTGGATGCGTATTGCTGAAAACGAAATCACAAGGTGTTATGTACAGCACCGAGTGCAACGAGATCGTTATTATCATTGTATGGTTAATTGTTATATCATGCAAATTGAGAATTTGTGCTCGACAATGGGGCGGTGAGTGTCGAAGATTTCCCCGAGACGATTCGAGTGAAAGTCTCGAGCATAATGTAAGTACAGTCAAGGATGAAACGGCTCGACGACGACAGATATGAAATCTGCCGATCGTGACAGTGAAAATACCTGTCTCTCTCGAAAAAAGAAAAAGTTCATTACCAGAGGGAAAAAAAAGAAGAAGAGTACAATGTGGGTAAACAATGGACAATGTATATATGTGTACGTGGATGTGCAGTTACGTTTACCATGAACTCATGCAGCCAGTGGGAAAAGTGAGCCGAGGTTTATTCTTTTGTCATAAACGTGTACCTATATAATATTATAAAGTACCGCTCGATGGACTCTTGTGTGCACCAACTCGAGGATTATAATTGTAAGTAACAATGATACCGATTTTCGGGTACCACGCATCATCGGCACTGAAAATAAAATTTCCCGGAACCTAATAATAGTAGTTTTCCTACGAGTTTGAAAAGTCTCTATTTGCGAACCGAGAGGTTTGCGGCCCGAGCCGAAGGCGAGGGACGTAACGAGGTTCGTAAAGGAGACTTTTCGAACGAGTTCCGGAAAACTGCTTTTTCGCTCGAGGAAGTACTAGCCTCCCAAAACCACCCGAGTGCGGAAAATGTATTTTTACTACGATCGCTTCAAGTAAAAACGATAACTTGAGAAACCATTTGTCTCAAACAAGAAAACACGCGATTGTAGACGTAAAAAAATGCTACCTCGTTTCAAGAGACGGTTCGTATAATATACTTGGAACAACCATTGTGCTCTTGGTTCTAAGAAATGTGTGTGTATTTTTTTTATCAGTGAGCAGGAGTCATCTGAACCTCCTGATTATTCGCGCGATCGTATACAGCCAAGAGAGTTTATTGTTCCAACGATGCGAAATGGCACTTCTTTTTCCATCAGCGTTGGGATGACGTGTGGGTGTTTTGTTAGAAAAAAAAAAAGAGAAATGAACGAGCATGCGTGTCCTCCGAGAGTAGAAAGCATAAATAGAGGAGCTGGTGCTGTCGAACGTCGTGGTAATGTTATATAGACGCGCGAGACTGAAGCTTAGTCGATCGAAAAGGAAAGACGGCCGCAGCGATGCCGAACGAGAAATGTTCATTTCGCGGCTCATTTCGTTCAAAAAGTGCCCGGCAAAATGTACGGCTGCTGGAACAAAACGCGCTACAGCAGCTATAGCTCTGGCGTTATAGTAAACATATAACATATTGTATACGCGTGTGTTATGGAATGAAAATGAAAGAAAAGAGTGTGACTTTCTTCTGTAGGTGATATCGATAAGGCGAGGAGAGAACAACAGCGGCCCACTTTTTTCCACTTTTTTCGCCGTCGATGCAGCGACTACAATGCCAAACGCTGCAGCGCTCGTTCACACTTTTTTTTCTCTCCGCAAAACCATGCGGTAAAGCAGCTTTCTCAGCCAACGAGACCCGCCGCATGGCTATATACGTATATATTTGCGCGGCGGCATGCGTGCGCTATCACCTCAGCTATGCGCAAACTTTACGGCTCAGCGAGCGCATACATATATACAGCGAATAATGGTTGTACAATGTACAAAGTTGGTTTGCAATTTTTTTTTTTTTTTTTTTTTTTCGAGTAGCGTATAATATAGTAGCGGGTAGCGATACTTTTCGACTCTTTTTTTTTTTTTTTTTTTAACTTTGCGCTCGATTAGTATATATGGCTGCGAGCCTCGGTAATCGGAATTTAGGCGAGAGCTTTCGGGCGATTTTCCGCGGAGGGAAGCAAAAAATATTTATATTAACATCCACGTGTGCGAATGTGAGATGAAGCGGTAAATTATTGTAAATGCGGCTGCATTGCAATATCTAACTGTAAACGTCGTCTATAATTATATATACACGTGAAGCGCGTGCATTGTAAAATGCATCAGCGTACAAGTTCGCGTGTACTTATGGTACAACAACAACAGTATAATAATAGCTACGGTGTGCATATATCCAGTACTGCTTTTACACTCATCAAAGGTATATATATATATACACACACCTATGCATGAAGGTGTACGCGTGTACAAGTATATTATGAGCTATATAGACGAGAAAATCATCATGGTACTTATAATAGAGTTCATGAGAAGCAACCAGGAGGCACGCTACTTGCCTCCCATGTACATATATACATGTATGATATTTGTATACTGTGGGGGGCTAACGTGTAAGGTATTATCTTGTACACATAAATGGCATGGATTCACCGTTAAATTCTCACCTCTCGTCATGTCAGGAATTTCTGCAGAAAAATAGTTTTTATATGCGAAAACAGCATGTATGTATATATAACCCGGCACAAAATATCTTATTTTTAGGGGCGAGGATCGCGGTGCATAGTGTGCAGCCCAACAACGGCGATTCTGGCCCGCTATCAAACAAACGCAGGTGCATAAATGGTGCGGTGCCCCATTCAACCGTATATTATTTGTTTGTCCTGCACCAAATTTTAGTTCTTTTTTTTTTTTTTTTTTTCATTCTCTTTCACTTTCGCGACCAAAGTTTAGGAAACCCACGTATAATAAAACGTATAAGCGTGTACCCGTAAGCCTTGAAACGCCAAATGTATAGGTAGACATAAGCGTGTGTACGGAAACAGGCGAAGAGATGACGACGTCGAGGAGGAGGAGGAGGAGGAGGAAATGATCGAGGTCCCATTATACGGCATATATGCACCGGGCGATCGGCATTCCGCAGCTTGTGTATACTCACCACGGCGCGCCCAGAATATCATTTTCAATAGCGCTGGGTGCGCGTGTGGGTCTATTAGGCGAGCGTTCGGTCCGTCGTGTGTGATGCAATTAGAAAGAGACCAGTGCCGTACACATCGGACGAAACGGCACTGCGCCACATAGGCCCAAAGTTGGTATGGGTATTATAAATATATGCCCAAGGAAACGGTGTCGACTCGTCATGGTGATTCCGGTGACGATCGAGTGCGCAATCGTATCGAAGCAAACAACAAAATCGATTTGCGCAACGGAGAAGGAGGAAAACAACAACCCACCGAGATCGAACTGAATCGGCAGAATGAAACAAAAAACAAACATGTGCGTAGAAGGTACTAAGTACGAGAGACCCGTAGAGCCGTGGCAACGGTCAATCGGATGAACTAGTTTGAGCTTTCAGAACGCAGTTTCTCGCGAGGAGGCATCGCCGTTTACAGACCAGACGTTTAACCGTTACATAGTTACGACGGGTGGAATAACTCAACGAGGATGTATACCTCTCTCTCTCTCGTCGGCGTTATTCTGTAGGTATATATATACGTGTTACACATTTTATAAATCAGAGATCGGCAGCGCCTCTGTATAATTAAGTAGTATCCCCGTGGAAAATTCATGTATCCGGTTTAACGGGCCTAAGCGTTAAAGAATCGTATAGGGGGATACCAACAGAAGGTGCAGCATCAGCTATACGGTGGTTGGCTGCAAGTATATAGATAGACATAATAGGTGTTGGGGAGAAGATCGAGAAAAGATTCACCTGTTGTGCTTCCGTTGTGGAAAAATTATCCCCATTCCATTTCATTACTTCACATCGGTCGATACGCGACATTTGAAGTAACGATCTTTTGAGAAGTAGGTATCAAATGGTACCTCATAATATTATACGTATATGGCACCACACGTCATCTTGTCAAGGTAATATATAAAGTGCAGGTGGGCAGATTGCACACACATTTATGGTTGGAACGCGTGGGTATACCGTGTATATACTTATGGGCATGAAAGGTAATAAAAAAAAAAACCAAGGAAACAGAGGGAAGGGGCTGGAGGGAGTGGAAGTACTTAGGATGAAACTAGTAAAAAAAAAAAAAATAAAAAAATAAAATCGAGGTATAAGGGCCATATTTATGATAAACACAGCAGGGGAAAGGGATGTAATATATATATGTACAGTGTAGAAGCTCACCTGTATCTGCGCTCGCTTGACCTCCGTGTAGAGCCAATTGTCCGTGAGGAAGGCTATGATCAGGAGAGCCGTGGCTATGATGCCGGTTATCGTGCCCAACGAGAGAGTTATGGCCGAGCAGGGCATGGTTACTTTTGTTTTTAATTTGTTTTTCGTTATAATAATATAAGCAACGAAAACTGTGATCCCCTATCCCGGTCGTTGCTGGGCCGTTGATCCGTGTTCGAGTGATGGGGTGTCGGATCGGATTTCCAAACCAAACGATCTCTCTCTCTCTCTCTAGTTCTCTGCAAGGGTGGAGGAGGACCTCACGTAAAGTTGCCCGGACAGGTGGTTAGCTGCTGCATAGCTGGCAGTTTTGGCATGGTGTTTTTTACCTGGTATGTATAATACAATATATCGCGGGCACTACAAGCACAGGTAAAATAATGATAATATACACCGGAGGACAAGCCCCCCCCCTCGAGCACGCTCCACTCCCGCACTTTATTAACGCAAGCCAGCTAACTTCTCTGTACGAGGATGGTTAAACGGTCACACGCGCTGCACTCGTACGCGTACAAGTATATAAGTTATATGGGTTGGCGTGTATAGCGCAGGAGAGGCCCAATGCCGAGCTCGAATCGATCGAGACTGCTTGCGTCGGTTGCCTGCTACGGGGAGCGCGCCTCGTTTTTTTCCTTCTCCACCTCCTGACTTGTATGCTCCTTCGAGGGAGCTCTCCGCGCGCGCTCAGAGAAAGGTAGAACAAGAGAGAGAGAGAGAGAGAGAACGGTAGGTAGGTAGGTAGGTAGCTTGTCCCCCGAAGCAGCTCTCTTGTGCTTTACTTACGGGGGCCCCCCCTCGTACCCGGGAATCAGCGGCGGTCCCCTACATATATATATATACACCTTGCCTTGTGTCCGTGGTATTTGTACATATGTACGTTGCGAGGAAAGTCGGCGAAGGAGCTGTTGCTGGGGAGGAGAGCGACCGTTCAGGTATGCCGACGACGAAGCGGACGGAATGATCCTTTGGAAGAGAGAGAGAGAGAGAGAGCGTGTGCAACATATTTCGTACATACATAGCCCATGTGTATACGCACAACTATGTTGGGACTTGTGTATATGGATATCGGTATCGGTTGATGATGCTGGGAAGAAGCGGTGAGAATAGAGTAGGTGGCTACGCCGAGGAGCACGGCTTTACACCTTGCAGTGTGTCACATTATATACCTGTCCGCAGTACTTATATACGAAGAACCTATAATATATCTATAAGGCAAAAGGTGCTCAACCATCGCGGCTCATCCGTGGACCCTCTATCCCTCTCTGCACCCGTTATTGTTCTTGTGTGCATGGAATTTTTTTTTTTTGGCATCACCTGAACACTTTTTTTAAAGCATTTAGCTATACTATTTACGTGCTCCCTCTTCGGAGCCGAATGACTCGTTTCACGATCGCTTCAAACTTGCAAACGGGCGTTTTTGATTAATTCCATTGCGTATACCGTGCTAAAAAAAATTGGGCTGATAGGCCTGCCTGTTGTTGGTAAACACGATATACTGTCCCCGTGCAATCATCCAAGCCATTGCCACGTAAATCCTTTTTTTTTTTTTTTTTTTTTTTTTTTTAAGAGGGTACACTTGAGTAAGTGTATAATTGCAGTAGAATGGGCCAGTCTGTCATTTTTTCCAGCCGTGCGCGAAATGGCACATCATCATCATCATCTCGTATTGTGTGCCACGGTGCCAGCTGCTGCAGCCTCCAGTCCAGCGGAGCCTTGGAACGCCGCTTTCATTATCACGAATACTTACTTCTTACTCGTACATTTTCTGACCTTTCACTTTGAGTGCTGCTGCTGCTCTCGCTGCGGTAACTACTGTGTCTCGCTATACGCCACACTACAATAAGTATAGATACCACGAGCTGAAAGTTTGGAGCATCTTTTTCTTTTTCGACGCTATTTTCAAAATAGTTTTACGCTATGACACTTTTCATCGTGGTACATATATACATGTCATGGGGCATTTTTTAACACAAATGGGTATACATGACAGATATACCTGTATCCCTATAAAAATGTAGTATGCTAAAGAATCCGCATGTATAGATATCGCGTAAGTATATTGTATGCATCTGGCGTTGCACGGGATCGAGGGAAGAGCAAATCAAGAGGAGAGGACTCTTGAGTCGTGATCATCGGCCCTGCGCTCTCCTCTCCTTTGCGCGGATTCTTTCTCTCTCTCTCTCTCTCTATACCCTGTTTCCTCCTCTCATCATCATCATCATCGTGCCTCCCGAGACATCAGCAGCGGCGACGCTTACTTACAGGACCGCCGCTTCCCAGCCTTTCAAACGAGTTCCGCGAGCAGCCTCGCTATATGCGCTGTATACACATAGGTACAGGCAACCTGCCGTAGCCGCCATTCTCGCTCGGTCCCCGGCTGCTGTTGTCACGTCCGTCTCGGCTGAAATCGAAACAGCTTCCTCCCCCCCCCCCCCCCCGTACATCCGTCTCTTCTGCATATAGGCTCGCCTTACTTTACAACTTGCCATACCGATCTACCGGTATACCTATTACTACGCGTATCCGTTCGCCAAGCTGCTGTCCCTCTTGGAATTTTCGTTATCTTATACATAATATTATATACTTGCGCTCTTTATTTTATACATATACGCGCTTGCATTCTTATGCAAGTGCTGGCTAAGCGACACGCGAACTCTCCTATACGGTTCGGAGAAAGTTATACCTATACGTGTAGGAACGCCGATTATAATGTTTTATCCCTTGTATACCTGCACCGGCTACGAATAATCATCATCGCGTGTATTCGGATACATATTATACATATATTATACGCTTATAGAAAGTATAATGCGATTAGGTATCGAGACGATCGGAAGGTATATCTTTTTTATATCGGCGAAATTCGCGGGACGCGAGTTTTGAAAACGGAGAAGGTGCGCTCGGTACGAAAAAGAGGCCAAAGTGAAATGCTGGAAATAAGCAGGTAAGGCTTTCTGGTGCGCGAACGTCTTGATCTCGATTAACCGCCGAGCAGGGCCCGCTTTCCATTCGCGGCAACAGCTGCTCGAGTATACAAGTACATATACACCATCACCCGACACTCGTTTCCGTTGTGCGTGGCGGAAATTCTCTTTCCCAACTGACCGATCTCCATTAAGCGTATATACAACGCGCGTAGATTTGGCCTTTGCGATTTAAAAGTGAAAAAATGTGCCCGCCGACCAGAGCGCTCGTTCGAAAGTATATAATTGAAAATCGCTCGAGTCCTAATGTACGAAGTACATGTTGCCGGAGCGATGAAATAATTCAGCTTACGCGGTACTATCATTCCGATGTATAATTTAATTTTTCTCTCCCCCAAGCAACAACCCGTGATTGCCCAAGTCACGGTAGAGCGAGGCTTGAAATTAAATTTCACGATGATTCCTTCCTTGCTTGGACATGATGGGACAGCGACCGCGAGTGTAATTGCGGTGGACCTTGTCGATTGGTGGCAGAAAAAAAATAACACATGTCTTAATACTCGTCGGTGGAATTTTACGAGCTTTCAGTCCGTGCCCTTGACTGGCGTGCTCCGCGCCACTTGCGGTACCTGCTACATTTTCCGGATGAACAAAAAAAAGTGGAAAAATCAAACTGTCGCTATAAATTGCAATGGAACCCACGGTCTCGTCCGACGTCGGTTGGCCGAGCAACTTCCGCCTGTGGCTCCACACGAGCTCCTCCACCTTCATCCTCTCGCGCTCGGGCATTTCCTCGAGGTTCCGCGAACAATCGATCCTCCCGAGCTCGATGCGCGGCTCGTCGTCCAGCAGTGCCTCCCACCAGCGCTCCCCCGCCTTCTCGAGGTGCAGCTGAAATTCATCCAATTCAAATTGCCCCGCGAAACGTTCGGCTGCGATGAGCATATGACACTCACGGTGAGGTGCTCCCCGGGCTCGAGGCACCAGTACGACTCTGAGTTCTTGATCGGGTGGCTGAAACGCCCTTCGAGGAGCGTCTGCCACGAGCCGCCATCGGCGCTTCGAAGCGCAACTTCGAGCCGCTTGGAGTCCAGATGCACGCGCGCGTCCTTTGCCTGGCGAATTTCCCTTGGCACGGGAACCAGTACGTCTAGATCGCCGATCGTCTGGCTCCACCTGTACTTGTCGTACGCGGCTCCGTTGTAACAATCCGCTGACGACCGGATCTTTGGGTTCGAGAAATCACGTGGTGCTCGTTCAGCCAAAACACCAATGAAACGCACCTGATGGTTGATGGGTCTCCTGCCGTTACGACGTTCCGATGAATCAGCTGTGGTGCCGTCCATGGACAGTGGTTGCGTTCGCCACTTTCGCAGAGATTCGAGGACGAGCTGTTCGGCCAGACCCGGTGGTAAGCCGACACGCGATTCGGACTCGGGTGGCGTTTCAACGTAAAAGTCGGTGCTGTAAAGCCACGTGCGTTTATGAATATATATAGGCTTGGCGATCGTGAAAACTCACCAGCGGTACAAAAAGCCGAAGAGAGCGTCGAAGAAGCCGGCTATGTTCTTCTCTTCGCCGAGGATTCCCAAGAGAGTCTCGTCGTGCGTGCCCACCGTTGATCCGTGATCCATTTAGTTTCGCAAATATACACAAATATGTTTATATACTTCAAAGGAGATAGTTAGCGCAGTCGGTAAACTTCGAGGTTATAGAGGCAGTTTGTTTTTGCGCCGCCGACTGCGCGGCGTGTCTCTTTGTGATTGTTGTGGCAAAACAGCTGATGTCGTGTGGAGGAAGGCACGCACATGTGACTTTGGAGAGCGAATTGAATAATATATTAGTTGTTGTCAAGAGATTTATTTGTCTCGACGCGTTTTTTTGTCGATTTTGTAATGGCAGCCAAAAAGTTGTTTTCTCTGGTGTTCGTCAGGAGAGACAATCAAATTTTGTTGGGAAAGAAAAAACGGGGCTTTGGCCAAGGAAAGTGGAACGGCTTCGGTGGAAAAGTCGAGCCCAACGAAACTCCTTTGGTAGGAGGCATCCGGTGAGTCTGCTTATCACTACCCATATTTACTGTAGAACTAAAAGAACCTCGTTCAATATCGTTGCATAATAAAGCAAACGTCTACCACGAAATCCCAAAAGTTTTATCGTGTACTTTAAAATGATAATAGACGACTATTGCGTATAAACGATTTATTTATCATTTTCAATTACACATTACACGCTCGATACGTACGCTTATCGATACATAAACAATACAAATAGTTTACTTTCGCACGTAGGAATTTGCTCACAAACTTCAAACTTAATTATCAAACAGATTCAGTCTTCCAACCAAGATCATTCATTAATTGTTTACCAACAAATTTTTTAATATCTATTTGCTAGCGATTGTACTTTTAACTCAACGCAAAATTATCGTTTTACATCAAAATATCGAAAAATCAAATCTCGTGGATGACTAGCAGTAGAACATAAATATTTAAGAAAAATTATTACTTTGGTAATTTGAATTAGGTCTTACAAAAGATCGTAAATTACCCCACTAATTTAATCATGTTTATATAATCTATAAATTTAATATCTTAATTGGCAAGCCCAAGCCATAATACATAATTAAATTTGATTGTGTTTTACTTTGAGTTATGAGACGTAAAACCCTTAGTTTATTGTTTTTGTTTATTTTTTGTTGATTTTTTTATTATTTTTTTTTTTTTAGCGAGCTAAGAGAGGAATGCGGTCTGATTGGGACGGATTTGCGTACAATAGGCCTCTTGCACTTTGAATTCGAAGGCGAGCCCACCCTTATGGAGGTTCACGTTTTCGAGACATTCACGTTCGCGGGCGAACTTACAGAGTCTGATGGTGATTTTTTTTGTCATTAAAAATATAGCTGGTTTACCGCATTATCGACCATTAATTTCATTTCTCGCTCTATCTTTAATTTCTTTAATTTTTTTTTTACTCATCACATACACGTGTTATATATCTTTGGTATTTGTACATATTTCTCTTATTTCATTACAAATCGTTGACCATTACACCCGCAATGGCCGCGATTACAGTATTTTCCTTACACGCCCACAATCGAGCTGTCAATATTATCCCAACCAACACATCAATCATATTTTATGATTATTAAAACACGTTACAAAAATATCACGCTACGTCCCAAGCACTTTTGTACCAATTCCTAAACGTCATTTCAACTCCCAAATGAGTGAATACAATGACAACCAAGCACGTTACAAATATACATATATGTTTATAGTAAAGAGTAAGGTAGTTTTAGTCGATAAGTCAGGTAAAAATGGTTGAAATAATTAATTTAAAATGTTTTAACAGAAATGCGACCACAATGGTATGACGTTAAAAACATACCTTACGACAAGATGTGGTTAGACGACATTCATTGGTATCCCTACATGCTGCGCAGCGAGCTTTTTAAGGGCTACTTTCTGTACAGAGGCACGGATTTCATCGTTAAGTACAAGATCGATAAAATTGAAGGGAACGAGCTCAAGGGCGCTTGAGACGCTTGAACCTTTCGTAAAATTTCGTGCTTAGTTCACCATTCAACAAGTATTTAGTATTAGTATAAAAAAAAAAATTTCTTTTTTCTACAACACTTTCATTTATAATTGTGTTTATCACATTTACTCGTGTATATATAGTTACTGGATCAGTTGGCATCCTTAACAAACGTGTTGAAAAAATGCTTTTTTAACGTTAAGAGTATCTCAGTGTAGATGGAAAAAATGCTGCAACGATGAAAAAAAAAGATAAAAAAAGATCATTCTGACTTTTGCATTAAAGAACCTTATAAAATCTGTGAGTACCTATTTATAAATACGTAATAAGTAAGGCTAGTTGCAAAATGCTGCTTGTACTACGTTTTTCAATAATAAATTAAAAATGTTTATAAAAATATTTATGCAATTCCCTTTTTTCATGTGCACCTCTTATAATCAAAATATACAAAGCACAATTAACAATCAGTTTAACAAATAATGACTCGTGAGAAAACATTTGATTCCAAGCGTGTCGAGCAAAATTAAATTAATTGTCAAATTCTTTTTTTAAAACTACGATTAGTTAAAAAAATACACGGCTACTTTCATCAAGTCCGCTAAAAGTTTACTCTTTGATAAATGAATAGGATGTTCATGCAGCAGACCAGTGCTCCGATCTCCACAGTAAAACGTACATGTTATGCCTCAAATCCTCGGCCGCCAAGCAATCTATAGGGAAGTCTGTGTATCTCGATATGAGACTGCGATAACCTTGACCCACCGTTGCCATGATCAACCTCTTCTTGTCCGGTGACTTAAAAGCAATGATCTAGAAAAATAATTAACATGTTGTCAACAAGAGGTGAAAATGATGACAAAATATACTGTATACAGGTGCGAAACGAAACTCTCGAGGATATAGGTACCTGCGAGACTTTTCCCTCAAAGGGCCTGAACACCGTGATCGGCCGCAGAGAGTTGCACTCTGCCACGACAATACAGCCCCAGGTCGTGCCGATGTACAGCTGGTTCTTGCACGTTTCCAGTGCCGTGACTTGACACTTTTCCGTCGTCAGGTTTTCCTCGATCGATATGGACTTGAGACTCTCGGAACAAGGCACCAACTTGGACATGTCGAGTTTGTTGACGATCTGCTTCGTTTCTACGTCCCACTGGTAGACGATGCAGCCTGGATAAGTGTAACTGAGGACCGAATTTTCCGCGCTCGTCAAGTACGTGGCAAACAGATTTTTACTCGCCGTCTCGTCGCTCACGTGCTCCAGCTCCTACAGCAGCAACGACAGTCACAGTATAAATACAAGTTTTTTAAAAATTAGTTCCACTGTAAAACTCACCAGGGTCTCCGTGAGGGTCGTGTCCTTGAGAGTGTAAACGGAAATGCGGCCAAAGCTCCGGCCCGCCCACAGCTCGAGAACGCGACGCTTTCGCGACACAGCGGCCAAAGAGTACGTCCTGATGTTGTCGGTGGACGAGTCAACGAGATCGACTTTGCGAGTCTGAGTGAAGCTGTTCGCCACTAGGAGAACTTTACCGCTGTGTAGCGCCACTGCGAAGTACTTTAGCTGCTCCAAGTAGTCGAGCGCCACGATTTTCGCGCCCTGTAACCACACATCAGCAAACAAATGAGCATCACTTAAATAGAGTACGAATTAAGGAGGAGAAAAAAAAATGGGTGAGGGACTCGCCTTGCTGGGATCGGCTTCGAGGCGAAAGTTACCGACGCAGCCAAAGTTCGTGGCGAGGTAAATGTGCAGCTGGCCCGTATTGTCGCCAATCCATATGTAGCCGTCGACGCAGCGCATCGCAAACGGCACGACAGGCGTGTCGATTCTTACGTGCTGCAGCCAGGCCTTGTCGGTCGCCAGGAGCACATCGACCTGGCCATTGTTGTGGCCCAGCCAGATCTCGCTGCCCGTCAGGGTCTCGTCGATCTGCCGGCTCATCGTCGCGATTGCCGTCACCTGTACGATGAGAACGGAGTCGATATGCCAATACGACAAATGAAGAGAGAGAAAGCTAATGCGAGTGACTCACGTGGGTGGTCTCGGTGAGGAGGGTCACGTCCACCAGATGGGTGAACTCGGGTGCAGAGGCGATCGAGACGATTTGACTGGCTGTGGGTCTGTCCCGGGGATTCTGAGCCCAGCAGACGACCATGAGATCGAGGGCGTGGCACGGGTGCAGGGTCTCGCTGTACGTAAGAGCGGGCCGGCCGCCCTCGAGGATGCACTCCTTGACGGACTCGTGGCCCTCGAACGGCTGGCGCAGCGTCACCAGCTCGTAAACGAACATACCGAACGAGAACGAGTCGACCTTCTCGGTGTACTCCTCCTCGCCGTTGTACTTGATGATCTCGGGGGCCATGAAGCCCTCGGTGCCTCCGAAGCCTTTGGCGCCCGAGGGTAGAGTCAGCCGGGAGATGCCGTAGTCGGCCAACTTGACGTGCAATGGCTTATCGAGGGCCGGCGCTGTCGCCGAGTAGTAATTCCCATTCGCTGTGGCCTGTTCCTGATGGTGGCGATGGAAGGGCTGCGGCATCTGCCAAACGAGAACGTTCTCGGACTTGAGGTCTCGGTAGATGACGTGCTGCTGGTGGAGGTACTCGAGCGCCTTGGCGATCTGGAGGACGATTGCTTGGAGGGTGTAGGGATCGAGGCGCGCCCCCGAGCGACGGTAATTCTTGAGGGCGCAGTTGAGAGCTCCCTCGGGCGCGAGATCGAGCACGAGGGCAAGTGGACTGATGACTATGCCGACCAGGGGCACGATGTTGGGATGACGCAGCGACAGCAGGATGTTCAGTCTTGAAACAATCGAAACACAAACAGTAGCAGCAAATCATGAATTGAAATTTTAATTGGATACATATACAAATCAACGTTGAACTTACTCCTGTCGAGCGGTGCAGTAGGCCTTGCAAGCGTATTGCAGAGGGTCCCGGTCCCATTTGCTTTGCGCCGCCTTGTAGGCGAGCAGGGCCGATTGGCGTGAGTTGGGACCGGGAGGCACAGGCTGTAGCATCTTCATGGCCACGTCGACGCTGCTGCGTTGCTGACCACCACGGCTACTGACGCTCGGTAGCCGGCACGTGCCCCGGAACACGAAACCAAAGGCCCCCCGGCCCAGCATCTTGCCGCGTTTCACGTCCTCCGATCGGATGAGGTGTTTGGCGCCCAGGTCCATGAATATGATGTCCGGCGCCACCTGGGTCAGTAACACTTCGGAGTGCCTCGGGCAGCCGATGCTCCGGTTGCTGTAGGCTGCTAGGATGCATTCTTCCACCATCCACGCGTAGACGCTCTTGGCGTCGTCGCCGGTGAGCTCCGGGTGTCCCTCGAGCGAAGGCATGCGGCTCGAGCTCCTCGACGAGCTGTCGTGCCCGACACCACTGTCGCCGTCTGACTTGTAACTGTCCTGGCTCTGGCGCTCCCGGTTATTCGCGTAGTAGCCGGCTGGATGTTCGTCGGGCTGGAGCGGATGGTGGTGGTGATGCTCGGAGTCGCGGGCGGCCTCCTCTTCGGCGGCCTCCGATTGCCCGATGAGGCATCTCGGGCAGGGGATGAGTCGCGTGACCAGTAGCTTACCCTCGGACGTGTGGACGAACCTCGTGCCCAGAGTCGGGTACCAGTCCTCCAGCAAGATGTCGATGTGGTCGACAATGAGGGCCAGCAGCTGGGGCATGCTCTCCGGCTGAGGCTCAACGACGATCGCTTGGTAGCCCATTGGCTCCTCGTCGTCATCCGAGTCCGAGGGTATGGGCTGCTTGATCACTAGGGTATCCACTGGGAACCAGATTTCAAGGATCGCCGACGACCGCAGGTCCACGTTGCACCAGATGCCATCTTGTTTAAGCTTGAATTTGTGCTGCCTGTGTTGTTTTTACCATATGAGTTTATTACTAATAAATCGCACTACAAAAAAAAAAAAAAAAAAAAAAAAAAAAAGCCCAACCTGTAGTCGTAGGGCGAGTTGCGATAGTTGTAATTGATCTCCTTGAGTCGAAGTAGGGTGATGCCCGCGTAGCGTAGCTCGATCCCCGTTTGCCAGAGCAGCCACTCGGCATGTGTCTCCAGCAGGGCGGCAAATATCTTGTCGTCCACAAAGTCCTTGAAGGGCGTCAGAAACGACATGACGATCTCCACTATGGCATCGTCGGCGAGAATGCGCGTGATGAGTCGTGACCAGAAGCCGCTGCGCATTTAAAAACCAGACGTTATGGTGTGCTTGTACGCGAGAGAAAAAAAATACGCAGCGATGGGGCACCTGGGAAAGTAGGACATGAGAAGCAGCCGCGTGATCGAGCAGTCGGGCTGAGGCCGGGAAGTGAGAACACCCTCGATGCCAGTAGCGTGCGTTGTTGGTGCCGACCCTGTAGTAACCATAGGCGGCGGAGCTGGCTGCATCGTCACCAAGGGTGAGCTGGCCGCCTGCATCATCTTGGCACAACGCATGTGCCAGCCGCGGGACTTGACCGGTACCTTGATGCTAATGTTGCTCCTGTGAAGCTCCTCCTCGGTGGGCAAGAGGGACGGGATCAGGAGAGTGCGGTAGTCCCAGGTCAGGGCCACCTCGAACTTGTTCAGCAGCGAGACGATGTAGCCCTGGGTGTCGGCGCTCGAGATCGTCGACGACTTGAACACGTGCTGGATGTCGTCCAGCTTCATAATGCCCGACCTGGCGAACGGATTGATCTCGCGTATCGTGACCACATGGGCGAGCATGTCGCAGAGCCACTGGGGATCCAAGAAGTACAGGTCCTTCAACGTGGCGTCGTCGTAGTGCAGAATGATACCGTTCTCGTGTAGGAACATAGTCGCCTGGTGCAGCTCGGCTGGGTCCCTGAACGACTTGTGCATTTTCTGCAGTTCGCCGTTCACCGCCGAGTAGTACTGCTCGGCTCTCAGGACTGGGTCAGCTCCGCAGAGTTTACGCTCGTGGGCTGTGGGATCGATCGACACGTGTATAATAATGTATTATCCTAACGACATCGGGAATTGATTGCGTGTACTCACCGAGCTGCACGACAACGTCCTCGAGAGCCAGGTAACTGGCCGGCACCCTCTGCTCCAGGAGGAGTTCCTTCGAGCCCGGTGATCTCAGACTGAAAACCACGTCGTAGATCAGGTTGCAGAGCATTTTAATGTTGTGCCGCGTCTTGCAGCTAATCTCGATCGTCTCCATGACCTTCGGCAGGCCGCACTTTTCCGCGTCCACGACGTTTATGAACTTGTCGCGTATGTACTGCTGGAGTGCCTCGCTTTGCTCGTAAGCCACGTCGTAGTGCGTGCCCACGATTATCACCGGTGAGTTTGGCGCTCGGCTCTGAATGTTGACCAGCCACTGAAATATCTCGTTGACACCCTGTGGAAAAAAGCCAGCTATATCGAACGTCGATTCAAAACAATTACCTCTGCCATTACGTGCAGTTAATCAAGGCACCTTGAATCCGTCGATTATGCGCCAGACGACGAGGTACAAGCTACGCTTCGACAGGAAATACTGATGCGTGACGTAGTACTCGCGCTGACCGCCAAAGTCCCAAGTGCGAAAGTAAACCGGCCCGTGGGAGGACTGGCCGCGAACCTTCTTCTCGTAGAGCCAGTCGGCAATGTCCACCCCGACTGTGGATATCGTCGTGCCGCGGGCCGTCTTCGAGTTTATGTTCTTGTTACCCATGCGCTTCGCCCAGTGGTCCGAGGATTTTTTCTTGTTGGGAACCTCGCCCTCCTGGCGCAGTTGCTCCAGTAAGCTCGTTTTCCCTTGGGAATGATTTCGAGTTGATTACAGACGTTGTGTAAAAGTTTAAGACAAACGGAACAGCTTGTACCTATGCCCTGAATACCGACGATCATGAGTTTCATTCTAGCGTAGGGTTTGGCGTCCTCCAGCACGGACTTCAAGTATCCGATGACATCCATCGTCTTGTACTTTTTGGACTCGATCATGGACTTGAGGGGCTCTTGGAGCTTGCAGCCCTGGGTGTTCAAGTTCCAGAGCCTCGACAATAGGCCCATGTGCGGCGGCAACTCGGTTATTTCGCTGTTGCCGCTGACGTTGAGCACCGAGAGGTTGCTCAGCTCGTAAATATTAGCCGGTATTTCCTGCAAGTGTGAAATTGCCGATTTGATTTGCGTCGTTGCCTGTTGTATATAACAGTGCTGTCGATACGAGCATTTTTTTTTTCATGTCTAAACATATTATTGGTACTTTTCTATGCATGGCATTTTAAAAATATCGGGCCTTTACCAGACTTTTTATTGCTTACAATTATTTTATTTTAGCTAGCCTGTGAATTAAAAAATCACGCATCGACTATCCTTTTAAAAAAAAAAAAGTCGGTACGAAAATTACGACATCAGTTTTGATATCGGGATTATATAGTTAATAAGAGTTAAATACGGCAGTTATAAAAATTACAGCAAAATTAGTTGAGAGAAAAATAAAATAAGAAAAACTATGAAAAGTGCGAATTTGCAAAATTAAATTTATTATGTAAAATAATCAAACTGGTGCGGTCTGTGTTCTAGAACAAAAAAAAAAAAAAAAAAAAGATCAAATGATCTGTCCGCCGTAGGTGCAATATAAAGGCACCACGTACCTTCAGCTGGTTGTTGCTGACGTCGAGCATGCTGACGTTGGGAAAAAGGAGGTGCATCTTGGCCGAATGCCCGGATCTGGAGTCCTTGTCGCTGGAGGAGTCGTCGTCGGCAGGGTAGGCCGACGCCGTCGACGAGGACTCCCCGTCGTCCACCGAGGTCATTTGGATGCGGGTAAGCAGGTTGTTGGCAAGCACGAGAGTGCGCAAGCTCTCGAGCCTCAGGTGGCGCCGGTGCGAGCAGACGGACATGAGGACAACGTCGCGCAGGGACGTGGCCGTCTGTCGGCCCGTTGGCGCGGCCGTGGGCGACTGCAGTCCGCTCGTTGGCCAGTAACACGCCGTGCTTGCTTGCTCGGTCTCATCGTAACTATCGATCTGGGGCAGGCTGGGCCAGCAGCTTATCTGATTGTTCGAGAGATCGAGCTGCTTCAAGGTGGACGGGTAAGAGGTGATGTGGCTCATCGATCTCAGCGAGTTGTAGGCCATGTTCAGCCTGACGAGGCTCACGGCCAGACAGGGCAACGCCACGGGTATGCTGGTGAAGAGGTTGTGCGCCAGATTGAGAGACGCGAGCACGGATTTGTTGGTGTTCTGCTCGGCCTCGTCCAGCACCTTCTCCGTCACCTGGATGCCTTTCGTCCACACGAACGGCCTCTCCATCTCGACGAGCCTGGCATTGGCTATTTTCGAAAAGTACGCATCAAAATCCATAGAATCGTCCCTGGGCATGGTCAACTGCGTCGCTAGGCTCCTGCAGCTCGAACTACTGGCCAATTGCGGGTACTCCGGATGCTCGGCACCGCGTGAGCTGTTGACCGAAGATCTCTTGCCACCAGCGGCGTTCTGCTGCTGCTGTTGGTGCCCGTTGAATTGGCCAACGGGCAGCTCGCGCAGCAAGTTGAACGAGGCGTTGAGCTCTTTGAGTTTGGGGGCGCGCCACAGATTGTCCGGCAGGCGCTGGAGCTTGTTATTGGAGATGTCCATGATCTCGAGAGCCGGCATGCTCATGAGGAACTCGGGTAGCTGCTCGAGCCGGTTGTCCTGCAAGTAGATTTCCTCGAGGACCGGGCACAGCTTGTCTTTGGCGGTCCTCGGCTCGGCTGCAAGGGACTCGATTTTGTTCTGCGCCACGTTCAGATATCTATGTCCACGACGATCGAAGATAGTAGAAAGACACGATTGGTGTGCACGCGCACGGTGGTGTGTATACGTAAGACAACTCACCTGAGGCTCTGCAGATAGAAGATGGTGGAGGGAAGCGAAGTGATGGAATTCTGAGATATGTCGATACGGGTGATGGCGTAAAGCGCGAGCTCGGCGCTCTTGGAGCTGAGTTTGCGGTTGACGTGGAGCACGGCGTCCAAAAGCCACTGGGGTCGGATCTGGGAGAGCCGGCATTGCTGATCGTGCCAGTTGATCATCGTGGGGGTGCCGGGAAAAAGGGCCGAGTGGGCCACGGCGCCGAAACTCGAGAGCGCCGAGGAGAAGTGTGACGAGGAGGCCAGGCCCCCGCCAACCTCGCCCAAGGCCTTCTTGTTGATCTTGTACTCGGCGTCGGGGTGCGCCTTTATCGCGAGCAACTTGGCCGTGAGTAGCTCGTCCCCGTTGCGAGCGGCTATCTTCAGAGCCGAGCAGTCGTTGTCCGTGGCTCCGTGCCGAAGCAGTAACTCGGCTATCTTGCCGTCACGTTTCTGGCACGCGATAGCAAGGATGGAACTGCACTCACTGCTTCCCGGGCTCTCCGATCTACCGTCGTTTGGGTGCTCGTTCGCGGGAGCTCTGAGCAACAGGTTTGGGTTTGCTCCGGCCTGCAGGAACATGTATATTATTAGTAAACGCAATCCCACGTGGTTTTACGCTCGTTAAAGTTAAACAACGTGAGAAAAACAAAGCATCGCGTGTAAAAAAAAAAAAAATAATAATAAACTCAAGTCAAGCAAGAGCGGGAGACCTGTAGGAGCGCGGCGACGACGTCCGTGTGCCTAGCTTTGACCGCCGCGTGCAGCGCCGTCTCGGTGTTGTTGTTGCAATAGAGGTCGAGGTTGAGCGGACAGATGAGGTTCTCGTCCTTGTTCTTGGCCTCGGTAGAGCGGCTGCGAAAGTTCAAACTCGACATGAGGCGCTGTATGCCGCTGGATATCCTCCTCTTGCAGGCCAAGGGCGCCGTGGTGGCACCGGACGCCTGGTGAGCCGAATCGGCTTGTTCCACCTCGTCTTTGTTGCCGTTGACGCTGCGCGCCTGCACGCGGTAACCCAACAGGAGCTCGACGATTTTCTGGGTGCCCAGCACGCTTGATATGTACAGGATGTTCTGGTCGGTTACGTCCTGGCCGTTGATGTCGAAAGGCATTTCGTACTCGAGCTCACCGCTCGCGTCCCGAAACCTACACGGCGAAACAATAGAGAACACCGAGGCGTACAATATAAGCATCGCAACTAGCCGAGTCCGAAAGTGTATATTATGTATACCTTTGGTAGAGGTGCGGCGGGTATTTGAAGTTTAGCAGCAGCTCGACGACGGCGTGGTGGCCATTGATGGCAGCGGCGTGGACAGGCAACCAGCGTTCAACGGTCAAAGACTGGACCTGCTCCGGGAATCGGCTGAGCAGCATCTCGACGATGTCGAGTTTGCCGTTGTAGCAGGCGATGTACAGGGGTGAGTAGCGGGTAACAGGGTGGATGGTGCAATCGGCCCCGCTGTCCAGCAACAGTTTGACCATGTCGCGCTGGCCCGTTTCGCTGGCCAAGAACAGCAGCGTGTTGGCCCCGTTCGGTGCCAAATTCACCACGCGCTCGAGCTCGGCTCGGCCGGACGCTTGCTGTAGCACCAACAACTCCTGGACCACGGCTCGGGCGGTCGCGCAATCCGCCTGCAGGCACGCGAGCCGCAACTTGGCGTGCATATCCAGGCGGGCTCGATGGCGTCTGCGTTTGTTTGTCGCACCATTATCATCACGGGGAGAATATATATTTTATGCTCGTTATTCATGGATGAAAAACAAAATGAGGTACAGCACCTTTCGCCCACCCGTTTGAGGACCTCGCAACAGCCAATGTTGTCGTGCTTCTCGGCGAGTTCCAAAGCCGTTCTGCCGGTGGCGTCGCGAGAGTCCAGCAGCAACAGTGGCACCCAGGTGCCCTGGGTCTCCGGATCCAGCAGCTTCTCTGCGTTGCTCGCGTGGCCATGCTCAGCACTATACATGGACACCCACGACCCGTCGGTAAGTCAACAAATATACAACTGCCCAAATTTTAATCTCAATCACTGTCACGTTACCAGACGTGTAGCGGGGTGCGTCGCTGTCCACGCGGTCCGCACGCCAAGCCTGGATCAGCTCCAGCACGGAGCAGCACCTCCAGGCAGCGGGAGCCCTCGCTCATGGCGGCGGCATGAAGGGCCGAGCGGCCCCACGAGTCGGTACAGTTCACGTGCTGAAGGTGCTCGCCCCGCAGCAGGTCCTCCAGCAGTTCCGCGTTATCCCAGAGGGCCGCCTGGTGCAACAACCGGCCCGGGAACTCCTCCTCGGGCTCGCGAGCTCCGCCGTACTCATCCTGCGGGGAGCCACAACCCGGGTCGGCTGTTACGGACGACGCAGCCTGATGCATTGAGCCTGTAGTTTTTCTTTCCAACTACCTAGTCAAAGTGAGGCCATCCGTGCTCGCTGCTGCCATCGCTCTATATGGTTATAGTACCTAGAAAATGGTACGTTTATATAAACATCTCTGTCGATGTTTGCTCGATTTGGTGCGTTAACGGTTTGGCAACTCACCTGAGCCGTGGTTGTTGCTTCATCGATTGATGTATGCCCCACAGACCACAATGACAATAGAATCCATTATAATCTAAACAAAAAGTGATCCAAATTAAATGATGCTTCAAAAGGGTTTGATAATTGTTAAGAACTCAAGCATCACGTAGCGAAATGACATAGTACGTGATTACCAGTGTAAAAATTGCGTCCGCACAGAAGTGCTTGTTCAAGGTTGTGGTTATTTATGTAACAAACGATGACCAGAAAATTCCAATGGATAGCGATAGTTGAAGTACTGTGCGCGAGAGGTGGCATTACATAAAATTTTAAGTCAGAATTTTACAATGTACAAAATTGCCTCGTATCGTGAAATCATTATACTTAAATGACAGAGTGAAAATAATAGCGTAGTAAATAATTTTGGTAATTATAAACGAGCGTTACACTTTTAACTCGATGGTTAATTTGCAAGAACGTCCCCGCGACAAAGTATGGATTGTGTGCAAAAATCGAATGTGTATCGTCAAATACGTAGTGAAAGGCGGGGCGTTGAGAAAAAAAATGATCTACCGAAACGCATTAATTAAAAACATGGTGAGTAAGAAGAGATTAACTGGACGGGCTAAAGAATATTGAGGTAAATTTAAAAATTAACTGCGCTACACGTATGTGAATGAGTGACAGCAGCAAGTGACAGTCAAGGGTGAAAATAATTTACGTGGAATTGGTAAAACTCCTACCGAAAGACGAGGAAGACCCTGCAGTGCGACTGTTTTGATGCTCCGATCTGGAGTCGCCATTGCCAGTACTGTCATACTGTGCTCCAAAGCTGCGGAGCAGACGCGTTTTGCGCTCCCACTGCCTCTCACATTCACGTTTACCCTACACACATACATATATTATGTATACGTACCAATTTACGTGCTCTGTTTACTTATTGGTACCTATATGTGCTTGAGCGATATAGGTCATTGACTTTGGTGAGTAAACAATAACACTCGAATTGTTATCAGTTAGACCGGCTCACGACCATTATATTGACGCGCTAATCGTTATTCATTATCAGAAATGAGAAAACTAAAAATAAGTTTGTGTATGACTATGCGGCACAATGGTATACATACCAAAAGTTCATTTATTCACCTATTCATCTCCTTTTTTTTTTTTTTTGGTACTACAGTTTAGAGTAGCAAGCGATAAGAAAGTGCATAGACATTTTCAACAAAAATATAAAAATACCATGATTTATATATATGCATGTATAAATATCAGAAATCTGAGCCGCAGTTTTTCATTTTTTCCATCACATACTTTCTGGAGGATGGTCCCTGTATAGACTGTAGCCCTACGGCAACAGCGCCTCCTGAATTTTTCCCGCCAACCTGTTTAAATGGATCTTATTTATTGTTTAAGGAAAAAAAAACAGCTGAGCAAGTATACGAGTTTACGGAAAAATGGAGCAGAGCAAAATCTGTGCCGGTAGGACGCATCACGTACTTATCCTATCTGTGACGATTAATGTTGAATAATCTCGATCCAGCTTGATGTGGCTAGAGTCGGAGCTTCAAAATTCATAAGTTACAAGTAAGTGGATGTGTGTCGTCTCAAAATGACAGAGTTGCGATGGAACAATATTCTTGGCGGATATGGCAGATAGCAAATAAGTTGTTCAGTTTTGTAACCGAATAAAATGCCAAGAAGACATTTTAGTGCTTTTTTTTTTTACATTTTTTAGGTTACTATGAGCTCGACCAAACTGTAATAGATGTCGAAAATCCGTCATGCATATATATAGTCCTGAGTTTCGAATCGCACAGTATACTGATGGTGGCGATAAATAATCTTCAACGGCAAGTGAGCCTTGTGTGCGAAGGATCATCCAGAGATAATATTATTCAAAGGCCGCTTCGGAAAGATTCCGTAAGGGTATATCGTTATTTACCTATATTATGGTGATTGAATAAATATACGATAACAGCGACCAATAATAATAACAACAAAAACATAATAAATGAGCTGCAGTGCTGTCACTGTATGAATTGCAAAACTTACCAATTTTCGCGGTGTTGCCTTGTTGAATAAATAATTACAAACAATCATCAAAAACATACATATTACGTACGCCTATAGGATACCACCCTCTACGTTATGTTATAAACCGACTGATTCCAAGTATCAATTATTACGACGAATTTTAATTATATTTCGTTGTATATGATTATTTTTAAAGGAACAGACATATACAGTATCTATTACAACAATAATGCCCCAATAAAAGTCAATCTAATATTTAATCTACTAATTTAATCAACCTCGCTTTCTGCTTTTTTCCCAGCATATATTACTTGTTCCTGCGATATCTATAGTTGATGCTATTATTATGATATTATACGCATAATACAAAATAGATAAGTTTTGAAAAGTAACACAAGTATTTATATCTTTGGTGCCTCGGATGTAACTTTCATTGCACCTATTATATACTCACATTTACCTACATGCTTGTGTTATATCACCGAGGCACCGAAAACACTAACGAGTTGATAATTATCAATTATCCAAGTTATTAAATCCTCATTAGATTTTCTTGATGCTCATTGACGAGTTGGGTGAAACTCTATACTAAAGCCTTAGTTAAAATTTTTCATAAGAATCATTTTTTTTTTTCTTTTTTTTTCTGAATATAAAATGTAAACATATTTATATTACAAGAACTATTTATATAATGACGTTTAACTTTTTACCACAATATATACAAGCGCAGAAGCAGGATAATACCCGTGCTATGTATGAACGTAACGATTTTCTTTGCATTACGAGAGTATATGTGTATAGGTTTACACCTACACATATATGTATAGGTTTCATCATGCACAAAAAACACGGACTGAAGGGGGAAGTAGCAGGACAGAGAAGAAAATCGATTTATCCCAAGCAAGGGCGGGTGAAGTTATACCATACGAGGGAGGAATTACAAAAGTACAGCTTTATAAAAAAGGTGATTAGGTGTACATACGTATTGTTATACACACGGAAAATTATGAAAGGAAAAGAGAAAAAATGAATACAGAGAGGGAGAGAACGTGTTGCGTACACCTACATGATTATAAGTATATATTTTTTAGCATAAGCTATAAGGTGGGTAGAGATCGAGGCACCTTAGAGAATATACACAAGAGAGAAAGGTTGTACTGCTATTTGTCTTTTGTCTCTCTCATCTCGTCTCGCGGTCGGAGCATAAATATATATACATACAATGCTTCCTCCATGTATATAATATTCTCTAAGAGAGGCACGCACGCGGTGACGTGGTGATTGGCGTTGAGGGGGGCCGGCGGCGCTGCGCAGTCCGTCCGCGGTATAGGCGAGCCCCTCTACCGCTCTACCTTTACCACCAATGCACGCTAGGCTCGGGCTTGCAGCATTGGTCCTCGATTGTGCCGACCAATCATTGGGAAAGTGCGCCTGACGAAAATATCCAATGTAAGTCCACAAATTATAAGCCGAGCGAGCCGCCAGGCCAGCCTTCGTTAAACGAGAGACCATCAGCAGCAGAGCGCGTCTTTCGAGCCCCTCGACGTACTCCCGAGCGCGCCGTGTCCAGCCACAATCGCGACCCGGACTCGGGGAACCGCGCCGCTACGCGAGTGTCGAGAATTTACCTGTACGCGACGCGCCATGTTTGCCAGCTGCCATCGCCGTGGACTACCTCACGATGTTGCTCCGTTTTCGAACACCCCGAGTGCAACTCGCGTCGTTTCGAGTGTTTCCTCTGGCTATACGAGCCCGAGACTGGGAGTTCGGGGATGCTCGCGACACCATCCTCCGGACGACGATGACGCGACAGTGCTCCTAGGATGCCCACCCAAACGCACCCAAGAGCGAGAGAGACGGACAGCCTCTTCGTCCTCCTCATCTTCGTATACTTTGCGTACGCTTCAGTACTTCCTTACTGCTTCCTTTCTTGCTTCCTCTCTTCATGTACCATCATAATGTGTATACTCATTAATTCCTGAACAGCTCCCCAAGTGCTAGCGCGAGTCGTCGTAATGTTAGTAGTGTCACAAAGGTGAAGGGGTTACGCCGTCCCTAGGTGTAGGATTGACATTTCTTGAGAAAGCTACGCGTCTTGGTACATTTGTTTTACAACACTTACAATGCCCGTCGTTTCGTATACATGTATGTTCTCTCCCTTGGCCCTCAATTTTCTATGTTCTGAACTTGTACGTATAGATTACTTGCTCTTCGTGTCATATGATAAAACTCGTGACTCGGGACCCGACAAGGGTGTTTTATACGTGCACAAGTGTGCAGAAAATGACTTACAAGACTAAAATGTCATTGAAATATTATTTGAACTCATTATTTTCTTCCAACAACACATTTTTCAACTCTTTGTCGTTTGATAACTCCAACTATTAACTTTCATGTTGAGCAAAGTGAAGACTAAAATTTCGTTCAATTTTTTTCAATAATGAATATTTATTTTAGTGTTTAAGCCATAATGGATCAGCTTGGAGAAGGTCAAGCAGTTATGGTTGGAGGTGCCAATGGCACTGTTCAAGTCGTTCAAATGGGCCAAGCCAGTTGCCAGGGTCAAACAGTTATGCTTCCACAGGCAATCCAGGTTGCTGCACCAAATGGACAGATACAGGTTGTCCCTATGTCTAGTTTGACCGGAGCGGGTCAACAGATAGTTATTCAACCTCAAACGCCGCAGATTATTCAGACACCGGATGGTCAAACTTACATATATCAGCCTGTTCAGCTTGACAACCAAATTCAGCAACAGCCACAGCCTACAGGTTTGCATATCTTGTGCCTTAGTTTGTCTCAACCAAGAGGCAATCGATTGTTATAAAGATCTGCTGACCAATAAGACAATTTCTGATTTTCAGTAATAAACATCAATGGAAATTTGATGCAAATTGCTAGTCCAACGGCGCAAACAACCACAGCAGCAAGTCCAGTTCAACAAATCACAACCCCAACAGCAGCTACTCAGGCAGGAAACATTGTTATGGTGACTATATTTAAGGGTCTCTTTCACGCACCGTTTGTACACTTTTATTGTACAGACGTGTAGTGAGCAGAGCGACAATTTATGTCTGACAAATAGTCAAACATACACCAGTTGAATGATGCCAAAGCCTTAGTATAAATACCATGTATTTGTTTGGAATTATTAATTGATGTGTTGCTCGAATTTGTATCCTCAAATACATTATACATGTTGTTTTATATTACGATTCAAATTCACAGATGGTTCCGAGTACTAGTAGCACTCCTCAATTTCAACGTGTAGCTCTTCCGAATGCTGAATTTCTTACAGAAGAAGAACCTCTTTACGTTAATGCAAAACAGTATAAACGTATTTTGAAGCGTCGGCAGGCAAGAGCAAGACTTGAAGCTGAAGGAAAAATTCCAAAAGAACGACCAGTTAGTATTTATTCCCAATGCATGAAATTATTTTAAAGACACAGTTAACAGTCTTATGCTAATGTTGGTTAATTTTTAGAAATATCTTCACGAATCGCGTCATCGACACGCAATGAATAGAATTCGTGGTGAAGGTGGTCGTTTTCATTCAGGCCAAATGAAGAAAAAAGGGTAATTTGAAGCACACTTATACTGCATAAAATACATAGCATTAGTTTTAAAAAACCACCCACAAAAGTCATGGAAAACCTTGCTTTCCAGAAAATCCAATAACAACGCTATGATGAATCAGCACATAGCTACCTCGACCAGTAACAGCAACATGACATCTACAATCATCATCGAGGTAAGCGTTCATATCCACTTGATCAAAAGTAAAAAGCTATTTTTCTGTAATGATCAATAAAGTAATCTTTTCTTCTTTCAGCATGCTCATCCTGGTGAAGTTTTACCCGACATTATTAATAACGAAACTTTAGTTAGTATGAAATAATAGTAATTTTAATTTTTGGAGGTTTTTTTTAAAGGCTTCTAAATTTTTCCTGAGAAGTCTGTGATCTATTGGAAGTTACATTAAGTAAGAAATTTATCATCATCAATCTCGAAATATGTTTCATTAAAAATGTACATACTTATTCGGTTCATTAAATCGGTGAATGTTTTTTGTTGTTGATGGTAATGAATTTCGTAAGGAATTTTTTTCCTCTACAAAAGAGTTTAAGAATAATTGAACGACCAATAATTGCTCAATTGTTCTCAAACTCACAATATTTGCTTTCTATCTATGAAAGCATCTTTGTAAAAAAATTTAGAAAACAATTCTGTTTTCAACGAAAAAGTATGCACTAATTGGTGAACTTGACTCGTTTGCTCAATGATCAAAGTAACTGCAAACGCGGAATTTTACAATAGTCATACTAAACATCACACATGCTAAATTTTTTAAATTTATTAAAAAGTGTATGTTGTACGTTTGTCATAAATAATATCATTGAATATCTAGTTGCAAAGTTTGATGTAATAGGGCAAGTACAATCACCCTTAATTCAAATAATCAAAGAAATTGCTTTTTATATTATTACAGAGCGTAAGTAGTAGTATATATTTTGTTCATTTTTTTGTCGATTTTATTGAGTAGAAAAATTTAAAAGAGTCTCATTGATTGCTACGAATTTTTTTTGGAAAATTCATAAATGATTTGCTCTTTTTACAACTCGTGTAAATATATTTGTATACATGTGTGATGAATGATTACTTGTTTTGCGAGAGAGAGAGAGAGAGAGAAAGTGACTAAATAATTTATATAATCAGAAAGTATAAAAAAATAGTAAAAAGAAAAAAACATGTAATGTTCTTTTGTAACGATTTTTATAAATATGACTAAATAAATTTTATCAGGTATATATTCTCGAAAGAAAATACTTATTAGATTTGTCTTTAGAAATAGTTTGTTTTTTATTAATATATTTGAGATATTGGATTTTTCGAGGTGTTTCCTAAAATGTTGGAACAGATTGATCTTTGATTATCTGAATTGCCTAAGACACCCTCAGTCAGACTTGATCGATCATACGATTGTTCCATGATTCCACGATCAACTTTGCCTATTTTAGATTGATACTCGGAGTTTCCAGTTCTTGAAATAAACAAAAGTCATCGATTTGTTTGGATCGTTAATGTGATTAAATAAGACAAGGAGGCTTGAAATATATTTCGGTTGTAAAAGGTGCCATAAGCATTAATAACACAATTGTAGAAAACAAATACAATTTTTTCAAATTAAACTTATGATTCACTCACCTGACGCAAAGTATTTCTCGTTCTTTTTGGTTTATTGTAAGATTGCCAGGAGGTTTTTTAAACGCACTCGAGTTCAAGGAGTTGCTACTACTGTAATACCGAGGATCTCTGTAAAATTTTTTTTGCATAGTTTCAGGAATCGAATAATTTTTTGGCAACGAAATTTCAGCCGCTTTTTTGTCATTATACGAATCACGATCATCTGTATGTGAAATAATAATGCAATACTTGATAAAAAGGAAAAAAACTACTTACCATATAAATAAAAATTATACGTAATTATAAGTTCAAACGCTAAAAATCATGCTATTAATAATTATAATAATGTAACAGACTGAATACATGATGTGAATCACATAACATACTGTGCACCTATTTGCACTTTGAATTTTGTACCTTTTGAAGCATGTGCACATGTAACCATTTAATTGGAATTTTGACGTAATAACATAGCCTTGAGGAAAATTTTAAAAATAAGTCATAACTGTACAAGTACTTGGCAATGTAAACACGTGATTCGCAAATCCAATGTCAAAAAATGTGCAATTGTGCTTCAAAGGGTCGAGAAAAGCAAAACATAGAAAATATGTAATATCTTAAGATATAGCGTATCATTATGTAAAGCGCTCTTGCCTGAGGTCATCGCGATCTCGAGCTGATAGGTGCTCCGCAAGAGTCGTCTCTTGTTGCGCTCGACGACCGCCTCATCCGGAGGATCTTGCGATAAAACCTTTTTCAAATGCGGGCGCTCGTTTCTCACCTTATACGTATATTATACATACATAAACATGCAATATGTAATGCAGACGATTTAATCAAGAATAGTAGTGATAAAATTATTTTGTTAACAAAAATTCAACGCGTTTTTATTTATTTCGTTGCCCTGAAATTCCCCTTACCTTGTTCAAGTAGTCAGCCGCACTTTCCGTGCGCTTGTAAATAGGCAAGCGATCGTTACCTTTTTTTGTATTTATGTGTTCATTGTACGACTCTGTTAGAGGATTCGGACATATGTACTCGGGAGCGAATGGCGTAGCCTTGAAAAGTTTTCTAATTTTTTTCGGACCGTATTCCGTTCTAAAGTTGGTCTCGAAATTACGATTTTCTCCTTCCAAATCGAGAGTCATTCTAGCTTGTTATGGTAAGGTTATTTTAAAAAAATAACAATCGCGAGTCCAATCTGATACTCTTTTATTCCATCGAGACACTCTTTTGCTACTAATTTATTTTACTGAACGATTTCTCATGATGGGGCAGAACTAATGTCGACTCGCGCTCGGCGTTCGCCTGAAGTTTCGATCGGATCATCTGCCGACGTTTGGTGGCCAGCATTTTTCGGACGTTTTTCAGCATGACGTGTCCACCCGTGCGCCCATAGGTGTCCTGGTAATTTGACAGTGGAAGGCTGAGATCTTGCGGGCTGGCGTAGCCAAACACTAAAATATATCAAAATAAATTCTTCGTCAGTCGTCACTTTGGCTTTTTCCTTCCGGTCTAATGATCGTAAAATAAAAATCCTACGTCTCGAGGACGTGTAGAGCAGCCTTGCGGGCTTGTCCGTGTTCTCGTTGTAGTACAAATTTTTCAAATAATTGATCAGCTCGTTTCCCAAATCGATCTCCTCCACTTCCTGCTTTCCGCTTCGGTCCTTGTAATTCAGCCGATAAACTGTTTGCAGACGCTCCAAAATGAACTTTGATATGAGCTCTTCGGTACTTTTGTTCCAGCTCTGCAAATTATCCTTCTTGTCGCTGTCATCCCAATGTTCGATCGGTATGTACCTTCAATTTCATTGATTTTCATTAATTTTTTTTTTTACTTACGATTCTCAAACTTCATGAACAAAACTCACGGCTCTCGTTTAGCGTATCTTTTCTTCGTGAATTCATACAGATACTCCGAAGGAAAAGCTCTGCACCGTTTGTTCATATTTTTTTCCCTTTCGACCGCGAATCGCGAAGACTTGAGAAATTTAAAAGCAGCGGGTTAATTACTTACTGATGGGAAAAAATCAACCTAACCCGGCCTACATCAACAAAAGCTAGCAGACGTGCCGGCCACGGCACAAAAGTTTTTTAATTTTAATAACAATGGCAGTGTCTAATGCGATGTTTTCGCAAATTGCGGTTTTGAAAAATGTTGTCACGTCGGGAAACGTAGCATCAAAGTTATTTATGAGGATTTCTGACATAACGGTGAGTTTTTCAAACGCTTAAAATTTTCATGGAGTTTATAACCCTAAGTACTTTTGCATTGAATATTTGTAAAATTTTATTCCAACTCTAGAAAAATATTTGCCTATATTCCACCACGAATACAAGTACAAGCGTTGATAATGTTTCAATAACAGCTCCACAGAAGAAAATGAGTAAAGCTATGTTGGCCTACTTAGAAAGAGCCAAAGCTTATGGTAAACCTTATGTTGTCACTGAAAAAATCACTACTGAACTTTTTAATGAAATTTTTTTTAAATTTTTTTATTTTATTGATTTTCAGATACTTTCATCAAGAAAGAAACAGAAGATTACCAAATAGGAAAAAGACATTTAGCAAACATGATGGGAGAAGATCCGGATAATTTTACAGATCAAGATGTTCAAGTAGGAATGGTTTTGCAGCAAAACTTACATTTTCGTGCATTCGTACTTTTTAATTGATGATTTTTTTCAGAGTGCCATACAATACCTATTTCCATCGGGGATACACGACAAAATGGCCAGACCAGTAATGAAACCACCAGAAGAAATTTTCCCTCGCAGAAAAGCTGCTGAGTTTGATGAAACAGGAAGACCATACCATTCTATGTTTTACACAACTAGACCAAATTTTTTCAAAGCACTTTATGTAATTAAATTGCATTAATTTTAAACTTAACTAATACATATCGCATGAATTGTTTTACATTGATATTTGTTTTAGGATATTGTTGAAGAGTTAGAAAATTTGGACAATTTTGAAGACAGTATGATAAGGAAAGGTGTGGCTCCTAAACCAGAAAATATGATGTGAGATTAAACTTTACGTAAATTATTGACGACAAAAACTTTATTGATTATTAATTGAAATTTCGTAAAATTAGGGATTTATCAACATCAGATTGGTTAACTCATCAAGAATTAGAAAAAGTTCTTTTGGAGAAACTCTATGATTATGATGTAAGTCAATAAAATTTTATTTTTCACGAAAACAATCATTTATTTAATTCTACTTTGTGCATTTTTCAGTACGAATATTTCATTGCATCAATACAGAGGTTAGCTGATCATCCATATTCTGAAAAAGCTAAAGGAACGCTTTCAAGATTCAGACAAGAAAGAAGAGTGGTTGCAGAGTCGTTATCTGTTGCAGAGGTATTGTATATGCATTGATAAGTTTTCTGACTCTAATAGCTGTGTAAAATATTTCACTTTTATTTTTAGTTTGAGTACGATGCAGATGGCCGGCCTTTCATAGTGGTGAAAGGTAAAAGCACTTTTATTACAAGAAATTTCATGTTTTGAACATGTGTGAATGCACAAAAATATTTTTATTCAATTTTTGTTAAAGATTGTATGAGAAAAAGTGCAAGAGCCGAAGTTACCGTCAAAGGAGCAGGTTCAGGTATTATTACAATCAACGGTCGGACTTTGATACAATACTTCGCGGACGATCAGGAGCGGGAACAGGTAAGAAATTTCATTACCATACCAAAAAGGTCAGAGAAATATTCATTAAGCGCGAATGTGAACGAAATCGTACTTTTTTTGTTCATGCGTAAAATGTTTTGTTAGACGATAGAACTACCTGAGTACTTGAGTTACAATATAATGCAGTTAATTTTTTAACTTATATTAGGTAACCACGACATATTTGTACCAAAACTAGAAATTCTGAAATCCACGAAAAATGCACATATCGATCAAAAGCGCTACATCAGTGCGTCTGTGTGTACGACTGCGATTTATTATTTTCTATGAATCATAAATCACACCGGCGCACATATCTACGTATTATACAATAATTTATAAAGGGAAAAAAACCATCGAATAATATGCGAATCCATGCGTCGCGCGTGTTATAGTCGTCAAAAGTGTTTGCCACGTGACCAGTGTCAATGAGAGTTGAAAGCAGCGAGTGAACTAGCTATCGTCAAATGAATCATAAGGTAAGTCAGATTATTTTTTTACTCTGTACGTGTACCTACATACAACTTGCCGAGACTCGCGAAGTTCCCGTATATATTACTGCGATCGCAAGTATCGGCAAGTCGGTGTCGTGCGAAAAAAAATTGTGCAACCGACTCCCCCGCGAGAATTCACCGGAAAGAACTTCCGTTAACCATTGACATGATAAAAACTTTCTCCAATAATTTCGCCTGTATATTCTCACACTGAGATAATTAGTTGTTCCGTTAAAAAAAAAAAAAAAAAAAAAAAACATGGTATTGAAAGCCACCGGTAAACGAATGATCGTCGAGTGAAGTGATTGATGATGTTTACAGCCCATGAAAATTCCATCTTAGATAGACGCGGAAATTCTTCAGACTCGCTCGAGCGTCCTCGGACATTCCCCAGCGCCTTACGCACCAAATCCTTCATACTTTTCTCTCTTCCATACACTTGGTTGGATCGGTTAAATTACTCACCTCGATGATCTTTGGATCGGCAAATAAAAAATCGGTAAACTCAAGAGAATCGGTATTACATATTAAGTTACAGTTTTCAAATGGATGTATATACGCACTACAGAAAGTTGAAATAACGTATCCAGTTGAACTGAAAAAAAAAAAAAGAAAAAGAAGAAGAATGTATATTGAATTGATCATCGTGAGGCCCCGTGATCGCTGCCGAGAGCACCAAACAATTGAACATTCCAGAAAGTATATAGTATACACTCTCGCATTTGTGGCCGTGCGCTGAACCAAAATAGAATTCCGCTCGATTAACGTGCCGTAATACCCTGGTAAGCGACGAGTTACTTGGCAATCACTTGCGAGATGGATATATAAAAGCATGTGGCCCTTGGGCAGCCTGCATCAGTTTTGGCGAAATTATCTCCAAAGCATATATAGTTTTGCGGTACCAATGTAAAATATCGTGACCAAAAAAAAAAGGAAAAAAGGCGCCAAATATTATCTAAAACCGGAGAGCATGGACGAACAAGCATGTGTAACATATAACAACAATCGGGCAAGATAAGCGTGCAGCGCAAGAGAGTGTACGGATCCCCTTGAGCTGTACCAACACACGTAACGCCTCGACGCGGGTGGCGGGAGCTCCGGCTCGATCCTCACGATCGGCAGTGTGATCGCGCGCGCCGTACTCGATCGATCTGTGCCCGGGGCCTCCCCAACGGACGCGAGGTCGAAATGCCGCTGCTCGCCCCATTGTCTCCGCTACACCCCCGAGACTCCCGAAAGCAGGGTCGGTGACAACGAGCCGAAGGATACTTCCACGATCCGTCTGTCGCAGAGGTGGACTTTTCTTCCCTCCCATCACTGGGCCAAATGTACGACAATTGCCGTCTTTCGTAATACTTTTGAGGTATAACCATGCACATTATCATCTTACTTCCCCCAGGACTATATGCTTTCTTACTACTCCTTGGATGTATAGGGCTTACAATATCTTCTTCCTCCTCTTCGAGTGGCTCTGTAAAAAAAAGATTCGGAACGCGTATACCTACAACCCGTGGGGTAAACGGTCCAGCCGCCGGTCTACCTGTGCACTCGCTGTTGTTGACATTGCTGGTGCAGCTCTTATCTGAGCCAAGGGAGATTGTACATCTCGTCATTGGTATATAAAAGATAAGAGAGTGAATCGGTCATCATTCCCCAATGTCACATTGCGAATTACCGTGAAATAAGTAATCGGATGAAACCAGATCGGTAGACTTTTCACGAATTCGCGAATAGCCGTGAGTTACAGATGCGCCAAAAGAGCCATTTTACGAGCTGATGTGTACCGTGTATATAATATGGCATACGCATCCCTACGAGCGAAGAACCGGAGCGTATATAAGCTAATAGGTCGCGCGTATACCAGCTATACGCGCCACGATTTTCCAATTGACATTCGCTGGCTCGCGACAAACTAATGTCGGCTCCGCGAGAGAAAAGTGACGTACGGAGGAAGGTCCAATTGTTGCGTTATTAAAATACGCACGGCCCACGGCTCGTCCTTTTCGCAAAGCTTTTCCGCGCCTCGTGCAACTCTAGACGTCTGTTGTTGTTTTTTTTTTTTTTTCCTCATTGACGGGCGCAGCTCGATTTTCCCGATTTACGCCGATTGGCGGAATACGACCAATTTGTCGCGACGAGTTTATTTACTGAAAACGAGAGAACAAAAAAAAATAAAAAATGGTCACTCGAGCGATATTTACGTTATATGTACGTATATATATATACATACATATACACTGCACATCCAGAGCGTTTGATGAACAAAGATACTTAATGAAAGGAGATAAATTCTAAGCGGGCAATTGACGGGAAGATGTGCGCGTTACGTTGCCGACCTTGGCAATGGGAGAACACACAGAGACACACGCGTTACATTTGCCAACACCCACGCTGCCCGTTGTACCCCACATGTACCCTGTTACTTGACACGTAAGGTCCGAGATGTTGTATACTCGTCGTAGTCGTCTTGTTCGCTAATAGAAGGGCCATTCATTTATAAAGAAATCACGGGATGTTGAACGTGATTTAAATGTTTCTCTCAATTAATCCATTTGAACGTGTGTCACGAGTAAAAAGCGCCCGTGTGTGTACATGCGTAGCGGTAGCGCACCGAGAATAATGCACGCGGAGCAATTACGCGTACTTTTGTTGGCCGCGGAAAGGAGAGGATCGTTAATTGTCGACGACTTTGAAAAAAATGCCCGTCGTGCGTCATCGGACCATCCGTCCATCTCTTGTTCTCCTCCCAGTATACAACGCAACGTGGATTATTCAATGATGGTTACTTGCAAAGCTCGCGTTCGCGAAAATCTCTGTGTGCATGCACAAGAGAAAGAGGACGAGCCAAATTACATTTTCGCACGACCCCCTCCTCGATTGACGGGAAGAGTGAAAATTGGGAAGATTTTCTCTTTCAGCCGTCGATCCCAGCCTGCTTAGAAATTCTCGCGACATGTCGGATGATAAGGACGTTAACAAGCCCGCGGTGGTCCATCGGGCCAACAACAGCCAAGTGAAAAAGACCATTAACAACAACAAGAGAGTGAGGCTACAGCGTAGCTCGAGCAGCGTCCAGCTACCGGCGTACCCGGCCTCCCTGTTCAAGTCGAGGACGTCGTCGACGTTGCTGCTGAATCGTTGCCTGAGCAACGGCACCACCGGCTGCCGGAGCAGCTCCCTCACCGAGGAGTCGTCCTTCGAGGGCGCGGCTGACTGGAAGAACGAGGACCGGTGCATGGATTACGGGACGCCCCCGCCCATCGAGGAGCCCCAGTGCTACTCCATGTGCCTCACCGAGAGCTCCACCTCGGACGAGAACAACTGCCCCGTCCAAGTCAGCAGGGAACTCCTCGGCTCCCTCCTGGTCGAGCACGCCCGTACCTTGGGCTGCCGGCTGCACGTCCTCGAGGACCTCGAGCACGGCAAACTCGATGCTGGTCCCTCGAGTGCCCGGGACTACCTGGCCGGCTGCAAAAAGCCCCACGAGCTGAACGCGTTGCTGTTGTACGCGAGTTATTTGGGCAAGGCCGAGGTGCTGCCGGTACTGGTTGCCCAGGGCGCCGATCCCCTCTACGTGGAGCCCGAGCTGGGCGTCACGGCCCTCCACCTCTGCGCGTTTGCCAATTGCCTGGCCGGGGTGCGCTACCTCCTCGAGGCGGTCGGGGGCGTGGCCGCCCTGTCGAAAAAGGCCCACACGGCTTACCATTACGCGGCGTTTGGGGACGCCGTGGACGTGGCCGGTCACTTTGCTCGGCTCGGCTGGAGCCAGGAATCGCCCCTCGGCGAGGAGACGGTGCTGCACGCGGCGGCGCGCAACGGCTCGGGCAGGGTGCTCGGCCTCCTCGCCCCGTCCAGTCCGCACCTCAACGCCCTGGACGGCACTGGTTTCGCCGCCATACACTACGCCGCCGAGCGCGACGACGTCGAGGGACTGCGGGCGCTCCTCAAGGCTGGCTGCCTCGTCGACATGTTTACCCGCAGGTATACGACTCGAGCTCAACATTTATGCCATTTTTATTTTATGAAAAAAAAAAAAAAAAAAAAAAAAACAACGAGACTCCGGAGCATCCTCCGACACAGAGGTTGTTCATGCGTAATATGATGATGATGATGTGCGATGGGCGCAGGGGCGAGACGGCCTTGCAGTTGACGGCCGAGGCCGGCTACCCCGAGAGCTTGAAGGTGCTGCTGGAGTCGGGGGCGAATCCAGGCTTGAGGAACCGCCGGGGCCAGACAGCCCTGCACCTGGCGGCGCGCACCCACTCGGTCGAGTGCGTGGTGAGTCTGTTGAATCACGGGGGCAGCGACCCGAACTCCCAGGACAACGACGGCCGGACGCCGCTGCACGTGGCGTTGGGCCGGTCGATGCTGTCGTACGACGTGGCCGAGGAACTGGTGGGCCGCAAGGCCGACGTCAACAGGGCGGACAAGTACGGGTACACGCCCTTGCACGTGGCCGCCCTCAACGAGATGTCCTCGTGCGTCGACCTCCTGATCCAGCAGGGGGCCGATCTGAGCGCCCGCACCAAGGGTGGGACGAGTGCCCTGTCCATCATATTGCGCAAGACACCCTCGTCGCTCGACTGCTTCGAGCGCCGGCTCGACGCTTCCCTCGGGCTGCACCACCACGGCTCGGCCACCGGCGAGGTGGAGCTCAGACTGGACTTTCATCCCCTGCTGCAGCACCAGCAGCAAGGCGAGATCGGCTACCTCGGCACCTTCGTCAAGGAGGTATGGTATACCCATTCATACACGAATCGCCGATCAATGTATACATCCCATTTTTTTTTAAATCGTACGAATACATTTGTTTCGATCGATCGGCGTCCAGGGCTACAAGGAGATACTCGAGCACCCGCTCTGCCAGTCCTTCCTCCACCTCAAGGTACTCGATAAATCTTATCATCGGCGGGGGGGGGGCGGGGGAATTGCTTACTCGTTACATTTTTAAGGAGGTTCTAGCGTGACTTTGAAACCAAATGTGGCTCAAACTGTTGACTCGTTCGCGTTATAAAATTTGTCGTCACAATATTACTAGGGCCAATTTTCAATGTACGCTTGACTTTTCGCGGCTTTTGCCGCTAGGATGCGAAAATCATACCTAACAACCTGTACCATACTATACGTCGGAAAACTATTATTTAGAAACCGTAGGTGTGCGAAAATTTGACTCCAAATGCTTGTTCGTGCATGGTATAACTAATTTTTTACGATTTTTTTTTTCATTTTTGTTCCAAAGAAAGAGTCAAAAAATACAACACACGGTTGGCACATTTAACTTTGCAAACAACGTATTATGCTTCCAAAATCCGTACTCGATATAGGTACACTAGAATCTCCTTAATTTCAAGTGGGCATGCAACCTACACGTGAATGTCACCTTCGTATAATAAAATCGATTGTAACGTTAAAGTGGCAAAAGATACGCAAGTACTACGTCGGCCGGCTGTTGTTCTACCTGTTGTACGTGCTCGTGCTGACCGGCTGGGTGATAACGGCCCTCGCGCACAACTGTTACAACGAGTCGCACGGCCAGCTCGACAATCTCAGCCGGCCCCTTTGCGCCAACTCGAGTGGCCTGAACGGCTTCCTCTACCGCAATCCCTTCGTCCTCGAGGTCGAGTGGTACGTCCTCCTTATGCTGACGGTCCTCGAGGCGTCGCGCAAACTCGTCGGCGTCCTCACCTACTCGAGCGTCCGGCAATTTTGCACCCAAGCGGAAAATTTGGTCGAGTGGTGCGTCATTGTGAGCGTCTTTGCCACCTCGTTCGTCTTCACGGGACGCACCTACGCCCCCTGGCAGAGCCACGTTGGAGCCTTCGCGGTACTGTGCGGCTGGAGCAACCTCATGCTCATGATTGGCCAACTGCCCATGTTCGGCGCCTACGTCGCCATGTTCACGAGCGTCCAGGCCCAAGTGTTCAAGCTCCTGCTGGCCTACGCGTGTCTCCTGGTTGGCTTCACCGCGAGCTTCTGCGTCATATTCCCCCGCTCCAAGTCCTTCAGCAGTCCCCACACGGGACTCATCAAGGTCCACCTTCCAATATTGTCCCACTCATGTTACCGTACATCGAGAACAACAATTGGCTCGTCTTTGGGGGATATCCATCCGCACTGAGAGAGAAAAATCACAATAATTACTCGAATGGCCATTCGGTGACATTTTACTTTTGGGAACCCCCGGAGTATCCTTAATTCTACCAAAAAGCCATTATTGTTTTTGTCGATGTTCAATGGTAATGCCCGTTCAAGCATATACAAACTCAATGATAAACGTAACTAAATAGGTACTGGTGATGATGACGGGCGAGCTCGACTTTGAGGAGCTCTTCTTCCCGGGTGGCGAGGAGGGCGGTCGGCCGGTCGATGTTGGCGGTACCTCGTGGATCCTCCTCCAAGTGTCGGCCCAGCTGTCTTTCGTGCTGTTCCTGCTGTTCGTGACGATAGTCCTCATGAACTTGCTCGTGGGCATCGCCGTCCACGACATAAAGGGCCTCCAGAAGACCGCCGGCCTGGCCAAGCTCGTGCGCCAAACCAAACTGATCTGCGACCTCGAGGCGGCCCTATTTCTCGGGCTGCTGCCCCAGTGCCTCATGAGGGTCCTCCGCTGGACGGCTCTGGTGCTGCCGTCGCCCCTCAAGGCCGTGCTCACGGTCAGGCCGCTCAACCCCAGGGAGAAGCGACTGCCCCGGGACGTGTTGGCCTGCGCGTACAAGGTGGCCAGGGAACGAAAGTCCATAGTCGGCGGTGGCAGCAGCTTCCTCTACTCGACCGTGTCGAGCAAACGCAGCGGGAACTCGGTGTACGGGTACTCGAGGTTCGACGGCAACTCGTCCATCAGGCGGAAGGCCACCGTGGACGAGATCGCCGCTCTGGACGAGGCGGCCAAGCTAAGGGACGAGGTCGCCGAGCTCAGGAGGATCTGCGAGAACAACAACCAGCTCGTGGCGGAGCTCGTCGATACTTTGGCGGTGGACAAGCGCGTCGGACGGGATCTCAAGAAGGACGCCTAGGGCTTCCATCCACTTTTTTTTTTTTTTTTTTTTTTTTTTTTTTCTTTCCCTTCCTCTGTACAGTGTAAATATTTGATTTTATCCATGTAAAATACTCAGATCTCAATCGATGACACATCAATCTACAAATCATCACGAAAACAGTACACGAATAACGTGGCTTTTATCAACACCGAATTATCTTGCGAGCTTTTCTTTGGCTTTAGTGCTTTTTTTTCCCAAGACACGCAGGTATTATTACATACACTTTTCCGCTTTGCACAGATTTCCAGGTAACACTATGTTATAACGAGTAAGTATACATATATTTTTAAGAGGATTCACGGTGAAATTTCAGTAACTTTTCGATGGTTGGAAAAAAAAAATTGTATTTTTTGTAAGAAATTACATTTGTAAGGCCCACTCTGTTGATAAATAAAGGTTTTTGTATACGTACACACATTGTAAAATGCATGGGACCTGAATGATGATTTAGTAAAATGTCATTGTACACGAAATAAAACGCATATATTTTTACTCGAACACTTTTGCCCTCAGCGCACACTCACCATCTCGATTTTTTTTCTTCACTCCTCGACCTGTTAACGTTCATTCGAAAACAAAAAAAAAAAAAAAAAAAAAAGCAAATTTGCAAAATTGTTGAAAAAAGAATGGACGTTTTTTCGGAAACACCGAGGCAGGAAAAAAAGCGTGCATGAATTGTACGCGGAACAATTGGACTTGCAAGTCTCGCGCGCGCGCCGAAGGTCACGGGAAGAAACGCGGAAGCGGATTTCCAAACAAAATCGCGTCGGATACACGTACACATCCGCTGCCGCGGCGCTTCCGCGCGTGTTACGTGACGGTTTAATCATTAGCGGCGAAACTCGACCCGAACAACCGATCGCCTTCGATCACTTTCCGCTCCTTTGTGTCATTTTTACTGACCGATTGCTGCTCGCTGCTTTGCATACGACACGCGTCGGGATGCACATGTACCATGATTCACACGTGTACGTGGGTCGTGTACGATAATATTATATGCTCTCGAAATCCCTGAACATTTTGACAAAAGTAAGGGCACTTGAAGTGCGTCAATGTCATTAGCGATCGCCGAGGAGATAAAATAGGTACATCACGGACCAGTCCAATAAACCAGCGGACTCAATTCCTCATCCTCGTCCAAATTACCATTGGCGCACGAGTAAAACGACGAGCGCACACACATATCATGTTATCTTCTCTTACAGAAGAGGAGGTGGGGGGTTGGACGAAATTCCGTATTCCGCGCGAGATTTTGTAAATCAGGATAAAATCTTGTTCAAACGAGAAGTGGAGCTCAAAAATTCCGGATGATTGTCGCAGCAGCTGCAGGGACAAAATATTAACGAGCAGGTACGAGTATTGCGTGTATATATTATACATGTTTGATCGGTAGTGGTGCTGCTGGTGGTGGTGGTGCAATGAAGGTAAACGATGGCAAGGCCGCCAAGTACCAGCCGCCAGATCTCGTACATTGTAATTTTCGCTGGTGAGAATTTAGGAGACGCTAGAGGATGAAAATGATCGCCAAATGCTACAAAGTCTCGAAACTGTTGTAATCTTTTTTTTTTTTTTTTTCCTCAAATCACGATCGAGCAACTAGTTGATTGTTTTCTTTTTTCCCATTGGGTTTGAGGAAAAAAAATAAACTCTGTCTAGAAAAGTGAGACATAATTAATGGTTAATTTCGTCGCTCTATACGTGTATCTGTACTAGAGACGCGGCTGGCGTGCTGATGCGCTTAAAAGTACCGGTTTCGATAAATTCGTACAAAAAAAAAGAAAAAAAAAAGCAAAAATTAGTACACAGCATTTGTCGGCGAATGGCAGGCCTTGTGTAAGCCCCTCCTTACCTTTTTTTTTTGGTTCGAGACAAATACTTTTTAATAGCACGTCCAAGCAGCTCCAAAGTTCACTCGCTCGGAGTGCGTTGTGCTGCTGGTCTCGAGGAGACCCAAAGTCGTTGCGAAACAAACTGTGCACGGAATGCCCACGATCATCTCTATGCGTGAAATTTATTTAAATTCAAGTGGCTTTCGCGATAGGTAGTTTCAATTTTTTTTTTTTTTTGAGCCCAAAGTGATATTTTCAATAAAACGAGACTCTCTCTCTCTCTCTCGATAACGATCGGCTGGAAGATCTTGTGGATGTGAAGCGACGATTGTGTCAAAGAGAAAGATCTGTCAGATCCAGCTTATCTTGGGATCGGCAAGATAGCCACCGACGCGTTTTATCGCTAGTGTGGGCCCCCAAAGCGATCGTTTTAAAAAACCACCCCAAACGTACACTTTTGCCAAGTGTGTAATCTATACGTTTTGTTTCACGGCTTCTCCCATCCATTACCTTCCCGATCGGGTCTCTCTTCGGCGGCATACGCCTACAAGAGTGCACAGCCGTCAGTTCTCGTCGAGACGGCAGTCGGACCAGGCATCATCATCATCAGCTGCCCATTACAAAGACCAAATCGGCCTATACAGAAGGCACGAGGAGTACTAGAAGCAGCAGCAGCACATAGGGGGAGTGCTAAAGAAAAGAGCGAGCGAGGGAGAGAGAAACGCACAAATGACCGGCTAAAGTGGCTCAAACGAGCGTACAGTGGATATGTTATAATGATGACGGCTTCTACGTCAGTGAGGTGACATTTTCGTAGCGCGTGCGTTGTACCTTTTATCTTTTAACATACCTACCTACTGCGCAACCACGATTTACACTTGTGTTTCGGTGTGCGTGTGTGTTTGTGTATTCATCCAGTGGCCGATTCGTAAAAGGATTCGTCGTCTTTATTTAATCGTCACCTCTATACACCCACTGCCGATTATTTCGTTATCCGGCCATTGTCACCGAGATGGACCGTTAATGCGACTTGTTTGTTTATTCCTCGTATCTCAGGTATGTGGTCTTTTTTTTATATCCAAGTACTTGATCGTACTACTCAAAACATTTTTTTTTTTTTTTTAATTAATTAATAATTAATAATTTGTCCTTTACAAGATGCATTTCCCTATTTTCCCAATTACAAGTTTTTTTTTTTTTTTGTTTTTGTTGAAAAAAGACATTTTTGGATGCGTCTTCCTTTTAATATCGTAAGATCAGTTTAATCAATCGTAATGCCCCCAACTTTTTAACTCATTGAGGCGAAAAATCGCAATGAGCTACTGCCGTTTTGGCGTGACCAAAGGCACTCGGCGAATTATCTGTGTATGCCAATTGAAGATCGCGTGTGTAGGTACTTTGTGAGGACAGAGTAAGAACCAAGTGAAGCCGAACAAAGTGGTGTTTTTTTTCTGTTCCCCTGCCAGAAAAATTAGCGAGAGCAACCAGGATGACGCACTCGTGGAAGCTGAACGAGGTAGTGGGCGACGCGTCGGCCCCGATCAACAGCAGGGCCCCTCGGTCGCCGGTCTGGGAGTGCCACAAGTCACGGCACCACTCGGTCGGCTGTATCTACGAGCGCAGGGGCTCGCGCGGCGCGGCTCGCCAGTTTCGAGGTGCCTCGGTGTGCCCGGCCACCACGGACAAGATCATCATGGAGGACGAAGCCAACGGGCCCGAGCCCCGGGAGATCGACGCCGGCACCCCGCCACCGGTTAGTCCAAACAACCGGATGTTCACCGTACTTTCTCGACGCTATGTCTCGGGAAACAAAAAAACTCAAACTTGTTTTTGCAAAAAGTTGGCTTGTAGGATTTTGGAATGAAAGTTATTAACTGTATAATAGCTGAATCGAGGAATCAGTCATAACTGATGAAACAAGTCTTTGTTATCGATTCTACAAGCCGATTTCTTCTTCCAAAACCCGTATATTCATCAAGTGTCTCTCCCTTAACACACCGCAGGTCGACGACTCGTTGTTCTTCGACCAAGAGTTCGAGGCCCTGAAGCACGTGAAGGTCGACGGTGCGAGCCTCAAAACGGCCATGTGGGCGGCCTTCGGGGTCCTCGAGATGAAGCGCCTCCTCGAGATGGAGCAGGGCCTGATCGAGCGGGGCCCCGACAACAAGCTCCTGTCGTGCTCCGACCAGCGCCTCCGCAACATAGCCCTCCTCTGGGCCTCCTTCCGGGGCCTGGCCCACCTTCTGCCCCGCCTCGAGGAGAGCGGCGCCGACATCACCTACGTCGAGGAACGAACCGGCATGAGTCCCCTCCACGTGGCCTCGCTCTCCGGAAGCGTCGCCTGCCTCGAGTACCTCATAGCCAGGGGTGCGGACGTCAATCAGGTGCGACGACAGACGCCAAAACTATACATACAACATCCCCCCCGAATCACAAACGCAATAAATACCTACGACCTCGTTAACCACCATCAGGTGAACCCGGCGATCCACTACGCTCCCCTGCACTTTGCCGCGCTCTCCAACTCCAGCGAGGCCGCGGAGCTGCTGCTCAGACACGGGGCTCGGCTCAATCAGCCGCCCAGCTGCCGCGGCGAGGAGGACGACGAGGTCGAGCCGGTCCTGCACTGCGCGGTCCGGGCCAAGAGCGAGGCGGTCGTCAAGCTCCTCCTCGACTCGGGTGCCAGCGTCTCGGCCAAGAACAGCAAAGGGGAGACGCCCCTCCACGTGGCCTGCCTCGTCCAGTCGCTGCCCTGCGCCGAGATGATTCTCTTGCAGCTGGGAGGTGCTGCCGTGGACGTGAACGCCCTCGACCAGGAGCACCGGACCCCGCTGCACAACGCGGTCATCGACAAGTCGGCCGTACCCGAGCTCGTGGAGCTCCTCCTGAAACACGGGGCCGCGCCCAACGTGGCCGACCGCAACAAGCTGACCCCGTTGCACATAGCGGCGCTCAACGAGCTGGCCGAGTGCGTCGACGTGCTCATATGGGCCGGGGCGGACGTGAGCGCGACCAATCGGGCCGGCCTCACGGCCCTCAACATCATCCTCCGCAAGATACCCGAGTGCCTCCAGGTCTTTCGCCAACGGCTCGACAACTCGATCAGGCTGAGGCGGCCCGTGCCCCACAACCGCGAGTTCGAGATGCGGCTGCACTTTGAGCTCTTGTTCGCCAGCGACGGCCGAGCCTGCGAGACGAGCTTCATCAACACCTTCGTCCAGGAACACCAGAAGGACCTGCTCTCCCATCCCCTGGTCATGGCTTTTTTGCACCTCAAGTGGGAGAAGATACGCAAGTTCTACCTGATGCGGATTCTCCTGTACACCCTGACGGTCGTCTGCATGACGACCTACGTCCTCGCCTACAAGTGCCTCAACGAGAACAACAACTCCAAGATCTGCAACAACAAGCGGGCCTCGGGCTTTCTTTTCAGGCGCAACGTCATCCAGATCGAGTGGTACGTCTCTCTGGTGCTGACCCTCATCATGATACCGCGCAAGATATTCGGCTTCATGGTCCACAAGTCGGCGAGGCAGTACTTCATGAACATCGACAACTTTCTCGACGCCATCGTCATCATCAGCGTCTTCGTTACCTCGTTCGTTTACACCGGGGTCACCTACGACTGGCAGAACTACGTCGGGGCCTTTGCCGTTCTCTGCGCCTGGACGAACCTCATGCTCATGGTCGGCCAACTACCCGCCTTCGGCACCTACGTCGCCATGTTCACCCACATACAGTTCGAGTTTGCCAAGCTGCTGCTCGCCTACTCGGGTCTGCTCATAGGCTTCACCATCAGCTTCTGCGTGATCTTCGTGGGCGAGCCCTCGTTCGACAACCCCCTCACGGGCCTCATTAAGGTATTATACGGAGATACAACATCGTTATTGCATACATTATACGTATAATGTGCATACATATTTTTTTTATCTTAACGATTGTAGGTGCTCGCGATGATGGCCGGTGAGCTGGACTTTGAGGGTCTCATCAACCAGGACGTCATCCTCAGGGACGACTCGTTCGTCCTCTACCATCCTCTCTCTGTGTGCTCGCAGATACTGTTTACCCTCTTTATTGTATTCGTCACCGTGATACTCATGAACCTGCTGGTGGGGATCGCCGTGCACGACATCCAGGGCTTGAGGAACCACGCCGGACTGACCAAGCTCGTGCGCCAGACCAAGCTCATCCTCTTCTCCGAGCAGTTCCTCCACACCGTGCTCCACCTGCGCGTCATACCGGACTTTGTTAAAAAGTGGATGTGCGACCACAAGATCGACGTGGACAACAGGAAACGGGTACTCGTGGTCAAGCCCCTCAATCCGCTGGAGAAGAGGTTGCCCAAGGACATACTCAAGGCCGCGTACGAGATCGCCCAGAGGAACGCACCACTCGTTGACGAGGATGACGTGAGCCTGGTCGAGCACGTCAATTGGCTGAAGAATCACAGCGAGGAGAGCATCGACTGTCTGCTGCAAACGACGCTGGGCCAGCTATCGACGCAAATCAAGGCCTCCGACAAGGACATCAGAGTCATCAAGGAACAGCTGCTGGATACCAACAAGACGCTTAAGACTCTGCTGCTGAAAGCTCGGACAAGATGAAACGATCCAAGTAACCAACGCGGAGTAAGCTTTGATCATTTACTTTTCGATGAATAGACATCGAGAGAGAGAAATGGTTATCAACGAAACTTATTCTTTGAACGATTGTTTCGATCTGATGTATGATACAACTAGTATTGTATGTTTTTTAAAATTGTCTCTGTACATATAATCTTTTGATAAATGATCAATTTTTTAGTTGTAGCGTTAGCGTTGTTGTTATCACTTGTAACATACTCATTTGCAGGATCATTTCCAAAAATATACGTATTTTACATTGACTCGCTGCGTTTGAAATGTATTTATAATAGTACAAAATATGGTTGTAAGAAAAATTATAACTTTTAATGTAACTATCCAAACTTTACTGAATAAAGTACTCATTTACGTCATTGGTTGTGTTTTATTCAAAACTAATAAGCAAAAAATAAAAACGAATAGAGTGCAACGGACTAGTCACCCGCGAACTGTTTCTCTGACCTTTTTTGCGTTTTGTTGTTTATCATGAAATTAAATTACTTGTAATTAAAAAAAAATATTATAGATTATTTTCCCGTTACAATTCACTGGTCTGATGAACAAAGTCGACGTGGACGCTAAGGTGTGGAATGGCGGTACAACAGGTCAGTCCGGTGCCATACGTTGGGGAATATCATGGGCCTTAAGAAGTTTCGTTGACATGCAGATGTTGGAAAAAATGAGAATTGGTATGATTTTTTCACTGCTTGGAATTCATTTGGTGTTTCACATTATTCTATTCAAAATCGATTTCTCATTTCAGCTGGATTGCTTTCGAGAGATTGGCGTAGACGTGAACGTAAGAAGCCTGGACAAGAGGGTGCCAGGAGAAAGTTCACTTGGAAGAAACGTTAATACGAAACGAAAACTCCTTCAATAAAAACTTTTATTATCGTATTGTTAAATAACGTCTCGTTGTGTAATAAACTCTTTAGAAAATGGTGATTCTTATAAATTGAAATTACATTTCACTGAGTGGCGTTAGTCCTAGTAATCTCATTCCATGATTCAAGACTTTTCTTGCGGAATGCATCAGCAGCAGTCTCTGTCTGGCTAATTCCTCTTCTTCTCCCTTTATCTTGAGAACTTGTAAGGCCTTACCAATCGCGTGGCTAAAAAACAGTTGTTACTGATTAATTTCATTTTTTTTTTCTTCATTTTCATATAACTATTTTTTTCCCACCTCAAAGTAAATAAATAATGAACAAGTATGTAAGGTTCCAGCTCTTGGTAGGATTTAAGTAAAACTTCGTCAAATCTACCGATGCAAAAAATTAAATCCTCGGCTACTGGCTCCTGAAGCAGTGACGGAATGCATTCGGAAGCTATTGTAGCACCTGAATTTTTTTCTAAACTGACAAGTCTGCAATGAGCATACTGCATACTGACTCCGGTATCACCTTTGACCTGTAAAATTATTAGTTTATTAACTATGAAAAAAAAAGCAAAAAAAAAAAAATAGATAGCTTACGTCTAAAGCCTTGTCCCAATCAAAGTCGTAATCCTGATGCCTCTTGTGCCTCAAGTCATTTACTACAACTGCTGAGATTCCTAAAATTTCCGTGCTTGGATGGTCATAATCCAAGTTAACTTTAGTGGCTGAAATTTAACATGGTCTTCAATCTTCATTGCAAACAAATGTTTGTTAAATATATTTAATGTCAATTTTTGAAGAAAAAAACTTACTTGGACTTTCAAGCTGTTTTTCTTTCATAACATTTTTCGTTTCATCTAGTATATCTTGTAAAAATATAGCTGTCCCTTTTCTAGTGCTCATACCCTTAATTTTTCCAAATTTTACGTGCACTAGCCTATCTGCCCATGGTAGTTTCATAGCATTCAACACACTAAACAAGTTCATAAAATGACTAGTTTGAGCATTGTCCACCACATAATACATTTTATCAAAATTATGTTTCTCAAATCTTTGAATTGCTGCAGCTACATCTCTCGTGATGTACAATGACGAACCATCACTTTTGATGATAGGAATACTTTTTTTTTCATTTAACTGTACAACTTTCCTGTTTTCACTGTCCATTGTAAGAAGCTTCATTTTTTCCATGTCAGACAGTATACTGTTTACTTTTTTTATGTTATACATAGACTCCCATTCGTAAATATCAAATTTAACACCTATCCTATTGTATGTCCTTTCCAACTCTTCTATGGTGTATTTCCTAAAAGACTTCCACTCGGAGAAATTGCTTTCATCTCCCGTCTCTAATTTTTGAAAAATTTCTCTCGCTTGATCTGCAATTGTCGAGTCATTCTCTGCCAGTTTATTTGCGTGAACATAAGCGTTGTACAATGCTCTCATGGGATCGTTTTTTAGAGCTTCATCAGTTACGTTGGCCAGAGACAATCCCAACTGCACAAAGCCAAACTGTGTACCCCAATCACCCAGATAATTAATTCTTTTTACATCATTTTTAAAATAATTATTTACATTGGCAATGTAATTGCCGATCATGGTAGAACGTAGGTGACCAACGTGAAACGGTTTAGCAATGTTTGGCGAACTGAATTCAACCAAAACTCGGTTTGGCGTTTCCCACATGAACTCTGGAGGAGTTATACCGTGACTTGTGGATTCCAGCAGTCCTTTAACATAATTCTCCTTGTGTAATTTAAAATGTATTTCTTTTTGATTTTTTTCATTCACTTCAACATTTTCTAAAAACTGATCCGAGTCATTTTTTGACAAATTCAAAACTTCGTCTCTGACGTCGTACTGTTTGGATCTCAAAGGCAGAGTAAAGAAAAACTCTCTGCTGTTTTTATCAAGCTTTAAGTGCAATCGTGTGGCTGCTGCGCTTGGCTTGAATTTTTTTCCATTTTGGGAGACTCTGGAGATCTAAAATATAAACAAATGTAGTTGAAATATAAAAAAAAAAAAAAAAAAAAAAAACCTAACAATACAAAATTATGCATACTTTTTTATAAAGCAACAATCTGGAATTTGTACTCATTTTATCGGAATCTTGACCAAACTTGTGGGGAGCTTCGATCACTTTTTTTTGTCGTAAGTATACACCTATCTCTTAAATATTAATTTCACCGGCTCATATAAAAGGTTAAACTCGACTACTTAATTAACGATCGCTGCCTTTTGATACAATCATTATTGGTTTTTATATTATCTAATCTTCTACCGATAATAACACATGAAATAACACTTATACTCTACGAATCACAGATTAAACAGCGTAAAAAGGAACACTCGTCAATTAAGTTATTGTTTACAAACAGCTAGCAGAAGTTGATTTTTCCATTCCAGTATTTCCCAGTGAATCCACACAATGTCATGTACAGTGCCGACCTCTCTCGTTTGGCCATTAAGGGAGTTGGACCGCTCCCGCGGGGAGGTGAAGGGGAGCACGTGTATCTTCATAAGGCACCGTGCTAAAGTCTGCTGTACTAACCTAGCCTAAAAATATCCGCCCTTTCGATTACGGAAGATGCATTTGTGTTCCACTCGCCAGTACTCGTTAACGTTTAAATAAAATAATTCAAAAAAATTACAGAATATTCTTCAAGGTATCTCGTTTCTTATGGTATTGATCAAATAGTCTAAATACTTTCTCTATGAGAGATAAAAAATAAGGAGTAAACGGTATAGTCAATTTGATCTTCTTTTAATAAAAGTGTGCTATAAATTTTCGAAATTAGAGGTTTTAATGGTATATCATTAAAGTATAAAGTCTCATTAAGGCCTATACCAAGTTTGAGATCATAATTTTAAGTACTTAAAACGGCTTCTAGAAGTGATTTTGTGAAAAGCTATCGCGCCACGTAAAAAGTCGAGGACAGCAAACACTGTACTCAGTGCTTCCTTGTCTGCCACGTGGATGAAGCATACAAGCAGGAAACAAATTTGTTTACGTTTGTGCAAATATCTCCATAACTGCAGACGCGATTTTATTGAAACTTTGCACGTATACGAATGAAGTTGTCATAAATAACATATCAGTTTTTCAAAACATTCTCATCGCTGAGTCAAGGGTAATAGGTATTTTTTTACAACTTTTTTGATAACTTACGTTTGAGCCCATGTTAAAGACGACGAAAAAGGGATACTTCATGAATTTTTTTTTCTCGAAATTTGTAGACGCGATTGTGCTCAAATTAGGTGACTACATCCACGCAATCTTTCTTTACAACATATATTTTTTTTTTAATATTTTCATCATTAAGTGAATTGCAACCCAACTCCCTTAAACTATAAAACTACAGGAGTCAAACTTATTTCAACTATTTAGTCAGCTTGGCTTTGCAATAAATATCAAAACAGCTGTCAAAAAATTCGCTTTACGGATTGCGATGCCAATTGAGAGCATTTGTAAACTATTTTCCAATTAATACTGGCCTTCAGTAATAATATCTTGCGGGAAATAATTTTAAGGGATGATTAACCAGATTCTCTGTTTCTTAATAAGTGAAATGAAATAACGAAAGGATCAATCGCAGTAATAATAGTTGTAACGTTGCTCTTAATAAAAAAGCCTCCAGGAACCCTCCTTTTAATAATATTAGGTACCTAGATTATAATGTCACATTACTTCTTTGAATAATCTCACCCTTGCGCGCTCGACACTCATACATCAAAAAGCACGGAATCCAGGTGTCGGGTTATACCATTCCAACGTTCCTGTGTTATAGGGTTATACCATTCCAACGTTCCTGTGTTATAGGGTCGGTTATAACATTCCAACGTTCCCGTGTTTTGGAGTTTCCATTCCAACGTTCCTGTGTTATCGGGTTATACCATTCCAACGTTCCTATGTTGTTGGGTTATACCATTCCAACGTTCCCATGTTTTGGGTTATGCAATTCCATCGTTCCTGTGTTATAGGGTTATACCATTCCAACATTCCCGTTATATTTATTTAAAAGGGCGACTCCAAAACCGAAGCAATGAAAATGCGTATGTCCCTTTAAACATGTCTGCACCGTCTAGCAGACGGAAAAGTCCGTTGTAGAGTGTGGGGCGGGGATGAATAGTAATATTTTTATATATATATATACATTGTGAAAATGTGCTCACCGAAAGGGAGGTGGCTCCGCGCGAGGTGACACTGCGATCGAAGAATCAAAGTCAAAAGCTGCTTTGGCGTCAGTATAGTAGAGTGAAGAGTGTCGGTTTACGTGCACAGTTGGTCGTGTGTGTGTGTGTGTTGAAGCAAGAGCGCGAGTGCCGCGAGTGCCGCGAGTCGCCGGACAACGACGGAGAGAGAATCAAAAAGAGAAAGAGCGAAATACTTGACTCTCCTCGTGAGAGAGCAGAGAGTAGCTCGTGTAGAAGAGAGAGTCAGTTGATCGTCGTCAGTTAGTCGTCCCGGCGGAGTGCAAGCGAGTGCGTGTGTGGTGTGTGCAGGTGCCGGAGAGGAGGCAACAGCCGGAGTAGAAGACGTTTTGTCTTCTGCCCTTCGCGTCGTCGTCGTCGTGTTGTTTCAACCCCCTCTCCCAATCCACCCTTGACTCATCAGAGCTCCCTTTTTGCTCATCGTCCATAAATTTGAAGGTCACCCCACGATCCTCCCGGTCGGGTTGCCCTCTGCGTCGTCGTCGTCGGCATACTTACAGTGGTACACATAACCTATCGATAAAATTAACCTACCCTGTGTGTCTGTGTTTTATGATACTTATTGTTACTTGGGTAGTAATAAATAATTAGTCTACGGTTAACGCAATTCATCGCAGATTGAGTACACTTGATAAAAATATGTTACGAAAATACGTACGCGCGCGCATATTCGTAGTGAAAGCTGTCGTCGTCGTTCTTCTCTCTCCTTCTTTCTGTGCCAGAGGGGTGCGGGCTGCCTGCTAGGCTGCATGTCTGCCCTTGCTCCGTTTTTTTCCTTTTCCGTCGTTACATTTAATTTCGGAGTCACCGCGTGCAAAACAACCGAGTGAGTTCTGTATTACGTTTACATGCACTAACGAGAGCGAAAGACGCCTTCCTCTCTCTGTCTCGGGAGTTGGTGCTCCTGTGCGTATTGAAAAATCCTTCGAAAGGAAGGTTCTGATCGTTATCGCGTACCTACATATCAAACGTCACCTACACGTATTAAAGTGCGGCAGAGTGTGTTATTCTGCATGTGTGCGTCTGTGGGTTTACTATATTTCTCTCTCTTTTTCTTCTATCTACCTTAACTCTAATTTTGCAAAACATTTTCTGTTGTATCGAACTGCTGCTTTTATTACTTGCTGTATCGTGCATCGCATATATAATCTTAAGTAGTAACAGCAGCAATCGCGGCGACGTAAGCCAAGCCTTCGCTCAACTACCTTACTCTACTCCTCCGATAATTTCGCTATGATTCGTACTTATACATGTATTTGACTCACGTGAATGGATATACGTAGCACGGAGCACGAGAGTGATGAGGAGGAAAGGCATTTGAATGAAATGATGAATTAAAAAGGAAAAAAAAAAACTTGGTAGAAGTGACTGGTGATGATTTTTGTCTCTCTTGTGTGTCCGAAGGAGAACCATCAGGAGGAGGCGGTGGTGGTGGTGGAGAAAGAAAAAGTGGAGCCGTGCCGGATAAGCCGCAGCTGTTTTAATCGAGGAGGCGGTGCTGCAGGAGCGCGGAAGAGGTGAGGCGGAGGGCCCACCGATCAGCCAACAGCCAAGGAGGGTGTAGGCAAATAACATAACACACGATATCATGGCCGGACAGACGATAAACGACAGATTGCTGGCCGCGAGGCACAGCCTCGCTGGCCAGGGCCTCGCCAAGTCCGTCTGCAAGGCCACCACCGAGGAGATGATAGCGCCCAAAAAGAAGCACCTGGACTGTAAGTTTTATTCTCTCTATTTCCTCCCCCCACCCCCCCCCTCCGTTTTTCCGTTTCATCACATTTGTTTACACGTATACACATGCACGCGTACCCACCCTCTTCTCGCCGCAACCTGCACACCCTCCGTTTACCCTCCCACTCATATCGATTACTCGTCTTCCTTCGACTACAACTTTTCCCGTATGCCTACAATAACTATACGTTGGAACACACGTATACGCGTACGTATTCCTTTTATTTCCGCGACCTCGCTACATGGGTATCGCCGACCAACCAACCTGCTTATCACCCAACCCTCGGGCCTTTTTTTTCTTCCTACGGACAAGTCGAGAGTTTTCAAGGGCTTTTGCGCCCCTCCTCCTCTCCCCGACAACCTTTTTGCGTTTACGCACACACCGCGGGGAGGGAGGTTGTTTCCGGATGTTGCGGTGATGGCATGCATAATTTAATGTATTAATGCTCATGCCCGCTTTCATTCGAGTGGCCGATGATAGGCTCGTTTTTCCCCCGGGAGTTAATAAAAGAAGAAGTTGGCTGCGAGGGAACGATTGGAGATTGATAGCGCTTATGCATGCGCTCGTATTACGTTGCTGCTTCTTCTTCTTGCGTCCCTTGAGAAATCCAGGAACTATTTCAACACACGTGTTTTTGCCGCTCGTTCGATTATAATCATCTTCTCTCCTTCTCTTGCCGAACCAATGTTTGCGCAATGTTTCACGATTCGTGATGTACCGTTGGGAGTATAGTGATTTTTTTTTTCCTATACGAAATTCAATGGAGCTATACGAATGTTTATTCCCTTTTTTTATATTGGCATGTAAACAAATAGGGATGGGAAGAATAAGTGGCTGAATCTATGATTGAGGCTACGTTCATTTAACTCTTTGCCCTGAAATGTCAAAAGTGAGATGACGTAAGGGCATAATTTGCAAATTTTTAAGATTTTCGTTATCTAGAGCGTTGGTAAAATTTTTGGGGGCTAAAAATGTTAAATAGGTACAAAAAATCTTACTTTTCTTTAAAATTTAACGGGTTTTGTCAATAATGTGCATCCGCATTACAAGCGAAATGAAACTTAAATACATGATTTATTTGACCCACATCTTGTGCTTTAAACACTTTTTTTTTTATGTGAAACAAAATTTTTCGTGGTAATGCGCTGATAACGGGATAGTTTTTTGCCAATGTGATATTTGACAAAATCGTGTTTCATGTCAAAATCCACAACTTTCCCACAACGTAATACTTGAGACGGTATCAAGCTCTTTACGCCTTAAGTAATTCAAATTTATGCGTTACTTGATTATAGACCTCAAAATATTCTCGTGCGTAATCAAACGGTGTTTTGTCTGTAATGTTAATTATTTATTTGTTTATTTTTATTTATTTTTTTTTTTTTGTGGTCTGCAAAGTACAACATAAGCGGTTACCGAAGCTGCCCAATTCTCTCCATAAGTAAACAAAGTATTTAAAACCACAGAGCAAATGTCACACTGATGAATCACCATGTGGCCAAGCGACCGCAAGTACAAGTAATGCTAATTCGTTCTCGAGAAAACTGGTTTTCTTTGTGTACGTACACACACTACGAGAGAGCATTCAACACTTTATAAATAAAATATGTTCTCCCAAACGATTATTACGCGTTTGATCAGCGAGGTTTTCCCACTATATTGGCCCGCGAGATCGAAAGCACCCAGCAACTTTAGTACTTTGAGATCGATGCAGTAAGTAATTAAGTATTACCACAGCATTATGCAAAACAGCTATTCCCATTGTTGTTTTTTTTCCCTATAAGAGTGAAAGTTTCAAATTGTTACCCTAAATACTTTTTACAAAAAAATTTGAGCCCATCGTCCAGCATAATAAATTATTATCACGGAGCGTTTCGCGTATACGTAAAAATCAATTGTAACCCGCCAAACTTAACAAAGCTCCCGTACCAAAGTATTCGAGTAAGTACAACATACCAGCGCGTGCTCTATGCTGGGCCGCTCGTAAAAACGCGAATTGGCCATCACCCACGGGGGTTACTCAGGGAGAGGGGGTGTTTCATTGCTGAGAAACAGCTTCATCGCTGCATTTTAAGTGGCAAAGTGGTACTTGAAAGCCAAGCAGTTGCCGATAACGCCCGTATATACTGCCCTCCTCTCCTCTCGAGCTTTTCCTTCTCGCCAAGCGCCGCCGTGAACTATATAGTACGGACGACTTATTATTCGGTTGTAATGTCATGTCACGCGTGGACACTGTGTAATATATATATATGTGTAACACGTCGCGCCCATGATGTACCATTACGTGGTGAAACGCAAGACTCGTGACTCTCGAAATACTTGCAACGAGGAGGAGGAGGAGGAGGCACACCCATCACCTTGGCGCGAAAAACGCCACTTGCACTTTCGATCGTTTAAGCAAACTTTTGCTGCGCGAGAGTCCAGGTAAACTCTTGGTCTATATATTGTTTTTGCTCGCAAAAATAATTATCTCTCATTGTCCCCTCGCCCTCTATTTCTTTGACTTTATGCGTCTTTCAATACTACTTGGTAATTGCAAGAGTATCGATTCAATAGGTATTGTTCCCTCGGATGTATAAATATATTATATTCACTCTGGATGATAAAACGTTCGATCAAGCCTTTCCAAAGCGCAGCATTTCAGACATCGGAGGGCTTTTCGGGTGTTAAACAAACGACACATATTCGTTATCGACTCTCTCGAATTTTCGTCAATGCATTGTTTAACTTTATTGTAAGCGTATACATGATACTGTAGGATGTAACATTTTATTTTTAATGGTAATAAAAAAAAAAAAAAAACGGCCACTCCACGTACACGTATACCCTAAGCACAACTTTTATTTTTTATTTTTTAGCTTTTGGAAGAAAAGAGCTCCGTATACGTATGAAAAATCTCAAAGGAGAGAAGGATAAAATATATTACAGCATATTCTCACAGTTGATCCGAGTGCACGGATGCATTCATATACGTACCGTACGTGTGAAAGTACGTGCATTGCAATTTAACAATACAGGGGAAAGTTCAGAGAGAATAGAGGCAAGGGGGAGATGGTTAGTAGGGATAGAGTGTAGAGAGGCTGTTGGTAGGGTGGCACGTAAGGCGTGCGCGCCAAAGAAAAGGCGAAAGGCTGGTGGTGGTGTACCTGTACAGCAGGACGAGGATGGCAAAAAAAAAGGTGTTCATTATGTACCTACTGTATGTGCGCAGAGAGAAATAGAAAGGTGATAGGTAAAGAAGGAGGAGAAACTGTTATGTACCCCTGTAAAATACCTACAGTCTTTTCGTACACCTACTTCACTAGATCATAATAGTACATCTCTCTAATGGGCAATGTGGGTGCATATACTTACAGTGCACTTTTCGTAACTATACTCTCATGTCATATACTACAATATATATATATTATAAACAAAGTAAAATACGGTCATTAGTTCGTGGTTGATTTTTTTCTCCATAAATGACCAACCCCTTCAAATATGCCCGCGTAAACATTCTTGTGCCGCCGATCCTTCGACAGCAAATCAATGCCCTTTTGATTTTTTTCAATCAACGTTAATTGTCAAATGTAATATTCGTTATGGTTGTTGAACCCTGCGCTATCATATAAAAAATCTCTTTCGAAAAAGACAATATCAGGTCCCGTAGGTAATAACTAGAAAACTTCAGATTCATCCACGAGTTTGGATGATAATTATATTTATAAAATATTTATTTAGAATCGTCTTGTTGATGCATAATTATCGTCGTTCTTCGTCTTATACCGACAAAAGCTGTCCATACACGTATAAATGTATATAATATATACACATAGCTGTACCGTAGATGCCGTAGATGGTGTTGCAGCAGAGAGATGGTAGATTTACGATGGTCGGTGAGTAGGAAATAAAAGAGAGGAGAAGACACAAAAAAAAAGAGACTACCTACCGACCGACCGACAGAGAGAGAAAGACAAGTACCTAAGTAGGTAAAGGGGGAAGACAAGCCTCCTCGCGGCGATCACCGATCGTATATATGCGCACACAATGTGTACGAACACATATTATTATGTATACGATATAGCGACAGAGAGGGGTCACTCACTTCTCTCTCGCTCATTGTACGGGCTACTATATGTATTGCTTAGGTGCGCGTATCGGCGTATGTGCCTATTACGATAGGTTTCTCTCTCTCTCTCTCTCTCTCTCTCTCTCCTTGGAATGAGCGAGTCCTCTACTGACACATCCTCCACCATCGGGTATATATTATAGTTCGCCACCTCGGCTCGCCGCAACACGCATATATACCTTTACTTGGTTGTTCCCATCGGGCAATACTCACATGTACGTGCAATATGTATAATCTCTGTAAAAAAAAAAAAAAAAAAAAAAAAAAAAACGATTCGCTGTATGATATACACCATGATATGTCATGCGCACCAAGATGTCATTATCATACATTCCTCGTGCAATTATAATGCGAGCTCTCGTGTTGATTATTAAATTTGTATATCTAAACATGTAAGATTTCTTTTCTTTCAACTTTTGCGTATGTGCGCCAAGTATATTCCCGCAGTGCCTCGTGCAATGGTACTTTTGTGACCAAAAAGTTGTCACTTTTGAAAAAGACTTGAATTGTTGTAATTGTGAAACGAAGCGCGCAAAAATGGACGAAAACGAGGACTTTGTTGCCCCTTCGGTTAACTGGTATATAATATATTGGTGCCCGTACACCTATGAGTTTTTCTCTTCGAACGGGTTTATTAATACATAATCTTCACCAATCACCACGCGTGAACAGGTATAGGTGTAAATACATATTATACTTCAAAGACTACGAGGTTGCGGTCACTCTCGTATGAGAGAAAGTTTGTTTTTGTCCCTTTTTATCCACAACTTCCTCAACACCGAATACATTGTATTGTTGAAAAACTGCTCACAAATAACGTGGTTAAAATCATTTTTATTTATTTTTTTTTTTATGTATTATTCGAGCTCGGCGTA